ATCAACGAATCTTACGGATCTCCTCATAACCGTCATATTTCGTTTCGTTCTGTTTGTATTCGCCGCCTTCGTATATCGATAACCCTTAAGAAATAAAGTAATCCCCCCCACCGAACATTTTGTTTGTTCGGTATATATTGACACGTAGCTGATATTTTATATTTTCTGAAATTGGCCACCCACGCGTTAAGTTAAAAAAATGTCCGCAGTCCAAATGTCCATCAAGGGGGAATGGAAATTCCGTGATAAAGCGCCAAGAAACCATTACCATTACCAAAACGCGGGGCTCAATGGTCAAAAAGGCAACTGGATATTCGTAAAAATTGACACCGACATTTTCTTAAATAGTATTTGATGCAACAAGTTCGGTAAACGGCATTTGAATCACGAGTTTATTTGACACGAGCGGAGCGAGTTTTTAATATACGAGTGAGTTAAAAAGTTTACCGAACGTGTTGCATACTATACTTTTTCTACGACTGTTAGTTTTTGGGTACATTTTCGCAAAACAACACGAAAAAAACGTCAAAATTCAAAGCGTGGGAATTTTGTTTATTGTTTGAATTCGTAGTTACCCGCTCTGTGAGACTTAGGCTACAATGAGTATTAATTATTTATTTTTCTACTACCCGTCTGTAAAATACCTAATTACGCACCGATCTACCACGTCAGTTTCCCACGAATCCGAGGCACTTCGGACATTTCCGGGATATTACCGCACGGGATTGGGAGCAATCGGATGTTTTCGAGATATTTCCCATGTTTTGAATTTTGACGTCTGTCAATTCTGACGGTCATGCCAGTGAATGCATTCGTGTTGTTTTGCGAAAATGTACCCAAAAACTAACGGTCGTAGAAAAAGTATAGTACGCAACACATTCCGTAGACTTTTTAACCTTCTCGTTTATTAAACACTCGCTCCGCTCGTGTCAAATAAACTCGTGAGTCAAATACCATTTACCGCACTTGTTGCATAATACACTATTATTTAACTGCAATCAACAGACTTCATAGTCCAATAACGGATTACAAACACAAATGTTACTTAGATTAACGGCACGTTATCCCAAGAGAAAAAAAAATGAAACTAAGTTCCTTCTGTAAACCAAAACAACACCATCGAAGTAAAATTTGCATATCATAGGTTTTAAATGCTAATTTTTCCAAGTGGTTCTTGAATAAATTGGTGGAAATATAATTAAAATTCGTTTTTTAGACTGCTCACTAAACTAGAAATTCAGAATAATGTAAAGTGAACACCAACATTGGTACGTAATCTAGCATATTTAAATAAAAATACTCTACTTCTATTTGTGAAATAGAGGTTATAGTTGCTATGCTAGTTAGGTGGATAATGAACTAATGAACTAATTTATAAAAAGAAAATGTTAATGTAGAAAATTTGATGTGGTATGTTAAATATATATATTCCAAAATTTCTTCTGAATTTTTTCTATTTTCTAAGGACATTTTTGGTAAACACCAACGAATCATACTCAAGTATATTTCTTCCTATTGAGATTTACAAGGTTTCAAAAGTTTTTATTTCTTGAAAATTTGATCCGTTCCTGAGAATAAAGCCCCACATTAATAGTATATTACTGAGTGGATAATCATAATTTAATGGAATTTTTTTTCTTGTAAACGTTAAGTTTAGAACGTTTTTATACATCATTGGCGTATTCTTGTGCTCTATGCATATCCTCTTGGAGTAAAAGAGTGTCTTAGAATCCCTAATAATTCTATAACTTTTAAAGTCGTCTGCGAATAATGCACACTGAAGGACAATTTGCTAGGTCATTAATTAAACAAAGGAAAACAAGTGGACCCAGATTACCTTGAGAATATCGACAGAGACACCAAAAGCATCTACTTTTTTTAGAATTATCTGTAAATGTAACGACTGCCTTTTTATTGTTTTCTATGGAATCAATTTATTTTACGTAAAAAGCTCGTTGAGTTGGCATAAAGCCGTGCTGGTTCAGATGTATTACTTCTGGTATTTTCTGAATTTTACTGGACGTGCAAATGATAGCCACAAGCCTATAATTATTAATTTCTGACTTTTTCTCATTTCATGAATTGGGCAATTGGATATTCTATTGGTTTTAAGAGTAACATTAAATATTATTTTTAATGATATTAGAAGCTGTTGAATACAATTTTTAAATATGTATGAAGGGATCTTGTCTGAGTGACTTTTGATATCTTTGTCCGATCTTTCAAGACGGGATTAGTAAAGATTTAAGATAAATATTTTCCGTTCCGTTCCCCTCAAAGAACGTCGAGCCAGGAGTTTTTCGAGAATCGCCAGAACTCCGTCCAGTCAACCCGAACACCATGCTCAACGCGCTGAACATATTAGTGTCGACATCTACAGGCGAGTAGCCAAAATTACATTTAAAATAGAATGGAACGTCTCGGTCTACATTCCAAATTAAAAACCCCGCCAATAACTCGCAACATTTTGAATAGGAAAAAGTTTTCCGTTGCCACTGTTTCTTGCGGTACGTAAAAAATGCAGTTCGTTTATCCGTCAGGGACGTGCGTTTTTCAACGCGTTGTTGAATTAAAATTTTAATCGCTACTTAAATCCTATGTAAACACCGCACTGACCTCGATTTACCGGGTCAAGGTGATAATTTGCCAATACTGTCCTGATCGGTCATCGAAATTACCGCGGAATTTTTAATTTCGCGCAAATTGGATCCGAACCACCGATTTTTTTTTCGAGACGTTGGTTTCTATAGAAAGAAAATGATTGCGAATCAATTAATTTTCTGCTTGAAACAAACGATACACGCGTGCTTAGATTTAATAGCCCGAACGTCTAATGAAATGCAAAGGAGATAATTCAAATAAATTACTGCGATTTTTTAAACGTAAATTACGGAGTCGCGTAACAGCAATTATAACAAAATTATACCGTTAAAATTAACATTAGACGTCGGATAAGAACATCCTTTCTAAAATTATGGCTAAAATTGTGAACGCGACGCAGGACCGGCACAAGGAATAAAGAATTCCCAAGCTTGATAAACGCCATTTTAGTCACTTAGTCAATTAGTATTTTTTCCCTTCATTGTATGGAATGGTGATATACAATCACATAGACAGCGTCCAGATTATTATAATTCCTAATGAGTTAGTAGGCTTAATTCATTAATATCATAATATACAGATACTTAAATAATTAAAAATATTAATTAAATTTAAAATTTAAATATAAATGCAGATATGCATACACAAGGACAGACATACCGTTGACAACACGAAGAAACGGATTAGGTTAAAATAGCATATTAAGAAAAAAATAAAACTATTTAAAATCGAAGTCGAAAATTAAGAACATTTGAGTTTTAAGTATATTTATAATCTGAATATTAGTAGGCAGAATTTCATAAGCTTTTATAAGTTGGATGGCCATAGCACATTGGTGGAAGGTAAAAGCCTGAGTCGTGGTCAAGATTGTTTGTTCGCTTATAGATTTCTATGGCTTCTCGGATTTTTGTTTGGTAGAAGAATTGATTACATGCAAGAATTTTAGGCTTATCGATGTTTATATTTCTTAGGAACTTTTGATGGTCAGTGATATTTTAATAGTTATCGATCGATTAATGGATTTGTATGAGTAGGTTTTCTCTAAATAGAATGACACCAATGTTAGGTCTGATTTTATATTGTTAAGAATGTCTAAGAATGGGAGATTATTATGATTTTATAATAGGTAGAATGGTAGAACGTATCGAGTGTTAAGAGCTTAAATGGCTAAGAAAATATCCGAGGAATTCCGATCATGATTGCAAATAACAAAAGTATCAACAATTTCGGTTTTACATAGAAGGTATCGAGAGTTTTCTGCTCAAAGGCATCCATAAATATATTCCCGATGACAGGTGATAATGGAGAACCCATTTGTTGTGCATAAATTTGATCGTAAATCGTAAATTTTTCGATTGATATGAGAAAGTTTGATTCCATATTCTCGGATTTTAAAATATCTGAAATAATATTTACAGTTTTAGGAATAGAATTTTTTGTAAACAAGAATATAAGTCGAAACTAACCACAATATTATTTGGATCTAATGTAATGAAAGGGATTAAGTTCTAAACTATCAGTTTTTTCTGTAAAGGAGTTTAATATAACAGGTACAGAGTACAGCAAGTTTGATTTATAAAGAACAAAAGGAGTAGGAATCCAAAAGATTTTTAATTACTAGGAAAGTTTCTTTGACAAATTAATTGCATGGTTTGGAATATAAGAATACAAGTACTTTATGCTTCCCTGCAGAGTGTTTGCTAACCAAAACTGCGAAAACAATAAATAAAACAAATAAAAAAAAAACATGAAGAAGCAAAAACAACCCACACATATATATATATATATATATATATATATATATATATATATATATATATATATATATATATATATATATATATATATATATATATATATATATATATATATAGTATATGAGGTTGTAGAATATGTATCACTCCATAACTATTTACAGTCATTTTTTATTCAGTTTTTATAATGTATTATTTTTGGTTACTTCACTGCTTTTTGAGTATTGTATTGTATTTGAGTAAGTATTTTGTATAATTTATGAGCAAATGCAAAAGCATGTAAATGCTACATATATAGTATACGAGGTTGTAGGATATGTATCACACCTACCTATTTACAGTCACTTTTTATTAAGTTTTTATAATGTATTATTTTTGGTTACTGCACTGCTTTGTAGTCACCACTACTAATTATTTTGTAATTTATAACCAAACATTGTAAAAGCTATACGTGGGAAAATAAAATTTTAATTTTAATTTTTAATAATTTTTAATTTAATTTTAATGTTAATTAATTTTTACAGACTCAAAGCTAAATTTCGGTTATAGAAAACAAAGAACAAATAATCTTAATGCTCCCCTGCCCCGTCGATTTCGAACAGCGAGAACCTGTCCTTACACTAAACTATTTGATTACATTAAAAAATCAACAACGCATTCGATGATTGGCCGCGTTTACCATTGAGTGTAGTTAACGCGATATTTTCGTCGGACGAAAACCGGTGACCCCCCCAAAGAGTTACGAGTTCGGTAGCGATCCGATGGCACGCCGCCGTTGTTAATATCGGAAAAATCGTCAACGAGGAAAAAAAAAAGATGGACCACTGCGACAAGGTGGTGAGAAAGCAGAATCCGAGAGAAAAGGCGAACGTTTTCTCACTGCTCACTTTCTCGTAAGTACCTACGTCACTGACGATGCCTGTACCGGCCGGTTTTGCTGATCTTTGTTAAAAATACTTTTTGGTGAAACAGAGGATTCTCAAAATTTCCCCGGCGTATTCTTCGGGGCAAGAAACTCTCTAATCGGGTCTTTTAAATCGTTAAATAATTACAGAAATAAGCAATATTACTCTCTTCCACTTCAAAACGAGGCAAAAAATTTGGGGTTACTTTTAGATACAAAACTTCGCTTTGAAAAGCATATCTCGACTTGTACGCAAAGGGCTATTGGCCGTTTAAAACGGTTGTATAGCTCAAGGCATATTCTAACTCGAAATCTTAAAAAACCTTATGCGATGCTCTTGTTTTCTCCGTGTTTAATCACTGTGATATCGTATATGGGCCTTGTTTGACAGGTAATTCGTCACAACGTATTGAAAAAATTCAAAAATTCAGACATGACGTGAATAACTTAAATTTAAGATTTAAAGGGGTCATAGTTCCTCGTCACCGATCTGGTATATTTGAAAGATCCTTCAGTTACGACTTGGATAAACTATATAATAAACTGTCCCATTCCGTTCAGAATGCCACAATAAATTCTTTTCCAAATAAACTAAAAACGTGGTTATGTTCAGGAATTTAAAGAGAAAAAATGGAAAAAAAACATTGAGAAGTTTCAGAACGCAGGAAGAATCAAACCTGCTAAAATTCTATAGAAATTTGTGGTACTTTAGCATCGACTTTAGCTAATAGTTTTTTTATTTACAGAGGTAGGTGATGTATGTGTAAGGATAAGTGCACTGCACTCTTGCCTTTTCTTGTAATTTTCCTTGTCGAAATTACCCCAATAAAGTTATTATTATCATTATTATTATCAAAACCCTAACGAGCGAATAATAACAATATTAGAAGAATTTTCCAAAGACGTGCAAATATTCAAGTATGACGTCCTCCACTAAAATTTTCGTAAAGACAATGACAATGTACCACAGTTTTCAAAATACTTAATTTTTACTTAAAATGTGATTACAAAAAAGCATGAGCACAATAGAAAAATTTAAAAAAAAAATAAAGAATTGTTATTTAAACATCAATTGCGAAGTTTTTCGGTGACCAATTTTTGACAAGTTGTAAGAAACTCCCCGTAAATTTTTTTAAATTTTTATAGATTCTTAATTTTTGGCAAATTTTGTACTCACACATTTATACAGTGTGTCGTATTTTAGAAATTTTAGAGATACGAAAAAGTGGTTATATGGTGCATAAATTCACAAGGATTGTGAAATAATTGACCTCCGAGGTCCCCCGATATTACACCGCTGGATTTTTATTTTCGGGGAGCGATCAAAAATAAGGCCCAGAAATCGAGATGAACTTTGACGAGTATTCAACAGAATCTTAAAAGAATTGGAAAATATATTCCAATCAATTTAATTATTTCCCTAAAATAAAATTTAAATTATTGTTTTCTTAAAATAAAATAATTATTCCTGTGTGTCATTGTTATTTATTTTACTCAAGGATTTAAATTACATGAATTACCCTCTCAAACTGACCATATTGTAGAGATTTTTCTTTCCATGGCACAATGATTTATTGAATAAAAAAAGTCAACTTTTAATAATGTTGAGTACTGAATAATAAAATGATAATGAAATACTAAAAATGCGTATTTTGTCATGAAAAATTGCTTTTTGAGTGGATTCGCAGTAGGCCGAGTTTAAAATTTAAATTTCGGTAACATCAACCTGTGTTCCTAAAACGAAACAAAAACGCTAGTTAAATTTGAAATAATACGAAAGAAATTCCCGATTAAACACGAAGAACTAAGAGAGAGATTTTCACGACTAAAATACACGTAACAAAGACTGTTTCTCCATAAAAAAAAATTGAATAGAATTTTCAAAAAAAATATTTTACAAACACCGATCTTAGAGTCTACAATAGACTGTCCCCAATGCTAACGAGCAACATTTTTAAATCCAAACTAAACTAGAAACTGTTTTTATAATTTACACGAATATTTTACCTATTAATGTTTGTCGTCACTGTATTGTTGTGGTCTATCATATATTTTTATTATATAAATTTTTAATGTAATTTTCTACCTCATTTGCATATATATATATATATATATATATATATATATATATATATATATATATATATATATATATATATATATATATATATATATATATATATATATATATATATATATATATGATGACACTATACTCCGGGATATCATCCGTTCGCTCGTTGAACTCCGACTGGAATCCTGCATCCGACTGGAATCCTGCAAATCCTGCATCCGACTGGAATCCTGCAGACGTTTCGCCAAAATCTCACTTGGCATCTTCAATGCTCGCGCTCCGAAAACACTTCGAACACTGAGCGCGAGCATTGAAGATGCCAAGTGAGATTTTGGCGAAACGTCTGCAGGATTCCAGTCGGATGCAGGATTTGCAGGATTCCAGTCGGATGCAGGATTCCAGTCGGAGTTCAACGAGCGAACGGATGATATCCCGGAGTATAGTGTCATCACATTTTTCCATCCGTGAATCAATACGTGAGAATATATATATATATATATATATATATATATATATATATATATATATATATATATATATATATATATATATATATATATATATATATATATATATATATATAATAAACATATTATTTTTTTATTATTATTACTAATGATTTTTGACAGAATATGCATTAATGAATTGTCAGGTCCTAATGCGATACAATGCGATATTTATATTGATCGCTAAACAAGGTGGGTAACCTAAAAGGTAAATCGTAGAGTTCAATTCCAATGATGGTATTTGGTAAATGCCAATTGTTTCTAAATTATGGTGGCACTAATTAGCAGACACTAATAGTAATAATATATTTACCAAAACTTTAAATAATATACAGTTATTCTACAAACCCAGTACAGAAATTTCCTTAGCGTGGGAAGCGTTAATTAATGTATTATATTTTTCACGAACTTGTAACACAATTAATTTTCTATAGCACCAGCAAGAGTCAACGATAGGATTCAAAATTTTTACTTAACTAACAAGTTTAACAACTTAAGTTGAAGTAGATATAAACAATATAATAATTAATAATAATAATAATAATAATAATTTTTATAATTAAAATTTTGTTCATTTTTTGATATACTCTAGGGTGGATAAAAAAAACCTATTTTTTTTTAATTTGACACACAAAAACTAGTTACCTCTAGAAAGTACTTACCACGTATGAGCTCTTAATATTAATGGAAAGATTATCTTCATTACAGTTTTGCATTTATATATATATATATATATATATATATATATATATATATATATATATATATATATATATATATATATATATAACAATCATGTCTTATCACCAATAGATTATTAAGCCAATTTTATTAATAATTTTTATGGAAAATTGAACGCTCTACAAAAACGGCCTCTTATACTTTTTCGATGAATCGAACCATTTCAATGATATTCGAGGTCAAAGATTGCAGAATTTAAAGAAAAATAATCCGTGAATCAATACGTGAGAATATATATATATATATATATATATATATATATATATATATATATATATATATATATATATATATATATATATATATATATATATATATATATATATATATATATATATATATTATTACTAATGATTTTTGACAGAATATGCATTAATGAATTGTCAGGTCCTAATGCGATACAATGCGATATTTATATTGATCGCTAAGCAAGGTGGGTAACCTAAAAGGTAAATCGTAGAGTTCAATTCCAATGATGGTATTTGGTAAATGCCAATTGTTTCTAAATTATGGTGGCACTAATTAGCAGACACTAATAGTAATAATATATTTACCAAAACTTTAAATAATATACAGTTATTCTACAAACCCAGTACAGAAATTTCCTTAGCGTGGGAAGCGTTAATTAATGTATTATATTTTTCACGAACTTGTAACACAATTAATTTTCTATAGCACCAGCAAGAGTCAACGATAGGATTCAAAATTTTTACTTAACTAACAAGTTTAACAACTTAAGTTGAAGTAGATATAAACAATATAATAATTAATAATAATAATAATAATAATTTTTATAATTAAAATTTTGTTCATTTTTTGATATACTCTAGGGTGGATAAAAAAAACCTATTTTTTTTTAATTTGACACACAAAAACTAGTTACCTCTAGAAAGTACTTACCACGTATGAGCTCTTAATATTAATGGAAAGATTATCTTCATTACAGTTTTGCATTTATATATATATATATATATATATATATATATATATATATATATATATATATATATATATATATATATATATATATATATATATATATATATATATATATATATAAACAATCATGTCTTATCACCAATAGATTATTAAGCCAATTTTATTAATAATTTTTATGGAAAATTGAACGCTCTACAAAAACGGCCTCTTATACTTTTTCGATGAATCGAACCATTTCAATGATATTCGAGGTCAAAGATTGCAGAATTTAAAGAAAAATAATTTTTTGTTCCGAATTTTGTTTTTGATCGAAAATTAATTATTGTGAAATGTTGTTGATTATTTTTATAGAAAATTTAATGTTATACAAAAAAGCTTTCTGGTGGTTTATGGATTACTCGAACCATTTTGAAGATTTGCACTGGGATCCCAATGGGTTCTTATATTCATAGTTTTTTTAACAAATATTTTCAATTTATATTATATTAGATAAAGAGATCTTCCCAGGCTGTTATACTATTTCTTATATGGTTTTCAAGAAGTGTATGATAGAGCCGTTTTAACTGTACCTCGTTTAAGGCCGAAGACAAACTTGAATCTGGCTAAAAGTGCCCTAATCTTTTTCACAACATATGTTTTGTTTGAATTTTATTTGGTCAATTTTGTGATTGTTAGTAAATCCTAATATATAAGGATTGAAAGTCGAGATCGATTTTTTTGGCGACTATTAAAAAACAAAAACGGAAATTCCGAAGAACACTTGATGCGTGTAAATTTTTTTTCGAAGCAATCCTGCTAACAATTTAATCTCGCGGAAGTGCACATGGTTAGCCATCGCATAAAGACTTCGACTCAGTACCGTGCCAATTATGATCGAAATATATTTTTTTCGTGCCGGGAAGTAATTTTTGACCCATTTTCTATCGCGAAATATTTTTTTAACGCGGAACAAAATAAACCGAGGACCGACACAATGGTTCTGCGGTTAAACCTGCTACGCAGCGTTTGTCATTGTTGATTAAATAAATTTGCGAATTGTACTTTTTTTTTATTTGGGACTTCCCGCCGGATAACATTTAAATAATGTACGTCTTCGACGATTGCGTAATCGATTACGACCAGAATAACTCCTGCGAGAGCGAAATACTCGTAGTGGTGTTCCGCAAGGATCGATTATTGGGCCCCTATTATTTATCAGCTATAATTATATATCAACATTAGATAGGAGCTAAAAACAATTGAAAAACACACCCAGTTGAACAAATTAGTAGTTAATAATATCCTAGAACAACCCTTTAGGCGGGGCGATAAACCAAATCCTGCGTACTTTTTCCCAAAGCAGCTAATCATTAACATTAACATTCATTTCTTCTTCTTTTTTGGAAAAGCTTCGGTAACTAAGGCCAAACAGAGCACACCTTCTACTCTTAGATATTCTACAAACCTAAACTTATATCAATTATCAGTTAACCGTATTTTGACATTATTGAAAAAATCCCATCTAACTTCCTCAAACTTTTTCTAATGTTGCAGGAATCTACTTCTTCCGCTCTCTTGCGGCCTGAATTTGGTATACATCATTTAAAAGTCACTATATTTAAATTTTCTGGAAAAGTTGCTTTCAATAGACTCATAAGCCAGTGTTTTGATCGCCAGTTACAATTTGCAGACAGCATGGTTCACCATGCCGAAATTACCACTGTATGTATATTTCAAGAAAATGAAACTATTTAAAAAATGTATATAGTTTCTGGTAAAGCTACGTAGAATGGGCCAGAGCCCAAGTCCCAAGGTGAGCTATCGGATTAGTCTCCTAACGCAGAGTTTTGATGGTCAACACAGGCTGACCTTGAGTTTCATCATATCACCTCTACCATACCGAACTTAGCACTGTATGTATTCTCCAAGAAAGTGAAACTCTATTCTACGTACGTTTTACATATCTTCTTTATTTTAAGTTCGAACTAATCTGTGGGGTGCATATCTTCACGAAGTTGATACATTCTAAAAGTTAGATCTTTTTTCATCAATGAATACTTTTTTTGCTTATGCCTCGTGTAAATCATTTAAAAGTCACTATATTTAAAACATGTCTAAACTTTCTGGTAAAGTTACTTAAAATGGGCGCCCTAAGGCTCCTAAGGCAGTGTTTTGACCATCAATTACAATTTGCAGACACCAGAACTTATCGCTTATCTAATCTGTAAGAAAATGAAACGCTATTCCACCTACTGTTATCATGTCTTCTTTATAACAAACTATCCTGTTTAAGGATGTGGAGTTTCTTGCGGAACAACAACAACACATAGAGTCGGGTGGTGTCATCTGTGCAGGGTTGACCCTTTCTAAACAATGAAAGGGGAAAATAATTCACAGAATTAGAATTAACTGAAGTATTTTTATATTTTGTTATAGGAATAATTGTATTTCCCTATAAACAATAAATAAATAAATGTTATAATACAAGATAATGCTCGGATATGAATAAATCATGAACCTGAACTCCAGGTACACGGGTGGCCTTTTCAAGAAAGCGATCAAACGGGACCTGCAAGAAAAAGACATCTACGAAGTGATCAAGCCGTGCAACTCGAAAAAAAACGGCGACTGTTTCGAAAAGGCGTGGAAAAAAGAGACGCTACGACCGAAACCTTCGATGGTTCACCTGTTGTGGACCTGTTTCGGTATCAAATACGCCATCCTGGGGGTCGTCCATTTGGTCGCCAAGCTCGTGAGCAGGTACCAACAAGTCTACATCCTCAACCTCCGTGTTTATCGATTCGTATCCACAGCGTGTTCGAGCCTGAAGCCGTCGGCAAACTGGTCCAGTACTTTAGCCCGGGTCAGAGCGAGCTGACCTACAACGATGCCGTATACTACGCGACCATCATGATCGGTCTCAAGTTCTTCCACGCGTTCTACACCCAAAACTACATCATCTACATACAGCAACTCTCGATCCAGATCAGGACCTGTTTCTGCTCGCTCGTCTACCGCAAAGCGCTAAAGTTGACGCCGTCAGCGATGATCGACATCAGTCTCGGCAACATCATCACGGTGATCACCAAAGACGTCTTGGTGTTCGAAAATTCGATCATGCTCATCAACGACATGTGGGTGGAAACGATAAAGGTTGTCGTCGTCAGTTATCTCATCTACAATAAGATCGGCGTTTCCGGTCTTGTAGGGATAGGTGTTCTTTTCCTGGTGATTCCGGCCCAAGGTGAGCTGTTCGTATAGTGTTATCCCAAGACGGTTAAATGCGTCGTTTTCAGTGTACGTGACGAAACTGCTGAAAAATCTCCGTCTCGATCTCTGCCAAAAGACCGACGAACGATTGCAGACCACGCAGGAGACTTTATCCGCCATTAAAATAATAAAAATGTACACGTGGGAGGCCGTGTTCGCCAGAAAGGTCGAAGTAAAACGAAAGTAAGGGTACCGATGTCGACTCGCAGCACCCAAAAACGATCGCGTTGTATTCCAGAAAGGAAATGAAGTACTTGATGAAATCGTACTACCTCAACTCGATCAACTTCGTCGTCGGCTTGTTCACCGCGAAAATCGGATTCTACGCGCTGATAATGACCTACATCTACCTCAACCAATACGTCAAGGCGGAGATAGTGTTCTACGTGATGAAGTGCTTCAAAGACCTGCACCACAGCCTGGGCGTAATCATACCGTTCGGTCTGGGCAGAGGCGCCGAATTGCTAGCGTCCGCGTCGCGAATCAATCGCATTTTGGACGCTCCAGAGCTTCAAGACAAAGACGCCAAATCCGAATTGACAGGCGTGGTCAAACTAGCCGACGTCACGGTCAGAGTTGGGGACAAGGAATTGCTGAAAGACGTCAGCGTGGAGTTAAAACCCGGACTGACCGTTGTTACCGGTCCGATGGGTTGCGGAAAAAGTACCCTGCTGAGGGCGATGCTGGGGGAGTTCCCCATCGCTGAAGGCAAGGCGGTATCGAACGCGACCTTCTCTTACTGTTCGCAGGACCCGTGGCTGTTTCCTTCCTCTATTAAGCAGAACATCGTATTCGGCGAACCGTACGACCAGAAGCGATACGACGCGGTCTTGACAGCTTGCGCACTCAAATACGACCTGAAATTGTTCGACAAGGGAGACGAGACGATAGTTACCGATCGTGGGATGAATTTAAGCGGTGGTCAGCAGGCCAGGGTGAACTTGGCGAGGGCGATATACAAGCGGAGCGACGTCTACTTGCTGGACGATCCGTTGAACGCCCTGGACCCGTCCGTGCAGGACTACATCTACCAGAACTGCATCGTAGAGTTTTTAAAAGGGCAGAAGTGCGTTCTGGTGACGCACAATCTGAAGCACAAAAACCGCGCGAACAATCTGGTGGTGATGGTAGACGGTCGGATCAAAATCGATGGCAAACCGGACGAGTTGAAGAACGACATTCAGGACGATTTAGAGGGAAGCGAAAAAGTTTTAGGCGAAGAACCGGATGAATGCAAGAAGTCCCTGGTGGACGCCGTCAAGCCCAACATCTACAGCGAGGTGAAGAAAGAGGGTAAAGTCGACCTGGCGGTGTATAAAAGATACTTCTCCTTCGGGGGAGGTTATTTCGTGTTCTTCCTTATCGCGACCCTGTTCGTCGGGTCGGAGTTCACCCAGAGCTACTCCTCGAGACTCCTAACGAACTGGTGAGTTAAATACCGTCCCCGAGTATCACCCGCGGCTTTTAGGATCAACCTGCAGGAGAATGCGTCCAACTTGGCGACGAGCGATTCGCAGGAATTAACACCGACGGTGACGGAACTAAACGGCAAAGCAGATCTGACGTTGAAGATATACACGGGAATGATAGTCGCGTCCGTCATCGTTGACTTGGCTAAACAATTCTTCTTCGTTAATTTTTCACGCAAAGCCTCCGTCAACCTGCACAACGCAATGATCGAACGTCTCACCACAGCAACGATGACTTTCTACGACAACTATTTCATCGGCAACATCCTCAACCGGTTCTCGCAAGATCTCAACGTAGTGGACGAACGATTACCGCTCACCGTCAACTTCTTCGTGATGGTGAGCGATTCATTCGCTTAGAAATTGTCGTGCACCGCTTGGTGGTTTCAGACGCTTCTCGCTTGCGGTGGGATAGTCCTTCTAGTCTCGTCGGTGAACTGGCAGTTCCTGATACCGGCCTCGATATTAATCCTGATTCTATTCCTCTTGAGGTTGCTTTACATGCCGACTGCCCGTAGCCTGAAGAGGCTGGAGGCCTCCAGTAAGTAACGGATAAACCGTCAGAGCTAGACTAAACCCGAAATGTTCGTAGCCCGAAGTCCCCTAATCGGTCACCTCAACGCTTCGATGGAAGGCGTGACGACGATCAGAGCGAGCAAGGCGGAACGCGTTCTAACGGAAGAATTCGACAGACACCAAGACCTCTACACTTCCGCCCATTTCATGACGTTTTGCGTGCGAAGGGCGTTCGCCTTCTTCATGGACATCCTCTCCGCGATGTTCACTACAATGATCGTCGGCAAATTTCTCCTTTTCGGTTCAGGCGAGGCGTCCGGTGACGTCGGTTTGGCGATCACCAAAGCCGCCTCGCTAGCTCACATCGTCCAGTTCGCTCTGATGCAATGGTCGGACTTGGAAAACGACATGACGTCGGTGGAACGCGTGTTGGAGTATACCGAGGTGCCCCGCGATCATTACGATGGGCAGAAAATCGAAGGCTGGCCCGCCAAAGGGGCGGTCACTTACGCAAAAGTGTCGCTGGCCTACAAGGAAGAGAAGGTGCTGAAGGGGGTCAGTTTCGAGGTGAAGCCTTCGGAGAAGATCGGCATAGTGGGACGAACGGGGGCCGGCAAATCGTCGGTATTAGCCACCCTGTTCAGACTGTACGATTTCGAGGGTATCATCACCGTGGACGGGGTGGACACCAAGACGCTACCCTTGGATTTGCTCAGAGATAGCATTTCGATTATACCACAAGAGCCGTTACTGTTTCAAGGTAATTTAAAAGTTGAATATTCATAGGCTAGTCACAAAGATGTTTTCACCAAAATGATGTATTGCACCCTGCACATGTTTTATTAGTAGACAACATTCTCAACTAATACAAGAGATTTAAACTACTTCTTAACCAACGTGAAGTGGGATGACGACCAACAACGCAATGTCATCAATATTAATTTAAAAATACGCAAAACAATTACATTTCAGTATTCGAGTTTAATTTGAAATAAACAATTATAAGTGCAATGAAAAAATTAATTTCTCTCCTCAATTTTATTACCCTTCTATAGTTCTGTACCTGGCGAATAGAAAGCATAGAAATTAATATTCATTTTAAAAAGATTCTACAAACCTACATGGATTTATTTTTTACCATTTAATAAAAAAAAGCACTTTACCCTCCTACAGATTTTTTTTATTCATGTTAATCCCCAATATTTTATAGTTTTGGTTACAAAACCGAAAATAAAGTCAAATTGACGCCAATAATATTATTTTCTAAATCCTTCTGTCAAATACCTAATTATACACCAAACTAGCGTGCGCAAAGTGTCTTTTCGCCACGTTAATTTCGTTTCCCACGGATTTCCGGGATATTACCGCATGGGTGTGGAAGCAATCTGACGTTTTCGGAGACTTTACCGCACGGCTTGAATTTTGACGTTTGTCAAGTCTGATGGTCATGTCAGTGAATGTACTCGTGTTATTTGCAAAAATTCACTTAAAAACTAACGGTGGTAGAAAAAGTATAGTATGCAACACGTTTGGAAAAAGTCACTCTTATTAAAGACTCGCTCCGCTCGTGCCAAACAAACTCGTGAATCAAATGCCGTTTACCACACTTGTTGTATAGTAGTTTACCAATTACTTTTTCTACGACCGTTAGTTTTTGGGTACATTTTAGCAAAACAACACGAAGGCATTTACTGAAATGACCGTCAGAATTGACCAACTCAAGTCGTGCGGTAAAATCTCCGAAAACATCCGATTGCTCCCAAACCCGGTAATATCCCGGAAATGTCCAAAGTGATTCGAATCTATGGGACAAGAATCTAACATAGTAATGTGACGTTTCTCACACGCTAGATCGGTGTATAATTAGGTTTTTTACAGAATGGAGTAGAAAAATAAAATTATCCTTTCCCCCAAGTGAAGCATATGATTTTTGCTGAAAGTAGATTCTCAACAACTGTTTTCTCAATGCATATCACGCTCCTTATGGAAATAAAATTGCAAAGAATTTGTTTCGGATTATAAAAATAACAGCCGTTAAGTTTACTAGCAACTTTAAAAAATAATATTTCAAAATGTATTGTACTTTCGCATACTCTTTACTTACCCGGTAACTTACATCGATTAATTTTAATAAAGGTTTCGCTTTATCGGCACTCAGCACGTTTTAACGCGTAGCAAATAATTCGATACTATAATATTCCCGTTTCCGTTTCCTATCAACGCAAAATCGTTTCAACTCGCGAATCAATGTTCTAGTCAACTTACCTGACTCGTTGACCTCGTCGATCAGGACCACGATTAAAGTAAACCACGACAATAATCGATCACACGAAAATGTTACTTAAAACTCCCGAATAACTTTCGTAAATTTGACAGACCGACGCCACGCTCACGTAATAGTTTCCATGCCTACTAGACTCCCGTGATGACTCTCGCGCAGAGGCTACGGCGAAACTCAAGTTTGCTGGTTCGAATCTCACCTGCAGCGGGAATTTTTTTTCGATGTAATGCTACCGAAAAAATCCGGTTACATCGAGAAACGAATTGCCTGTCGATTTTGACATATTCTTTCATGCACACGTGCCTAAATCGTCAAAAAAACCTCTTTCTAGGTTCCGTAAGGGAAAACTTAGACCCTCTGAAACGCCATACAGACGAAGAGATATGGACGGCCCTCGGCAAGGTCTACCTGAAACACTACGTCGCCGCTTTGCACCAGCAAGTCGACGAACACGGCTCTAACTTCTCCACGGGCCAGCGACAGCTGATGTGTATGGCCAGGGCTTTGATTAAGAAGAATAAAATTGTCGTTCTGGACGAAGCAACCTCAAATATGGACCCGAATACCGAAACGTTGGTTCAAAGGGTCATCAAAGAACAATTCGCCGAATGCACCGTGTTCGTGATCGCTCACAGACTGTTGTCGGTACTCGATTGCCACAAGGTCATCGTCATGGATAAAGGAGAGGTGGTTGAATTCGACGACCCGCAGAAATTAATGGCGGACAAAGGCAGTTTGTTCGCTAAGATGTTGATGGTCGACAATGAATACACCCATTTGTAAAAAATTAAAGTTAATGCTTAGAAGACCGATTTCCACTATCACTAGTGTCGAAAATTTACCTCCTTGCGTTGATTAATCTTGGTCTTCTAAGCGTCAGGCTGTGACTTAAAGTGAGATTACAGTTATTTTATAGAGTTGCAGGCGGAAAGACGGCCATTTTGAGATCGAGTATCAGTCTGCAGTTAATTTGCGTCCGTATTTTTAAAGATATATAGCAATTGTTACAAATAAATATATTTTTAACTTTTCGGAAGTTTCATTCCTTCTTAGTCGTTTTTCCCTATGTGTTGCGTTTCAATAAGATCTGTGTTCCCACTCGGTGATCTTCCACGCCCTTTTGAACCTTGTATACTTCGACCAGAAATATAGTGCTTTTACAACCGATCGAGCATTCCAGGACCGCCCTAGGAATTTATATACCTACACTAACAAGCGGGATATAAGTATGTTTTCAATCTTTTTCGCCTAGCACATCTTGAAACACGTACTTTGAAAAATTAGTATAAAGTGACAATTTATTACGTTCTATTTGATCACATTTCTACATAGTCTCATTATTAAAATACAAAATATTAAATATAATAATAATAAAGTATCAGTCATTTAAAAAATCGTCATTATCGCTACTGTCATTATTATTATCAATTCAAACTGAAAATCCATTTTCTTCAAAAAAGTACCCAACGATTCTTTGCCACAACTAATGTTTAAGCCTGTCAGTACTTCTTCTTGGGTTAAAACACTTTATAAGCGTATTATATTATACTCGAAGTACCAGCATCTTCTCTCACTTTCCTCTTGACTATCCCATTTGCAACAATTTTTCATACAGTTAACTTCAGAACTTTGGTCATGTCACTTATTTTTATTGCTGCTCCTACTTCCCCTTCTGAATTTCTTATAAAATTTTAAACATTCGAAGCAACTATTTTTTTCTATTTACTGATGTAATTCGTCTTCATTAGGTTGAACTACCATCTCCACTTCGTCTTCAAAAGGGAAACATCTGCTTCATTCTACGGTCTTCAAATTTTAAAGTGTTAAAATACGGGAACCTTCAAAAAATTTTTCATTGCAAGATTCTAATAAACTAACCAAAACTATGAAAAAGACACAAAAATACAAGCAGATCAATGTTGCTAATCGACAGGCACACAAGACAAAGACAAATTCTCAAACTTAACTGTACAAAAATACGTACCTACTGAAAGCATCACATTCACCTGATGTTAAAATAAGCGCTTTCACTTATTCGACAATACTCCGCAGCATCAATGCTTAATCAAATTTAAATCGGTCCATTTCGGTTTCAAATAAAAATTTCTGCAAATTTTCGTTATGGTCCATCTTGCCTAAGACTGAGGACAAGGAGAGGCTTACGGGGTATTTGCGAAGTTCATAGTTCATAGTTTATGTTAATTTAATTGCTTATATAAATATACAATTGCTAAATAAATTTATTATTATTATTATCATTTCATATTATTATTATTAATATTAATACACTCGTTTGCACTGAAATCCTCTTTCAAAAAATTATATCAGAAATATGAAGATTTTAATGCTCTGAATGTTTCTGTTGGGCGATATTTTCTGTCATGTCTAAATTTTTGGATACAATTTTTTTTTTAAATATCATAAATTTATTTTTTTAAATTTTATTTGATGCATTAACATCAGACACAATGTATATACATACAAAATAGGTTTGAGCTAGTTGTAAAATAAAGAAGAAAAGCGCCGAATGTGATTTTCATGGTAGTACATATACGCTTGCGCAGTATTGGCTGTGACTTTACAACAGTTAGTTGAAAACTTGTCTTTTAATTGTTTACGTTCTGTATCAAATATATTGGAAGTTTTGCATAAAGTTTTTTTCATGAACAGATCTAATAAATATACAATAGCAATTTGAAAATTTTTCTAAAATAAATTTTAGGTTATAGAATGCCGCGAACAGTTTTTGCTACATTTATGGTGAGTTTACACTAAAAATGCAGCGGAAATCCATTACCGACTTCGTTAAAACAGCTTATCAGCTTTATATTGAATTTTCTATGGATGAGGGGGATAACAGTTGGCTGAATAAAATATGCTATAGCAACTGCTCGAGAACTCCTATTGGGAAAGCACTTACATCTTACATCTCCACCAAAAAATAACTAAAAGATGGAATATATAAATACTTTCTGTCTACACTGTAGACAGTACAGCCTCAATCGCCTTCAAACACTTTATCTGGATCTTCAAGTCCATCAAAGAACCCCATTGGGTTAAATGATCTTATTAGAGTTGGGGCTATCAAAATTAAGATTAAAACAGTGGAATTTGTTGGATAAAAGGACAAGAGTATTTTCACACAACACAAGAAGATTTCACGAATTACTTTTCGAAAGAATATGATTTGGTATATTCCAATGATGCTACCGGGCTTCTTTAAGAACTTAATTTTCTGATGAAAAGAGACTTTTTATTGATGTATGCAGTGATGCATAATAGAAATAAATACCCATCAGTGCTGCACATGCAGCAAACATGAAAGAAAATTATGCAAATAAAATATTCTCAATAGCTATGTAATATTTGTGCTGCTTTAAAAGTCGTCGTTATACTTACTGGACTACAGGGAAGATACACCAAGTTCTGTTGTTTTCTATGCGAATGGGACAGCCGCGCAAGAGAAAAACATTACAAAGTCAAAACACAAAGAAAAAAGCTTGACTCTTGGACTCATAAATATTTCTCATAAACCTTTAGTGTCTAGTGACAAAATTTTTCTGCCACCACTTCATGAAAAATTTTATGAAAGCTATGAACAAGGATGGTGCAGGCTTTGGCTTTCAATATCTCAAAACAAAATTTCCTCGAATCAGTGACGCAAAAATGAAAGAAGGAATTTTTGAAGAGCGTGGATGGCTTTTGTAAATGTATGTCATAATTTTCTTGGAAATACTAAAGCTGACAACTACCGACAAATCATTAGAAAGTTTTAGGATCCAATATGTCACTTAAAATTCATTTTTTGGACTCCCATGGCGAGAGATTTCATCAGGATATTATGCAAATTGAAAGACGCTAGACTGCGAAACGGTCAGCAGCAATGCTTGCTGATTTCTGTTGATCGATTCGCCGATAAATTCCGATGGAAACGATGTAAAGAAAAAAAACTCCAAAGTAGCTTGTATTTTATGTATTTGCCTATTGAATCCCATGTTGAAATCATGCATAAAAGAAATAAGGAGCAAAAAAATTTTTTTTTGAGGATCCACCTCCTGATTTGGGGGGATCAACTTAGATAGCCGCCTTGTCATTCTGACTCTCAGCTAGCACAGCTGTGAGAGCGATTTCGTAAGTGTCTCAGAGGCAGCAAAGAGAGAAATAGAATCACTTATTAATTGGAACTTATTGAAAACCTTTGTTTGACTGGTTAGTGAAAGTAAAAATTTTGGAAAATGATGGGCAAATCAATCGCCCGCCTATCTTTCACTTTGGAAACGATTTTCTGGCACAATTAATTATCCCGGCAATTTGTGTCACCGATAAATGCAGCCGAAACGAAACCTAAGATTATTCTAGCTTCTCGCGTTAACGTGTCGAATTAAACCATTAAAAAAGACTTCCGCAAACAAGGCCACAATTATCCTTTAAACACCAATTTGCGCCCATTTAGGGCCATTAAAGATTATATTCGGAGCGACACGTCGCGAAAACGAAGATTAGCCGCGACGTCAGACAAAGACGCGAGCCAACGAAAAATGGACCACTACGGCAAAGTGACCCGCAAACAGAACCCACGGGAAAAGGCAAACTTTTTCTCGATCTTGACATTCGCGTGAGCACGCACGAACTCGTCGCGCGAAACCCTCGACCATCCGACCTTTTTCAGATACAACTGCGGCCTGTTCAAGAAAGCGATCCAAAGGAACCTGCAAGAGAACGACATCTACGAGGTGATCAAACCGTGCAGCTCCAAAAAGAACGGGGACCGGTTCGAAAGAAAATGGCGGGAAAAGTGGGAGAAAAAGAATTACTCGCTCATCCAGCTGCTCTGGGAATGCTTCGGGCTCAGGTACATCATGTTCGGGGCGATACATTTGAGCGTCAAATTGTTGTTGAGCATTTTCGAGCCGCTAGCCATCGGCAAGCTGGTGCTCTACTTCAATCCAGGCCAGACGTCGCTGACGTTCCAAGACGCGGTGTACTACGCGGCTCTGATGATCGGCATCAAGTTCTTTGCCGCGTTTTACTATCAAAACTACCGCATTTACGTCCAGCAGCTGACGATACAGATCAGGACCTCGTTCTGCTCGCTAATCTACAGGAAAGCCCTGAGACTGACGCCCTCGGCCATGAGCAAAATCAGTCTGGGCAATATCATCACGCTCATCACCAAGGACGTCATGGTGTTCGAGAACTCGATCATGATGTTCAACGACATGTGGATAGAAATCATCCGGCTCAGCGTCGTCTGCTATCTGATTTACAACAAGATGGAGACGTCAGGGCTGGTCGGAGTAGGGGTTATGGTTATCATCGTACCGGCTCAGAGTAAGTTCACTTTGAATATTTTAACAAGCGTCATTTCGTGTGATTGTTCTTGTAGTCTACGTTGGCAAGCTGATCACCAACCTGAGGTTCGATCTGAGCCGGAAAACCGACGAACGGTTGCAAACTACGCAGGAAACCCTATCAGCCATCAAAATTATTAAGATGTATACCTGGGAGCAAGTGTTCTCGAAGAAGGTCGAAGAAAAACGCAAGTAGGTTTTCTAATCATCATTTCTTCTTTTATGCACTTTTCTGACCCCCATAGATTTAAGGAAAGAACTTAAACTTTTAACCAATTCTGACGCTCCACTGTATGTGGTGAAACCATATATACAGTGGTGGCGAGCCCATTACTTAATTAATCGTCCTGGTTGTCAGTCCAAACCAACTATTTTGTGCATTTACTGAATTCTCCAAGTTTGAGATACTTTTTTTTCAGAAAAGAGATGATCTACCTCTTAAAATCCCTCTACTTATGGACGATCAACACGGTGATAGCGGGGTTCATGTCCAAGGTAGGCTTCTACGCGCTCATCATGACCTACATCGGAGTGAACGAGACAGCCAACGCGGAGGTCATCTTCTACGTGCTGAAATGCTTCAGGGACGTCCGTACCTCCGTCGAAATCCTCATACCCGTTGGCCTCGGTCGGGGTGCGGAGCTATTCGCAGCCGGGTCGCGAATCAACAAAGTCCTCAACAGCGAAGAACTGGACGATGAAACGGCCGAAGAGGTGGTCAGGGCGAAGTCGGAGTTTCTCCGCAAAGCGCCCACCCTCAGGTTGGAAGACGTAAGCGTTCAAGTGGGCGACAAGTACATATTACGCGAGATCAACACTGAACTAAAGCCGGGACTCACGGTGATCGCGGGTCACTTGGCTTCGGGCAAGAGCTCGCTGGTTAAACTATTCCTGAAGGATTACCCGATCGCTGAGGGTAAGATCGTAGCTGAGGGCAATTTCTCGTACTGCTCCCAAGACCCCTGGCTGTTTCCCTCATCTATCAAGCAAAACATCGTATTTGGCGAACCGTTCGACGAAGACAGATACAACGAGGTGGTGAGGGTTTGCGCCCTCCAATACGATTTGAATCTGTTTGAGAAAGGCGACGAGACCATCGTGTCCGACAGGGGGATGAACCTGAGCGGGGGGCAGCAGGCGCGGATCAACCTCGCCCGAGCCGTTTACAAGAAAAGCGACGTGTACCTACTAGACGAACCCCTGCACGCGCTGGACCCGAAGGTCCAGGACTACATCTTCCAGAACTGCATCCTAGACTTCCTCAGAGGCGAGAGTCGCGTGTTGGTCACCCACGACCTCAAACATCGAAACAACGCCGATAATTTCATCGTCATGCAAAGCGGCAGGATCGTCTTCGACGGGAAACCGCAGGAAGCTAACAGCGAGCTGCTGCAGGAGATCGAGCGAGGCGAGGAAGCCGATGCTGATGACGACCAAAGCGGCGACGTCGCCGAACTCGAGACGTCGACGCTTACCAAGAGGAAATTTAGCAAGAGGAAGATCTACGCAGAGGCGAGCAAAGAAGGAAGCGTCGACTTCGGGGTGTACAGACGCTATTTCGCTTTCGGAGGTGGTTTCGCGATATTCGCCGCAATAGCTTTGCTTTTCGTCGGAGCCGAAGTTACCGAGAGCTACAGTCTCAGACTCTTGACGGATTGGTGAGTAGCGCTCAACCTGCAGGATATCGAAACTATCCCATCCGAAGGATAAACCTGCAGGAGAACATAACAGTACTACACGGCACCGCAGCCACCAACTCAACCGACGTGATCGACACTCAAAGAGAGAATTCCAAGTGGATATTGAAAGTGTACACGTCGATGATCGTCACTACCGTTCTCCTGGACCTGGCGAAACACTTTTCGTTCATCAACTTCTGCAGGATCGCGTCGGTCAACTTGCATAACGCAATGATCGAAAAACTGACCACCGCCTCGATGACGTTCTTCGACAACTACTTCATCGGTAACATCCTCAACCGGTTCTCGCAGGATTTGAGCGTGTCGGACGAGCACCTGCCCCATTCCATCAACATGCTGTTAACGGTGAATAAAAGCAGACTGCCATGGTCACCACTTGATACTCCGTTTGTCTAGGAACTCATCGCGACGTGTGCTATCGTTGTCCTCGTGGCTAGCGTCAACTGGCAATTCATCATACCCGCGATTCTACTGGGCATGTCTCTGTTTGTACTGAGGCAGCTCTACATGCCAACCGCGAGGAGTCTGAAGAGGCTCGAAGCAGCCAGTGAGTATCGTCGCTTCGCCATACGTGAACTATATTTTATGTTGCAGCCAGAAGCCCCCTCATCGGCCACCTGAACGCGTCGATGGAGGGCGTCACCACCATCAGGGCCAGCAAGGCGCAAAAAATCCTCGAAGAGGAATTCGACCGGCACCAAGACCTCTACACCTCGGCGCACTACATGACCTTTTGCGTGCGCAGAGCGTTCGGGTTTTTCATGGACTTCCTCTGCGTCGTCTTCCTCGTCGTAGTGATCGGCAAATTGTTGTTTTACGACTCTGGCGAAGCGTCCGGCGACGTAGGTCTGGCGGTCACGGAAGCAGCATCGCTCGCTCACATCATTCAGATAGCTTTGCTCCAATGGTCGGACCTGGAAAACGACATGACGGCGGTGGAGAGGGTGTTGGAGTACACCGAAGTTCCCCAGGATAGTTACGAGGGTCAGAAGCTGACGAACTGGCCCAGCGAGGGCAGCATCGTCTACGATAACGTGTCGCTCGCGTACAAAGAGGACAAGGTGCTCAAAAACATCAGCTTCTACGTCAAGTCGAAGGATAAGCTAGGGATAGTAGGACGTACCGGGGCAGGGAAATCGTCAATCATTTCGACCTTGTTCCGCCTCTATAAGTTCGACGGTACCGTCATCGTCGACGGAGTAAACACGAAGACATTATCGTTACAGTACTTCCGGAGGAATTTGTCGATCATTCCGCAGGATCCGTTATTATTCCAAGGAACCATCAGGCAAAATATCGACCCGCTAAACATCTACACTGATGAGGAAATATGGACGGCGTTGTCAAAAGTCTACCTTAAGGATGTCGTGGACGATCTCGACCTGGTGGTGAGCGATCACGGTTCCAATTTCTCCACCGGCCAGAGGCAGCTGGTATGCCTGGCTCGCGCCATCGTCAAAAGGAACAGAATCGTAATACTTGACGAAGCGACCTCCAACATGGACCCGGAAACGGAAGTCTTGGTGCAGAAGGTGATAGAGGAACAGTTTTCTAACTTCACCGTCATCGTTATAGCCCATCGCCTGCAATCCGTGTTAGACTGTCACAAAGTGATGGTGATGGAAAAGGGAGAGATCGTGGAGTATGACAATCCGAAGAAGCTTTTGGAGAATAAGAATAGTTACTTCTCGCGGATGTTGCTGGTGGACAGGCAACGGTTTAAAGTCGAATAACTCAACCAAATGGTATTCTGTCTTAATCGGTACTTTTTCATTTCCTTGTTTTTTTTTTTGGAAAATTAAATTGCGTATAAGAAATAGAAAACCAGAATGCATTTTTTTCCACCCGAAATTCCGGTGTTAGTAATTTAAAAAATATTACTAAAAATGGCAATAAACATGATGTACTGAAGGCGAGAATGCATCAAATATATTTCCAAACCAAAACTACTATTTCAATTTTTTTATTAATTTTTAACTAACATTTAATTTAATTAACGTAATTTAGCTTTAGCTAAAACCTTATGAAGGTTTGATAGGTATAATTACAATCGGAAGTTTACAAACATAATTTAGGTAAATTACATTAAAATGGCTTATACATTAAAGTAAAAAACGCCTAGATATATTAAACCATGAAATACTAAAGTTGTACGTGCTAGCTATAACCGAATAATTTTTTCACCGACTTTAAAAAAAATAAACCCTTACAACTTCGTCGATTTCCCCTAGCTCTGATAAATCCACAAATGCCCTGCACAAATTAAGGCGAAACTATCTATCTAGAACTAAATTAAATAAAACAAATTATCTCATAAAATTAATTGGATGTTGCCTCACCGGGTCTACATCCGTTTAAAGCCGCACGAAATTATGATGCATGGCACATATAATACGAACTTTAAATTCACCGTCACGGCATGTCCGCGTTAGTTTCCGTTGCACTTTTTTGGTTAACACTTCAAAACGCTCTAAGCTGCGTAAATTACAAAAGGTGAGTGGTTTGACGAGCCTGTATTCTACTTCTTTTCGATCACAACGCTAAACCGCCGATTATCTAACGAACAAACCAATTTGCTGCGAAAATTCTAGAGAACCCTTTATCAAAACGCCCCACGTGGCGGCACTGATATTAGCCAGAGGCGGCTCGAAAGGTATCACATTGAAAAATCTTCAGACTGTCGGAAACGAAACATTGCTCGGCAGAGCCCTGACGACGATCAACCAAATAAAATTCTCGTCAATTTGGGTATCGACCGATCACTTCTCGATAGCACTAGAAGCAGATAAATGTAAGTTTTCCTTTATTGGTGAGCAATATTCCCATAAATACTCACCAGATGGAGCGAATATACACTGGCGCTCAGCGGAAACCGCAACCGACCAGGCCAGTTCGATCTCTGCTGCACAGGAATTTCTTGTTCACCACAGTATCGTCGACGGGGTTGCTTTAATTCAGTGTACATCTCCGTTTAATAAAAAAGAGTACTTGCAGAGAGGATTCGATTTGTTCGGGTTTCACGAATGCGTGTTTTCGGTTACAAGGTAATGTATAAGTGTATATTTTCTAATCTGGTCGTGAGAACTATTGGCGCGGCAGCTCTTTCAAATTGAGATGGGAAAAAGTGAACGGAACTATCAAACCAGCGAATTTTGACCCAAAAAACAGACCGAGGCGCCAGGATTTCAAAAAAGAATACGTGGAGAATGGCATGTTTTACTTCGCAACACGAAAGCTAATAGGAAAAGGTTACTTTCAGTCGAATAGGTGAGTGGCTAGTCTACAATTATACAATTCTGCAATAACGGATATTGCGTACGTGCGTTTATGACTTGGATATTTCGCGACTTTCCGTAGTGGCGGACAACATCCATAGAATCAAAATGTTTATTTCATACCAACAAATTTGCAATGGTGTCGTGTCAAAAATTTTCGAATGTGAGGTTATGATTGCTTGACCTTTTACAGTACGTATTAGATAATTAATATTGAAGTGGAAGGTTCGGAAAGCGAGTAAAGTCCGCGATCTCGTCGACACGATGGCCGTTCCCGCACGAATTTTAAGCCGATACCTGAGCGAAAGTGGTATAAAAGCCGGCCAAAGTGTACGTTTCAATAGCTACGAATCGACGAGATGGAACCTGAAAATGAACGCAAATACCAAAGTGATATGTCAAGGTTTCACTGGTAAACAGGGAACGTTCCACAGCAAGCAAGCCATCGAGTATGGTACTAAAATGGTCGGCGGCGTCTCGCCTGGGAAAGGCGGTAAAACTCATCTCGATCTGCCCATTTTTAACACGGTGAAGGAAGCCCGAGAGGCGACCGGTGCCGACGCAACCGTTATTTACGTGCCGCCACCCGGAGCCGCCGCGGCTATTCACGAAGCGATCGACGCCGAAGTACCTTTAATTGTGTGCATCACCGAAGGGATCCCTCAGCATGATATGGTGAGAGTCAAACACAAGCTGCTGAGGCAGAATAAATCTCGTCTGGTTGGGCCGAATTGTCCAGGCATCATTGCACCTGAACAATGCAAGATCGGCATTATGCCAGGACACATTCATCAGAAAGGAGTTATTGGTGTGGTGTCCAGGTTAGTTTTGTTTTTGTGAAACTAGTTTGCCATTGACAGATAACAAGTAGTTTTATAGAATTTCGGCAATGTTTAACAAGTTGCATGCAGGCAGGTGTTAAATAAGCATTAGATTAAATCAAAATTTTGTGATTACCCACTACCTAATAAATTTAGGATATCTTATCAAAAACAAATTGTATAGGTCAAAATATTATGTCACCATTAATGTTTTTTTAGATAATTCCGTCAATAATGCCGCGAGGATTAAATATTTGTTTTTCCACTGAAAGCTTTAAATAGGGCTTTTACTAATAATACTTCAAGTGTAAAACTGTTTATACGTTATTGTAGGACAATGATAAACGCTGATAATTTTGGACTCTTTCCAAACTGCACCGCAACACGCCTAATTTTTATGTTGGCATAAACCAGGTTCAGTTAAAAAAAAAAACATTAATTAGCACTTGCATTTTTTACATTTAATCTTTTTTTTTGCTATGTCATAGATCAGGCACCCTGACTTACGAGGCCGTTCACCAAACGACGCAAGTGGGCCTGGGCCAAACTCTATGTGTAGGTATTGGTGGAGATCCATTCAACGGAACAGATTTCATTGACTGCCTGGAAGTGTTTTTAAAAGACCCGGAAACCAAGGGCATCATCCTCATCGGTGAGATTGGGGGCGTAGCCGAGGAACAAGCCGCCGATTACCTAATTCAGAACAACTCGGGCCCCAATGCCAAACCGGTGGTGTCATTTATTGCCGGGTTGTCGGCTCCGCCTGGACGCAGAATGGGTCACGCCGGAGCCATCATATCCGGCGGAAAGGGGGGCGCCATGGATAAAATCAAGGCGTTGGAGAAAGCGGGGGCCATAGTAACGCGATCGCCCGCCCAGATGGGCGTCGAGTTGCTTAAGGAGATGCGACGCCTAAATTTAGTCTAAGTTCGTTCACTGTCGTTATGTATATTTATTAGGAAAGAGTCGCTTAAGCGTAAAACTATATCGCGGGTTTAACATTGTTGTTGCCTATGTATGTGGAGAGAAATAAAAATTCGATTTGTTTTATTAAATGGGATGAATGCGTTTATGTTATGCAGTAGGCAGTGACGTCATTCACCGCGGATACGTTTACTGTGCGAACTGCCGAAAGACTGTGCCTAACTAACCAAACCGTTGGTCGTCGAAATTCAGGTTATGTCCCGATAAATAGCAAATGTATTTAAATGGTAATTTAATGTGAGATTATTTTCTATGTTGCGGTGAATGTATAATGAAAGTGTAAGTTGCCCGCAGGGGAAAAACTAGAATAAACGTTACGTGCGACGGTGTTGCGCGATACGCCCACTCCACTCGCGATATCTATTGTGGGAAAAAAATAATTGTCCGTTTGTAGATGCGAACTGATCGAAATCCCACGGTTTGACGATCTGGAAATTGATACGCCCCTCGATCTGGTTATAGCTAATATGATATTTGACGCGGATAAGTTATGACGACCGATTTAAGCTCAGGTATGTAGGGTTATGAACGAGGTAAAACTGATTATATGCCAGGACGTTTGTAGCGTCGCTACCTCCTTTATACAGAGACGTATACGACAAGTGTTCGCTCAACGGCGACGCGATCCATACAGATGTGTACAAGTGCCTTTTATCCAACTTCAATCTGGACCCATCCCAACTCAAAACGATATGGGATTTGGTCGGACCAAACGCGGACGGAATTATTACTAGGACCAATTTTTATAAAACGTTGGCGTTGGTCGCTTGGGCTCAGCAGGGCAAAGAAATATCCGATAAATTGTTTGATACCTTTACGGGAACAGGTTAGTTTTAGCAGTAGCGATTATACGTCGAGTATAATTAAGGTACGTAAGGTGATTAATTTTTATCTTTAACGCGTTCTAATGACAGGAAACGGCCTCGAGTAAGTCACGATTGTAAATAAACATATCGCTTGGGAGGCTAATTTTTTCCGCATCATTGTTGGAACTTGTACTTGCAGAATATCCTAGCCCCACGATATCCGACCTGTCGTCGATCCAAACCCTTAAAGCGAAGCTGATTTTGAAAAATAAACCCGCCTCAAACTTCCACTACCACCGACTCGTCCAGATGGACACGGTCAATGTTCAGCTCGTGCCCGAAAAGAAGGGGCTGTTTCTAAAACATTCCGAATATTTCGTCACTTCGCGCAGATTCGCGAGCAACGTCACTCGAAGATACACGGATTTTGTGGTGTTGCAAGATCTGCTACTTAACAGGTTTCCTTATAGGTAGGTCGCATTACTCTCGATATAGGTCTTTCTCCCGAACGCGGTTTTAGGTTAGTGCCGAGTCTACCTCCCAAGAAAATAATCATATCGGACAACCAGTTCCTCAAGGAGCGTCGCCGCGGTTTGCACAGGTGGTTGACGCTGGTGTGCAGACACCCGGTTATGTCTAGGGACGCGCTGATCGGTTTCTTCCTGACGGATCAGGGCTCCGACTTCCAGACGCGCATAAAGGCCGCCTTCCGACGAGTCCCGGATGAATTTATGACGTCCGATTTAGCCGCGAACGCCAAAGTACGCGACGCTATTGCCACGCCCCCTATCTCGTGAGTCACCCCCAATATCGTTACAGGAATTGTTGCCAAACGATCACAATCAGATAGCTATGAGCCGCGAATGCGTGCACTCCCTCGTAAACACCATCGGTAGGCTGAAGTTAGAAGCCGAGGCTAGCGTCGAGCGGGGCAGGGCTTCGGCCCGAGACCTCGAGGACCTCTCTGTCCAACTGAAGAACATTAGTCAGACGCGGGTCGAAGATACGCGCCACTTCGTCGAGAATTGGGCGGAGATTCGGACGATTTTCGCCGAAGCCGCAGGCGAACTCCACCCGTTGAGTCGTGCCGCCGCCAAACATTCCGACCTCGAGCAGGACGCCGTGTGCGAGAAGGTGGCGCTGTTGCTCGACGTCCTCGTCGCTCACAAGGAACTGTGCGAAAGGCTCGAGAAGGGCCTCGCGCACGACCACCAGGTGGCGCTTGCGAAAATGCTGTCATTGAAAAAGAAGAAGCTGCAGGGAGCGATACGCGGTGCGGACGTGAGTATCGACGCGAGGTGGGCGGGGCTCGCTTTCGAAAGTGCCCGTATTTCTGTAGACGGAGAGCATCGAGCAACTCGAGACGAAGATGCTGACCCAAGAGAACGTCATCACGAACATCGACCTGAGGACGGATTTCAGTTTGTATTGCGTCCACATGGAGACGCAGCTCGTGTTCACTTATTTGGGGACGATGCCCGCGATTCTGGCGAGTCTCATCGATTTGAAGACACGTTCGCATTTTGAGGTGAGCACGGCGGGGTGGGGGGAGGCGACGGGGTTTGAGGATTTTGGTTTTCGTGCAGCTCCTGGACCTGTGGCGCCATCTGCAGACCCGGTACTGCGAAGGGGGCGGCGTTAACGGCATGTGATGGTCCGATATTAGCGGCAAATTTATCGAATTCACGGGGGAAAACGTTATCGAATATATTTTGGACTAATATATTTTGTTATTGTTACTGTTACGTCTTATTCAGTTAATTCTCTCTGTATGGTTCGGCGACGTTCGTATGACACTCAAGCAAATATATTTTTTTTAACTCTTGATGATATGGGATGCTCATGAAGACGCGTTTAGATTCAAAGGTATCATTTCTCAGGTTGATGTCGCCTGTATTATACAGGGCGTCAATTTAAAGGACATTAATTTTCATTTAAAATATTACCCAGTGTTTTTTAAACACGTCGTATCGTTACCGTATTTAGGATTAGGTTTTGGGTAAAATACTCGCTGGTTACGTTTTACGTCGTTTATATAGTCTATTTTACATACTCAAATAAAGCGTTTCATAGTACTGTAGCGTTTCAATTTTTTTTTTTTTTTTTGCGGAGCTCTAGCCGATCCAGAACAGAATATTGTGGGCGGACCTTCTGCCCACCAGCTTGCCCAGATTCTTAAACGTTTCGCGATCGCCTCCGAATACCCTGACGAAATCCGAAACGTACATTAACCTCAAATTGTAAACCACCTTGATCTTGTCCAAGTCGGTATCGGTGCACGCGTTTTCGTCCCGCGCGTGCGCGTCGTCGTTTAATCTCGAATATTTACTGGCGTCCAGTTTGGGTAAACACCGCTCGATTGGGACGAACACGTAAGATTCCGGGCACAGCAAATACGAAGGGCGCAGATTACCCTTGTAGCGCATTTTGGGGCACGAGTGGATGTAAAATCCCATGTAGTAATACCTCAGGTCCGCAATTTTCGAGTGCAGCGACTGCACGAACTGGACTTCCCTGGAAGGGTGGCTTGATGTAACGGTATTGCCATATCAGAGAACAAATCACAAGTGACGTTCCATGATTTGATTGATCCTGACCACTGGCGATTTTACAATTCAGTGACACCTCTGATGTAAGAAAATATTGCTATAGTTCACCACTATTGAAAATGGTTGCATTGTTTTCAAAATGCTCTATTGATGGATATAATTCAAGAAATATTAAATAACAATTAGCTTTTAATTTTGCTACATTAAAGATGTACTACACAAATATCCTTTAAATTATAGCTTCCTGCAGTATCAATTAAAATCGGTTTGCACATTACACTTTAAATACGTTAAAAATGGATTTTATCATAAAATGTTCTTTCGTCATTTTCCACAAACCGCAAAAGATGATAACAGAGCCACTAATAGTGCTTTGTTGTCGTTAATCCAGATAGAACGGGCACGTTTGTTTACGTTTCGCAACGCCACCATAGGAAAATCAATTCGCCGATAACGCCCTTTATTTTTGTCCTTCCTGGAATCCTGATTGAGGTTATGTTTGATATCCGTTGTTATGTATGTTTGGTTTTCTAATTCATCTAATTTAAATAAACATACTGAAAAAGTGTAATGGGAAGCCCAAGATTGTTTATTACAAGTAAAGACACCAAATGTAGGAACGTGATCTGTGATGTTTTTGCCTGTCTAATAGACTACAAAAAGGCGTTTGACCATGTTAGACATGACCAGATGATAGATGTCTTGAAAGAAACCGGTATGGACGCAAAAAAACTAAAAATCAAAGCCAATCTCTTTTAGAACAGACCTGATTTTCAATCTACTTTCTGAGCGTATCTTTAGAGAAGTACTAAAAGATATAGATGAAGGTATCTCCATAAATGGTGTCAACCTGTGAGAACGGATACAATAGAAGACTCGCAAAAGCTAATAGACAAAGTTACAGAGAAAAGTAAACAATATGGAAAGGCTAAAAGTACTTTCTCAGCTATACGTCAAGTATTCAAAAGCCACAACCTCTCACAGGAAATAAAGAAAAGACTCCTAAGGTGTTACATATACTCGGTTCTTCTGTACTGTGTGGAGTTACGGACCATAAAACAGGAAACCATGTCCAAACTCCGAGCCTTTGAATGCTGACCGTACAGGAAAATCTTGAAGATACCACAAATCCAGACGATTACTAATGAAGGAGTGTTACGGAAAATGAAAACCTCCATTGTAATAGTCAAAATCGTTAAATGCCGCAAACTTCAATACCTGCGTCACGTCATGAGGAACAAAGAAAGATATGAACATGTTAAAATATGGTTTTCAATCAATGATCTTGCGGCAATCAACAACCAACATGGCGCCTGACAAATTGTCAAAACGTTTGGATGCGGCATATTTTGTCAAATATATGTCCAGATCTCATTAAATCTTTGCTAATCTCTAATTTTCTAGTTTTTTTTAGATGCTTGAATCTGATTAAGTATTAATTTTATATGATGAAATATCGTCTTTTTTTTCTATCTATCTAATTTAAAATAACGAGTTACACAATAAAAATAATCCTTTAAATAAATTAGATAAATCTTAATCACTCTCTTCTCCCTACACCATAGACACACTTGCATTTTTTTTAAATAAAATCATGGAAGGTATTTGTGATTTAGTCGCTCCTCTTAAATAAAGATTAACGCAAATAACGTTCTTACCTTAACGAACCGTAAGTGCCTAATGTCAAATCCCTGTAATCGGGGTCATAAAAGAAATACACAGAGCTGACGCACTTGGGCAACACGTCGATGACGGCCACTGCGATTAACCTGTCATCCAACCAGTACTGCTGATGAAACGAACCATATCCTGGGCCATCTACACCGTCGGGAAATTTCCTAAACTTGAAAAGAAAACTTCGTTTTTGTTAAAAGGCAAAAACGAATGTCGCATAGTACCACTTTCATGATATCATAAAAATTTAAATTGTTTTTGTGGTCTGAGTCTGAGCAGAGTAAAAAAATACCTTCAAAGGACTCCTAACCAAAAAATCGAAAAACTCGGCTTGGGTGGAACTGTCTAAGGGCTCGCGGTGAATCGAGGTTTGGTATTTTGCGTAAAGTCTTGCAGAAACTTCAAAAGTGCAGTGCCCCCGATCCAACTTCACTATAATCATCTGCGATAGTAGTTAAAACTTAGATAAACACCCTGTCCAGACAGTTATTCTTTTGCTCTGCTTTAACTCATTCCAACAGGAGAGAGAAAACATTCTACCTTCAGGGGAGAATGGACTAAAAATCTCAAAAAACTGCGCATGCTTAATTTTTCAGGTGGATCCTGGTGCACCTTCATTTGATATTTTCTGTAAAGATCAAATTCCAAATCCTCGACCTGATTCCATTCCTCGGTCTCAGCAGCACAATGAATGAGCTTAAGCTGAAGAAAAGAATAACTATACAACATTTCAGAGTGCTTTATTAGTTTGGTAAATTTAATTTACCTTAAGTTTGAGTTTCCCATCAGTAGGTATATCCTCCAAAAATTGATTTAAAGATTTCTGTTCATTGGTACCATTGACAAACTGTATGGCTTCTCCTTTTTGTTGTAATTTTGCTTTCTTTCTTTCTAGACGCAAAAATTTTGCCTTTTTGCAGGGTGGTTTGCTATGATCTGGGCCTACACCTTCTCTGACATGTTTTTGGTTTCTTTCTGGGATAGATGCAACAATACCCTCAATTTTTTCACTGCTAGTGTCCTCAGGATTTTCTCCCTCCAACACAACGTTTTTGAGGTCTTCTCCAGAGGTAGTAATAACTTTTTTTAAATCAATATTAACAGACTGCCGCTTATGTTCTTGGTACTCACTGCATGAATCATCATGCATATTATCAAAAAGCACATTTTTTTTTTGTAAAACACCGTCCCTTAGAAATTTGTTAAATTTTTTTATTACCTTTTTGTGGGATTTGTTCAAAACAAAGTTTACAGCGTCACACCTGATTGTGTACTGGGGACAGCAAGTTTTATCCATGGAAGGCTTATAACAATATTTTCCCGACCTTCTCCATCCCCTATCTATCAAATCTTGATAATCTTCCACTGTCATCGATTCCACCATCATACCTAAAATCGGTATTTGGAGTTAACCACACTACCACAACCATAAATCATCTACCGAAAGATACACTTCCACTGGGATTCTTGCAGTATCCACATCGGTGCTGTTCTATCTCCGAAAACCATTCTGCGAGACTTGCGTTACTAATGTCCACCATTTCAACACCATCAGTTATAGGAATTGCTTAATAATTAAAATTATTGGTGATTCAAATAGATAAGGTGCCTACAATTATTTCCACTCAGGCGCTAACCTTCAAATGACAGTAACAAAGTTCAAAATGTAAATTTACGTTTAGCGTCCAAACTCATAATTTGGCCACAAAAGAAGAATTTTCACCAATTAACCTATTTTTGTACTCGAAAAGGGAATTTTGTACACAATGCTATAAAAGTGTTTTGTACACGCAAAAATGGCCAAGATTATGAACTTTGACCTATTACGAACTGAATTTAAGGTATTTTGGGATGTTATTTACCAGTAGTCATCTATAAAATACGTTTCCTGGTTACAGGAAATACTCACCGAAGCTTTTGCAGCAAACAAGATCGAATTGTTGGAAAATAAAGTAAAGCTGTATAAAAATACAGATTCGGATATTAAAAGTCCCCTCGATCAAGCTTTTCGAGACCTGCTCCTTGAGTTGCTGACAAAAGAGGTTAATGTAACAACCCTAAAGACTTACATCGATTTCTCCATCGAATCATGTCGGAGACATTTGGACACGTCCACGTTACCTGTCGTACTGCTTGGAGACATTTTTGATATTTTAACGTTAGATATGTGCCAGCAAATGTTTACTTTTGTGGAGGAAAATGTCCAAGTTTGGAAAGAAGAGCTGTTTTTTACTGGTTGCAAGAATAATCTGTTGAGGTTATGCAATGATTTATTAAGGAGATTATCTCGAACCACCGCCACAGTATTTTGCGGCAAGATACTTTTGTTTTTGGCCAAATTTTTTCCTTTCTCTGAAAGATCTGGCTTAAATATAGTAAGTGAATTCAACTTGGAAAATATAACTGAATATGGTACAGACTCTACAGAAGACACAGTGACGGAGATCAAGTCAGGTGATACGAAACATGTCATAGACTTTTCTTTTTATTGTAAATTCTGGCAACTGCAGGATTTCTTCAGAAATCCAAATCAGTGCTATGATAAAGTACAGTGGAAAGTGTTTTGTTCTCATTCCATGAGCATACTGAACACTTTTCATGGCATTAAACTTGATTATATAACCTCGGGCCAAAATTCCAATGTCGGATATTTTGCAAAGTACCTAACCAGCCAAAAGTTGCTGGATCTTCAGCTACACGATGTCAGTTTTCGGCGATCCGTGCTTCTCCAGTTCCTAATTGTGTTTCAATACTTGCCATCTTCAGTGAAATTCAAGTCGTAAGTACTTTGAAGTCATAAGAATAGGTTCAAATGTCAAATGTCTACTCACGCTTTTGTTAGACCAGTTCTATCCAGACTTTTATTTTCTCTTAATTTTAAGGAATAAAATGCTTATCTTAACTTTTCTTACCAAATTAGATGAATATTGCTTAGTTACGCAATTTCAGTGACAGTTACGAATTGAAAACGGACCAGAAAGAGTGGATTCAAAGCGCCACCGAAAAGGTGTATAACCTGTTAAAAGAAACACCGCCGGATGGAGAAAGATTTGCTGAAATTATAAAAAATATCCTAAAGAGGGAGGAGTTGTGGAACGTGTGGAAAAACGACGGTTGCCCCGGTAAGTATGCCTTGACGTCATTGAGCAACACTGACAGCGCCCTCTATTTGTTAGAAATAAAAAAATTTCTACCCCAAAACGATTCCGATTTAAAGGTAAGGAGCGATAAGGCTCACCTACTGGGCGATATTATTCAGCAGTCAAAAGAACAGGGAAAGTTTTACATGGGCAGGTAAAAAAACTATGTTTAACAAACTGTTTAAACCTGGGCTGCCAATTATGAATTTCAGTGGTGAATTAACCAAACTGTGGAACTATTGTCCCAACAATCTCGAAGCGTGTAAAGGCAAAGAAAGGGACTTTTTGCCTTCTCTGGAGGATTTTTTTGCGGAAGCGGTCGCCCAAATGGAGTCGCAAACTCCGATCCGAGACGAAGACAATCTGCTCAAGGACAGCAACTTCGATTGGAGAGCTTTGCGACTGTTGGCCAGGCGAAGCCCATATTTTTTTTCAATTAATTTACAGAATAATCCGCTTCCGAAATATTTAGAGATGATGGTGAACAAAATCGCTCACGAAAAACCGGGTACGCACAGTTAAAGGGTGGGAAAACCTGCCTGTTGACAATTTTGCGGTTTTGTAGATAAAAATGTTGACGAAAATAGTCAAGAGGCTCGCGAAAACGAACAAGAAATGGAGGAGAATATAAATTTAACGGAAAATGCGGCGGAAGACTTGAAGCAAGACGCTAGCGAGGACTTTGTGGATGACAATAATCCGAGACGGGAGAATAAGCATATCAGCGAAGAACGGCTGGAGGTTATAATCGAGAAAATTGCTCCCGAGTGGGAAAAATTAGCTGTCAAATTAGGTAGAGGTTGTTTCTGTGCACCACTTAACATTTTATGTAGAAAACGGATTTTAGGTTATAAAGAAGATGAAATTGACTGGTTCAAGAATGCCAATCCTACGAGGATAGACCAAGCGAAAAATATAATACATCTGTGGTTCGAAGACGACGAAGACGCCAACCTCGACAATCTTTTATATATCTTGGAGGGTTTGGATATGCAGGAGGCGGCCGAAGCCGTTAAAAGTGAAATAAGCAATTCCGCAGACGCTATTTGAAAGACTTTTCTATTATTGTAACACTAAAAAATACAGTTTACACGAAATTTTGATTATTTTTAACTTACCAACCTCTCTTTCTCAATATCCGGCGTGTGTGTATGACAGGTATACTCTATAGTTTTTATAGTTATTAAAGATTGATTGTACATTGGGGTAACTGAGCAAAGTGGCCAATGGCGTAAAGCTGAAACTTCACAAAGATTGACAGAACAGTATGATAGTGTAGAGTTCCCAAAAGTTGGGCGAATGATCCTGGTAGTCGTGCTCATCAGCTATTTGTGAAACGCATCATTGAATTGAATTGAGTTCCCAAAAGAAGAAGATCGAATAACTCATTTGCATTTGTAGTTAAATTGGGCGAATGATCCTGGTAGTCGTGCCCAACAGCTATCTGTGAAACGCATCATTGAATTGAATTTGTAGTTAAAAGAAGAGTTGGGAAACAAAAACGGGTTATTAATTAAGAATCAAAAATGCTAAAACCGAAAGTACTAACGCAAGTTTTAAGCCAAGCAAATACCGGGGGCGTCGAAAATACATTGTGAGTCTGGGGTCTTAAAATTTCCCGTGAAAATAGATCTCCATATTTCAGGTTAGTAAACCAAGAAGGTTTATTGCTGGCCTACAGCGGTTACGGCGACAAAGACGCTCGTGTTACAGCGGCGATAGCGAGCAATATTTGGAGCAAATACGAGAAGAATGGCCGCAACGCGTTCCGCGAAGAACAACCCGATATTATCCTGATGGAATTCCAGGAGGGCCGGATTGCAATCACACAGGTCGCAAATGTGCTGCTGTGTTTGTATGCCAAAAATAACGTCGGTTTTGGCATGTTGAAACAGAAAGCAAATGCTTTGGCTACATATTTAGAAGAACCGCTTAAGCAAGTAGCCACTTCCTAACCCTAAGTCCAGTGAAATTTATTTTGATCAACATTAGTTATTAATTTCTTATAAGTTTGTATATATAGTAAGAAATAAAACTTTCTAAAACCACAAATAGTTTTTTATTAAAAAATGAATATAAATTCGGGCATTTTAACAAAGTATAAGTAAGTATTATAACAAACCGATTATTAGGTGGTGTTGCACTTTCAGTCCTAGGTGGAGATAAAATAACGTTAAAAAGCGTACACAAGACTTAATTAACCATTAGGTACGTGAACCTTTTAGGGATTATTGCAACTGTGAAAACAAGGTATAATGGTGACCCAATGAAATCTACACTTGGGAACAATTATTCTAACTGTTAAAATCATTTTGTTCCAACACATGTAAACACATCGATATAGTTAATGGAATTAGAAAACCGAGTGTTGCAAATTTGATTTGCAGAGGTTGATGTCAGTACAAAAAATTCAAAGTTTACTACATAGAGAAAAATAAAAAATTTTGTCCAGTATATTCTATATCGATTTGATTTTTCGACAACTGAAAATCAAATTCGCACCATACAGCGGCGAGCAAAGCTTCCTTTTAAAACTACACGAGAAAAAAAAATTCGTCTAATATTCATCGGGAGCAGAATTCTGCTAAAATTTAGACAAACACAGCCTTCATCAGTTTGAAAAAGTCAAGTAGTTCGCCCCATCATTGGGCGTTTGCTTTAAGAAAAAAGGCAATATCATAAATATCTTTATTTTCCGCTTAGCCCTAACTATATACCAACTATAAATATTTTCGCTTAATGCTAAATAGCCTTCAATGTTGCTGTCAGTGAAATAGCCATGTTTGTCTATCACGGGCTAACAGAAAAAAAATCTAAAAATATGGGTCGATTTTTTAATATCTTTGGTGTTAATTTTGACACAGTCCTCTTTACCTCTTTACCATAATCATAAAAAACAAACCGCCCGCGATACATGTTATTGCTGGAGATCAGAAACTTCAGCTATGTTAACACCAAAAGAACAACTAACACAAAATGAGTTTCCAGTCAGTGTATATTTACATACGAGAACCCTTTTGCTGCAGCACCTTCGCCCTGTCTTCTCTGTCGCACCTAACCTCATGATTTTCCGATACCCCATACTCCCGACTGACCACACACAGAAACTCCGCGTGCTCATCAGCACCGTAATTATATTGAGAGCCAATATTTATCAACTGCTCAAACTTCCACCCGTCTGACATTGTAGACACCATCTAGCAGAAAAAAAAGTCACAAATTGCTGTAGCTAGCAAAAAAAGAAACACACCTGAGTAAGTTCATCTTCGTGGCATTGCAACACCCTGTATACGTGTTTTTTTCCGTTTTTGTTCGGGCTATTATCCCTATGCATAATTCGCTCCTTCACTAAAGTAATAAGTTCGGCTATATTGTAAAATTCGGCCTCCTCCAGCACACCTTCCTCCGCTAATCCCTTATTTATTACTAGTTTACCGTGCCTAAGGTAATTTAAGACGGGAGAAAAATAATTGGGGTCTCTGTCGATTAAAAACGCCCCCGTCTCATCCTGCAACAACCGGAATATTATAAGTCTCGGCCAAATTAAATCGCGTCCCTACTTTATCAGATATTAAATCGCTGTCTTCTTGTACGAGTCTGTAAAGGAACGAATTGGTGTCCCTCGAGAGGGTGGTCTTGGTGGTTAAAAAATAAGTCCCGCCTACATTCAGCTTAACCCACTGTTTGTTACCGTTTGAAAAAGTTTGTTTATTGTCTGTACAATTTGTCACATTTTCTGCCATTTTCGTCACGGACTACGACGAGAAGTTGTGCACACAAACCACAATCGATGCCTCTTCCTTTATATATGAGAAACTATAATATCGCTACGCAATCGGCCACAAGTTAGTAACAAAACATACGGTTTGTGTGGTTTTTTATTACCAGTCAGAACACAATTTACATATTAAGGACCTCGAGTTATGATTTTCTTCTTCGACGAGGTCTTTCGGACGACGCGGTCTGGTGCTTGACGTTGCGATGTCTGGCCCCCTACGCAAGGTTGAATCGTTAGTTCCGTCCTACTGGTCCCAATTCTAGTTCGAGAGGAGACCGTCTGATTAATCTGAGAAGACGAGTTTTGTAATCTCAGCTGAGGCTGGGCCTGTGGTAGTTGGGAACGCGGCAACCGTTCTGTTGCCGGTCGCGACGGACCCATCAATTGTCGCGGTCGTTCCTGGTAACCGGTGGGCACTCGCAAAGTTCTCGGTGGCACCCTCTTTGTCGTCTCTTTTTTCCACTTGGAGGGGCTATCGTATTGGGGCAGTTCGTACTGATCTAAATCGACTCCAGTTTGGGCCAGTTTTAAAAATTCTGGAGACAAATCGCCGCCACAAGGTCCCGAGCACGAACCAGGCTCGAACTCTGCCCACGGCGGAGCCTGTCCGCTAATATCTTCCCCTCTTTCTTCCGCCATCATACGTTCGTATTCCTCCCGGTCTTCGCGCTCGCGTTCAATTACCTGTCGTTCTAAGTCAGCTAGGTAAAAGAAGAAACTATATTACGGGAAATAATAGTATTATATTCTGTGCTATGCAAACTTTATACTATAATTCCATTCTGTCGTTTTTGGTATTGGTCAAAGTCTTTTTTTGTAACTTAAACATCTTGTCAAAACTCGATGGTATTTATGAATTGATATAAAAAAAAATGAACGAGTGAATCTCATGCTTGAGGAACATATAACTGAGAAATGGTGGAAGAAAAAAACGGAATCATCACCCATATCGTCCTGGTCGTACATCCTCTGTGGTGACGCAGTACGGGGGCGGCCCCTGTCGGGGGAAAGGTGCACGTGGTGACCCGTCAAGTCGGGGGGCGGCATCGTTTCCGTCGGTTGCTTCCCCCGTTTCGGTATACGCTTGGCGGGTGCGTACCTAGGGGTGCGGTAGGGCGTCGGAGGCGGGCTCAGGGACGGGTCCAAGTAAACTCTAAATGGAGGCGCTTGTCAACGCTTAGGAAGGGCAATGGGAAATAGGAAGCGCACTTTTTGGACGGACCAACTTTGCCCATGGGCGTGTACATCGGTGAGTACCTCCTCGAGGGTCCCGCTACCCCCGGCGGAGTCCAATGTGGGGACCCGGGCGGAGACGTCCTGGAGATAACAGGGGCTGCGTCCCCGTACGCTGCAGTGTCCTCCGCGCATTCCTCTTCAAGTTTTCTGAGCTGTGTGATAGACGACAGAGATGTATTCGAAAGTGCAGGCAATCAACAATACACAGTCGAACAGAACATGGATCGAGGTTTAGTTAGTTTATGAAAGCCCTGTATAAGCTCCGTGTTAGAAAAAAGTAACGGAACCGATAAATATATTCAAAACCGCCATGCAATTTTCCCACTGTTAATGAAAAAAAGTCCTAAATTCCCAATCGCATAACTTTGGTGTTTTTGAACTTTGGAAGGTTACGGGAATTACAAATATCATCGCGCAATCTGACAACATTGCTGGTAGTTTTTTTGTGCCTTCAAAAACCGCCAGGTACTGTTTCTTAAAAAAGCTGTGTTGCTAAAACTCAGTAATTAATAGAAATAATATTTTGAAATTATGAGACCTTACTAAATTCTACATGCGCAAAGAAAATTGATATGGAATTCCATTCACGTGTGACGTAAAAGCGGTAAATTTCGCAACATTCTGCAGTTTCAAAAACCTCCAGGTGTTGAATTTTATCGTTCTAGCTTTGGAAGCTTTGGACATACTTAAGCGTTCCGGATCTTTTTACTAACCCGGTATACACACGTATAAATATGAAAACCTAAACATGTATTGTAAATGATTGCAACTTGTCTAACACCAAATTTGCTAAATAATATATAATTTGCAAACCCTTTATAAACTTTACCTAAACGAAAAACGTAAATAAATGTGTTATAAATAATTTTATAAATAAAACCACTTAGTTCAACTTTTTCAAAACTGAAGGATACTGAAAAGAAACTGTAGAATTTTGTGATGAGGAAATCGATCAAGTTAACTAGAAAATTTAAATGTAAGTTGGAAAATCTGTGACTGTCGGAAAATTAAAAACGATTATTATATAAAAAAAATAAATTTTAAAAAACTAGATTTCAATGTAATGTGACCAGCGTGCCGAATGGGCTGGGCCCGGCCCTGTCGCGGTCTGTATCCCACTCGGACGTACGCAGAGATCGAAAACGTGTGGACGTTTTTCGAGCAGGCGCTGCTTTCTATAAAAGCAGTGAGCCGCCCTCGGTATTCGGTTGATCGAAAATTGAAGTCGAAACGCGCAAACATGTAAATTATTATTATAAATATTAACTTTTACGCGTAGTGGGGCTTATCGATCGGTGAAATCGAATTTTTCGAAAATATTTAGCACGTACATGGAACTTAGTTCTTTGACGGAACCTATTGAAGTTGAGGGGACTGGGGGATCGGCAAGTACTTTTTAAAAATTCAAAATCGCGTTTGCACGGTTGCAAGAAAAAAATCAATTTTCGAAAACCATGTATGCAATCGAAAAAATTCTTAAACAGGTAGATTCGCGAGATTGAAGGCTATAAACTTTTATTCTTCATAATTTTCATGAATGTACATGGTGTGGAAAATTCGTTCCCCTTATAATCATAATTGACAATAACTAAGAAGGCTATGTTTTAGCAGTCATATTCTTTCAAATGGTCATGTGGCCCGTATGGGCAGCTAAAACTTTTGAATTTATTGTAAATGGTGACCCAGATATTCAGTGCTGTATTAAAAAACGTAACAGGTGTCTCAAATTTGGAGCTATCGTCTTCAAATTTAGCAGGGAAGTAAAAGTGCACACCCACGTTTAAACTGTAGAAACTAGGACAAAATTTGAAAGTGTTTTTTACACATTTTTGTTTTTTTTTTGGCTTGTTTTGGCTGCCGGAAAAATATTATTCGAAAACTATTAGCCTGATCGTCAAAATTATTTAACCAGAAGAAGATAACAAGATAGTATATTAAATTATGGAGGAAAATATAAAAGATTATGGAAATTGTTCTTTGTCAGAGTAAACTATCAGCCGTAAATCAAAATTCGTAAAAAATATAGCTAATCTTAATGTAGGCCACATCAACAGCTACCATTATTGTATTTACAGTTTTTTCTCGCGCTCAATCTAGACGCGGTGATGTCATTTACTATACGACGCACTGCATGGTTTCAAAAAACAAGTATTTTCTGTAAAACCATTTACTCTATTGGAAAAATGTACATACCATAAGACGTCGGAGATCCAGGACTATAACTTTTAATTCGAGCATTTTTTGAATTATGTACTGGGTGTAGCATTGTGGAATTGACCGGTCAATTTTCTTTTGTCAAATAATTTTAAAAATACAATGTAGTTTATATCTATTTATTTATGGTGTGCGATCCGTCGCCGGTACGTCATTCTGAGAACGAAATATGGTATTCGGAAATTCGAAGAGGATCATGGGTAAATTGGACATCACAAACGCATAATGATTTATTTAAAAATGCACATTATTATTTAATAATCATAGATAACACTCTACAATTGCAAGATGTTATTTAAAACATTTTGATTGAATTTGACTAGTCAATTAAGAAGTGGTCAATCAAGCAACCCCAACCCTAACTGGGTAATGGACAAAGAATCTAAATAACCCGGAAGATTTTTCGTTTTCGTGGATAAAAACAGCCGGTACTCCCGAATAGCAAAAGATGGACTTTTATTATTGGGAATAAGGCATTCATATAACTGTAAGCGCTCTTCACAAATGTACGGAGCCATATTTTTGACAGTTACATTTTACCGAGAGCCTGTGACATTCTCGGTTTTTTTGTTTATCATAGCCTTCTTGACTTTTAATTCGTTATGTACAACAAAGCTTGAAACCCGTAGCAAAATCGTCCTATAAGAATATTCATTTGTCAAAATTACCTTTATTTTTAATAGTAAATAAGATAAAATTATGAAATTTGGGGGTTTCCATGTAAAAAAAAAAGATTTTTGGAAGCTTTCCTAATTTAGTATTTAACCTTACTCTTGGAACACCCTGTATTATTGGTTATCAAAATATTATAGAAATTCTATTAAAGTAGGTCCTTGTCGACGAGCGTTAAACCCAAATTAAGAAATAAATATTTCCTTTTAATAAAAATTGCTATTTTTCATAGGGCCTGCAAATGACATATTTATAGGTATAGTACAGGTATAGTAGAAACTTGAGTAGAATCCATAAGTGTAATAATATACAGGATGTTTTATTTAAGAAAATGGAGTTGTGTTTTACTAGGCAACACTGACTGCCCTGTATATGCAAAAATATAATAAAATAAAACTTCGTTTCAAACCAGGTGACTTTTCTATTTAAGATTTTTTGCACATCCTGTATATTCTGAGATAAGGTTTAAGATTACGTTATATTGGCCACCCTGTTTTTATATTTCCCAAAGTTTACCGCGACTTTGAAGTTAAAGATGTGAAAGATGCTTTATACTAATTACATCGATTTTGCGAAAGTTCTGCAACGGTCCGCGGGAGCCCGATAGAAAAACAATGCGTTGTACGAGGGCTGCCTGATGTTTTTATAGAGTAGTTTTACCTTTTGAGTTAGGTTTTGGCGAAAGAGTGTTGTTTGTGGTTTTTGTGATAAATTAAAAAAATTGTGACGGTTAAAAACTGAACCTAATCCGAAGCATTTTCGTGGAATAATTTTTGACAACTTTAGACTAACTCAACAACAATGCATCGATGAACTTAAATCGACTTTTGGAGTTAAAGCACTATCTAGTTTATCGCTGGTTTTCGGACTTCAGTCGTAGTCGTAGTTTTCTTAAGGATGAATTTTGTCAATATCGTACAAGATCGATGGTTGTCCCAGAAAACATTGATCCAGTGCGGAAACTGATTTTGCAGGATGGTCATGTGACTTACCATGAGATTGAGGTATCTTACATACATGATTGGTCGACGGAAATGCTAAAAAAATATGATCGCGGTGATGTTGTGACAGATGATGAATCACACAACTGTGTGGGTCTTTCAGAATGAGACAAAGGTCAGAAAAGTTGTTGGTACGCGAAGCACCTCGAAACAAACGGTAGCCTGTTTTTTCAGTAAAACTGGCCACGTTGCAACTTTTTGGTGAAAGGTAAAACAGTCAATTCTGAATGGTACACAACCATTTGTTTGCCGAAATTAGAAAAACCAACCGTCGAAGACGAATCACTCTCTACGACGACAATGCTGTAGCTCTCACCGATCAGTGCAAACAAAGAACTTTTTAGCATTAAAAACGTTGGTTGATATAGTCCTGATTTAGCACCCAATGACTTCTTTTTATTCTCATACATTAAGAATAAATTACGTGGGCAACGATTTTTGACACCAGAAGAAGCGATTGATGCTATTGAAAAGCCTGTTTTGGAGGTGCCCGAATCGATGTGGGAAAAGTGCTTTGATGATTGGTTTTATCGAATGCAAAAATGTATGGATCATGGTAGCTTATAGTTTTTTATTACAAATCCCGAAATAAAAAAGGTAGCCCTCGTAGGATAAGAAACCCCCAAATCACCAGAACAATCAGCCCTAAATGTACGTGGGTTGCCCAAAAATTGGTTTTAGAGAATCAATTTTTCAAAAAAAAAAAGGTCTATACTAATAAAAAGGATCCTCGTACCATGGCGTCAAATTCCGCGTGCTGTTTGCCCATGCGTTCGAAGCTCTTTTCCAATGTGGCCACGTCTTCGTCGACGTCAAAATCGGCCATATCTAAGTCCTCCTCCTCCAACCAAGGTTGGTCGAACGCCTGGAGGAAAAAACGTATATACGCGTCCAAACGTCAGTCGAATCCGAAGTCACCTTTAGGTCTTCTTGGGTGAGGCCCAGCTCCATCAGAATCTCGGGGTCGTAGTCGACGGCTCCGGGGGCGCACGGTCCGCACGGTCCCGCCACCGGACTGACGTAATCGTAGGGCCTCTCCATCGGGTACTGCCTGGGCGGGGTCATCGCTGAGAAATGAAAAAATGGTAGAAGGTTCGCTCGCGGTACTCGCCAAAGCCCTACGAGGTTCATCGAGTTCTTCCACATCAAGGAGATCCGGAGGATGCGACCACCTCTGGAGGCGGTACTTGACGGGTCCGCTCTTGTCCTGGCCGATAATGACGGGCCTCATCTTCGGACGTTTCGGATCCATGAACCACCCCGGCACTTGGTGCTCCCTGATCTCGCGTATGGATGGTGGTGCGTAAGAAACATCGTCCACGCCCTCCGGGAAGTACAGGTCCAGCGGCTTTGCCCTTTTCACTGAAACGAAATTTAGAAACGAATAATAATAATAATAATAATAACAACGATAATGATAATATTTACTTGATTGCATCACTGTGAAAGAGAGGTTAAAAAATACATTTAAACGATAAATGCTGATAACTTTACAAAACGTATTTTTATTAATACATTTATTAATTCATGGATATGTGGAGGTACATAAAATACATTTTGTAATAATAATAATTCATAAACGTCTAATTAAATGAAAATAAAACCTTTTATTTTCGTTTGTTTAATTTTTGCGGAATGAATGTCATTTATACGCATTTTAACAAAAAAGGAAAAGCTCAGATGCATTTTTATAGTTAGCCACTTCATTGGCACGGAGGTGCTGCAAGGAAAAAAATGCATTAATTGGAAAGTAGATTAGTCTAATCTAGTTTATTATACCGTCTAGCGAGTAGCTGTCACTAAATTTTAATAACTTCGTTTGTGCCATTACTTATAGGACACTCTGTATAAACTGAACGTGCAATGCAGAGTTAAAGGTATTCGTACCGGGAGGTCTGAGCCGGGACACGGTGGGCGGTCTCAGAAGGCTAGGCGCTTGAGGCGGACGCACGCTCGGCGGACGTAGGCCGCTAGGAGTGACAGGGGCGCGAACGGTGGGCGGTCTCAAACGACTCGGCGCTGCCGGCGGACGGACTGTGGGCGGTCTCAGGCCGCTAGGCGGTTGGGGTGCACGGACGGAAGGCGGTCTCAGCCCGGAAGGCGGTCTCAGCCCGGAAAGCGGCCTCAGCCCGGAAGGCGGTCTCAGCCCGGAAGGCTTTCTTAGCCCGGAAGGCGGACGCACTCCCGGTGGTCTAATTTGAGTGGGCGGTCTCAACCCGCTGGGAGGGCGGATGCCACTGGGTGGCGCCGCTCTGGGAATTCCCGAAGGCGGTCTGATCTGCGTCGGCGCTCGGAGGCGGGATATGGCCGCCCGTTCGAAAATCCGCTCCCCCTTGATCCTGTCGCGGTCCACCTCGGGACGGTAGACGGGTGGCCTGGCGGCGGACCTCTCGGGCGCGAGACCGTCGCCGAGGGCGGGGCGATAATCGGGCGGTCTCATGCGCGTGGCGACTGTGGAAATAAAAATACCAAAATTACGATCAGTACGTGGACGGAGGCGACCCTTACGTGGCGGCATTCGAGCCAGTCTGGTGGGCGGGGGCGCCGCCACCCGCTTCTTCGCTCGGGCCTCTTCCTCCTTTGCGCGCCTGGCCGCCAGCATTCGACTCATCGGAGACAACCGAACCTCCCTCTCCAGCTGCTGTTTTTTCAGCTTCGAAGCCTTGGTCTCGCGCAGCTTCGGCAGTTTCTTTTCCGGCTTCCGCCTCGGTCGCTCTGCTGCAAACCGATGCATTGATACCAATTTTCGATTTTCTCTTGTGTGATGCGGTGTACACAGTGTACCAAATAAAACGATCCGCTATACGACATGGAAACCCATAGGAGATACAAAAAAAGTTTCGTACAAAAGTTTGTTCGACTCTCCTCAAGATTTAAAATATTTTAATTTTTTTGATACAGGGTGTCCCTCGACATCAACTTGATACTACTTATTCTATATATATGATATTCCAGATATACTAATAAAACCTATTGCTAACAATACCTATAACTTATTTAATATACAACTTTTTGTTGTTTATTCTTTAATGCGTCCAAAAAAAAAAGATTGCGATTTCATAGCCGACTAAATTTTAAAATATTTTGATAAGTCTTTGGTATTTCGATGCCAGATGAAACGAGCATTTTAATAGGATAATAAATAGAATTAATTAACATTAACACTTTTAGTTAACTTTTTCTTATAGATTTATTTATTAAAATTTGTTACCGGCTCGGATAATGCTTTATTAAAAGTCCGCCCCTGTTTACCCGTCGCTGTGGCTACACGATGTAATTTTTTTTTGCTACGCCATTTTGGGCCAATGAAGATCCCGTTCCCTCTATAGGCTAACTAAACAAGGTAACAAATTTGAATAAGTGAATCTATTAAAAGTTAACTAAAAAGAGTTCGTTAATTCGGTCCACAAACTTTAGTTAAAAATGTTCCTCTTAAAAACAACAAAGAAATATGAAAATATTCATGTTTGGCACCAACTGAAATCTGCCATTCGTCGTAACAATGTTTTTCCACGTGTTAACTCCAATGTCCTCAAACTTATAGAAACCGAAGTTTTTAACATCCCTCCACAAAGTTGCTCAAATTCTGTTAAACATATAGAAGAAGTAGAACAATTGTATATCTATATTGCAAATGATTTAGAACAAATAATAATTAGAACATGCGATGACAGCGATAGTGATACTGATATATTATGTGAATAATTTCAAGTAATTTAAGTAGGTAATGAAAATAATTTGTAATTTTCTTTTAGATTTAAACATAAATAAATAAATATTGTTTAGTATCTTTCCTACCAATCCCAAAATAATTAAATTCTAAGCAAAGTACGGACCTGATCGGCCATATTTCATTCTTACAGCTTGCCCAGGTCTTTCCTTAATTCGTATCAGTCACTTTCTTATATCTATGAACAGACTTTACCTGGAGGTCCGCACGGTCCGCACGTGCCGCAAGGCTCGGCCTCCCGCGGTTCCCTCGGGGGCGGAGTCCTCGGTACCCGGGGGCTTGGTCTTTCCGGGGTCGTTCCCGTGCTCGGAGGTGACATGCGTGCGAAAAGGGGCAGCCGGGGCGGAGGCTTCCCCGACGGCGGCCTCTCGCCTATCAGTTCCAAGGAGTAGTCGATCAACGCCTGTCTCTCTTCATCCAGTTCCACTTGGTACAACTCTTCGGGGGGAGTATCATCTAAGCCCGCCTCCTACGGAGATTCGCCACAATATACAAGGTTATATATAATTAATTAATAATTAATTGGAGCAAAAGGCACGGCATTAAAAGGATCTTGATGATCCGCAAAATAGAGGGGGTAAAGAGATTCTATTCCCGTTCCGCTGCATGCAAATCTCCATTTTGTTAAGGCTTCATTCAAATAAATCTGGAACAGTGTCGAGGAGAGACAGCACAGTTTCAAAAGATCAGATAAGAAATATCGGCCGATGTCCGACACCATGTCAGCAATCGACCTAATTATGGTTGGGAAAAACCTCACCTCTTGGGCGATCGCCATAAATTCCTTGTCCATTTGCGCGGGAGTAAGTTTGGGTGACAACGACACCGGCGGTTTCAGCTTGTACCGTTCCTCCTTCTGCTTCTGGATCTCCCGCAGATAATCCTCAGTCGTCATGTACCTGGGCTGCGGCCACTCGAGCGGAGCTCGCGTACGTTTCACGTACGGTGACGTCATCTGCGATAGAAAGTTTAAAATGGCTGGGCCGCGGGACCGCGATCTCGCAGTACTCGAGGCAAAAGGTAATCCTCTTCGGGCCATTGCCTTTCCCGCCTCGGAGGCGGCGTCAGAACCGGGAGTTTCAGCTGGGGATCCAAACTGTAGGCCAAGTCCGGATAGTCCGCGAACTCCTCCACTTGTTCGTCCACATCGGGCAACTGGTCCACCACTTGTCCCGAATGCCTTAAAGAACAAAGCAGGTCTTACCACGCAGATCTTACGACTTATCAAACACAACAATTTTAAATTTCATAATCTATATTAAAAACGAAAGAGAAAACCACTTTGAAGAACTGCGCAGGAAAAAAAAAGTCCCAAATGTTCAAAGCGTCGAGAAGTTCGCGTGGGACCCGCCAACACCCGAGACCTGACCTGACGTTTTTGTTTTTAGAAATATCAAAGCAAAAAAGAAAATGTAGAGCTAGTAGCCGAGTTTTCTTCCAAGTGACGTATAAAACAAAACACTATCAATCTTATTCCGATTACAATGATGTAATTTTAGTCCACTCGTTTTTGACGAATGTGCAAAAACAGGAAATGTTTATGAAATTTCAAAGACTAAAGTAAAAATCTAAAAATGTAAAAAATAAAAAAACAATTCTAAATACCGCTGCATGTGACCACATTCCTCGTACTTAACTGATTGATTGCCTCCCAACTGCTTTGCCGAAGTTCCACGACATTATTATTAACAAAAAATCCATTAAAGTTAAGTCGGAGCTGTTGGCTGGCCAATCCATAGTTCTGCCTTTCCCTATCCATCCATATTCCATGTTTAGAAAATGTTTAACTTACACAACATTGTGAATAGGTGCAGGGATCTTTCTGATATATAATCAGTGCTGATATATTTAGGGGTAAATCTTCTATATATAGTTCTATTTGGTGCTCTAAGAGTGCTCTATTTGGTGCTCTGATCTATAAATATTGGACCCAAAATATGCCCCTCTATGATACCACACCATACATTAATTGATTGATACCCCTGAGTTTTTATTTTGTGTATTTGTCTAGGATTATTTAAAAATCAATATCTCGTATTTTGTCTATTACAACCGTTTCCTGTGTGAGCGAACTTCCACAGTCCATAAAATGTTTTTCAAGAAATATTATTCTCATTGTGTCTATTTAAAAAATCCAAGCAAAACTGCCGCCTCCTTTGACATTGTTCTTCACTTAGTTTTTCAGTTTTACGAAGTTTAAATTCTTAAATTTAATTACATTCTTTTAAAACTGAGTCGATCGATCCCCGAGAAAAACCTGTCTCTTCATATACTCTAGTAATAGAGGAAACTGAATGTGGTTCATAGAATCCTAATATGTGGCGTTATCCCGAATGAAATTTGGCAGACAGGCATAGAAAATGTCGGACCTACCCTTCATCAAATATGGGCATGAATACTTTAGCAAGATGCTTGTTCAAAAGATGAAGTTGCCAACGTTGTCAACATTTTATAGTCAACTTACGTAGGCGGGGGCTATAATAAATAGGGGACGATAATCACGATAAAATATTCACGGGTAAATAAAAAATATTCTTTTGAATGCGGGTTGTAATGCCCATATTTCTTTCGCATTCGGGTTATACCTATCTAGTATCGAGTGTCAAATTACAGAGCCTATCTATTTCGATATCAATATTACGTCATTCAAACGAAACAGCTATTTGACATTCGAGAGTCTGCTACATACGAAATGAGACTCACCGAGACTTTCCAAAAGACACTTTGTGTGATTCCCCAGTATAATACCGAAGGAGTGTAAACGAAGAAAGTCGAAGACTAAAGATTTGAGGAAAGATATGAAAATGGATGTTTATTTATTTATACAGGACGTTCGGGAATTGACTTAATTGACGTAATATTTTCCGTCAAAATCCATTTTTTAATTTTATTTTTAACGCAATGAGCTTAATATTCAGATTTTCAGATTTCAGAAATCTGCCTCCAGAGGGCACTTTACCTAAAACAGGACTTAATGGTTTGAAAAAGTCATTGTCACAATCCGTTAAAAATTAGTTTCTAATAAAAGAAATTATTATCCAACTAAATGCTATTTAGCTATATAGACTTTATATCGAGGTGGTGGTGGTGAAAGAGGATCATCCACACCTGACAATACGAATAAAGGGAGACCAAGGTATAAAAGAACCGCTGCAAGAGAAGAAAGAATATTTCCAAATGTGGAGGCTGACGCGTCAACGAATACGAGAAAGCATGCTGCTCAGCAAGGAATTGCTTGCCCCACAGTTTGTCAAGTTATGCATGAAAATTAGCTTCGGTCCTTTCATGTTCAAAGGTTTTATGCACTGTGTGATGGTGATGAGCAATTGAGAGTAATTTTATGCTATCAAATTTTAGGAAAAATTCAAAATTGTCGGCAATTCTTAAATGTCATTTTGTTCACTGATGAGGATTATTGCCGGTTTTATTTAAATCTATGGGCAGGAATTATAGGAGGTAATCTTATATGACCTAATTTCTTTAAAGGATTGCTTAATGGGGAAATGTATTTGCAATTTTTCCAAGAGGAACTAGCACCTTTGCAGATAAACCATGCGGATGATTCAAAATGGCGCTCCACCCCATTTTCCTCGACTATACGAAGATATTTGAATCAGACATTTAAACATTGATGGATAGGTCGGGGCGGACCTCTAGCTTGGCCGCCTCGCGCACCAGACCTTAATTCGGTGGACCTCTTTTTTTAAGGGGCACTTAAAGTTTTTTGTGTTTTGTGTTTTTTTTAATTTGTAGCATATTTTCAAAAATTTTGTGCTGATCGCTTGCAGGCCTGTAATGCATATCGCGATATCACCCTAATTAAATAAAATATAGGAAAAATTAAAAAAATGTTCCGGTGACAGATTTCTGAATCACTTTTATTTTATAACGATGACTTTTACTTAATCAGGGCTGCGTGTAAAATACAAGCTGTAACTCGGAAAATATTACCATCTCGAATTTTTCTGCCACGTTGAATCTTTCCTCCAAGTTTCCGAACTCAATCCCCCTACGTCCTGTATATCAACTAATTAAGCATAATAATATGTGGATGTGTAATAAATAAGAGTTGGGTACCTGTAAAGAATATGTCCGCCGCCTTCCCAGTCCAATAAACGGGAATGGTCGCGCCTTACGGGTTCCCGAAAAGAAGGCGGGATCTCCCACTGCTCGAGCTCCTCCCAGGTGGGCAACTGCTCAGGAGTTTCAACGTCGTACGCCTCTGGCGGGTAGTACAACTCCTCGGGTCGCAGTTCCGGTATCAAATCCGCCATCTCCGCCTCCAACGGATCCAGTTCCTCGAGCCGTTCTGTCCATTGTTGCCAACGTTGCTCCTCCTCTTTCTCCAGCGGCGCGGTAAAGTACGGGGGCGGGGTCTTGGGGCTAGCGAAAGGGGAGGGGCGGGGCGTCCTTTCCGGCGAAAGCGCGTCTTCAAATTCGAACAACTCGGGCGGCGCCTCCTCAGCGTAAATGGGCGTGACGTAACCTTCCGGCCTAGTGGCGGGGAGTTGATAAGGGGGCGTGGCCCTCGGCGTTACCCAATCGGCCGGTCTGTAGGCGGGCAGTTGCTGCGGGGGCGTTCTGGGCGGTTCGGGGGATCCTGCGATTCGTTTCGGTTTCATTCGGTTCCATCCGATTTAATAGCGAACTTACGAAAGAGACGGCGTTCCCATTCAGCCGCCGCGAGCTCGGCTAGATTAGAGAATGTGACCAAAGGGGTAAGTTCTGAGAGCTGTCTGGGGACGACAACGCAATTCCTTTTGATTACGACGCAGAAGAATTGCAGTGCATTGCGTGACATTTAACAAAATTGTTATTACGGTATTGTGATATTATCTGGGCATTGCGGGAATTGTATGGGTATTATAAGCGTTGTATGGGATTGTGGACATTGTAAAGGCGAGCATTTTATCGGGTGTACTGTTTCCCGCCTTTTTCTTAATTAGCTTAACCTTTATTTCGTGTCAGTACATCCGTAGGTTGGGGTATAATGTGAAATTTTTATTTCAGGCTTTTTCTCACCCTAAAATGAACTAACCATAATGCAATGCGTTTTGGTGTACTCAATTGCTACGCGCATTAAATCATTATTGTCACCAAAAGCAACCTACAAAACGCCCAAAAGGATTCCCAACAAAAGAAATGCGGACCTCACAGATCACGTTAACTATGAGTCTCGCAACTACGGATAGTCAGGAATTCCCAAACAGTCTCTAGATAAAAGGAGCGAAGGTTTTACCAGGGGTCGGTCCCGTTGGGGGAGGCGGGCGCGGTCCCCTCTGCGCTAGCTGGTACGTCGGACTGTCCTCCCTCATCAACCTAAGGCACAGCATAGTGGTAGATTTAGATATGGTCTGTTCATAGATGTAAGAAAGTGACTAATTGCTTTTGACTGGGATTAACCAAGGGTGATCATTAACATGCAATGCAACAAGATTATTACCTAAAGTTTCGGAATTTAAATTCAGGTAAAATTGTGGTCCGTAATAGAATAATTTTACAACTACCTGTGTTTAATATTCTTTGATTGGGTATACTACTTAGTTTAAGTTTATTAGCAATCATTCTTATTTCGTGTATAATACAGCGTGTGCGAATTATGCAAAATATGTGCGAGTCTAGTGATCTCAGGAGATGCTCCCGCCCAAATGGAGAAAACACTATTCTATTGAGATTAAAAAAGTTATAAACAATGTTTATTTTACTCTCATTGAACGCGGTGCCAGCAAGCAAGCATCTTAGGAAGAAAGGACCACATTGACTGACGAAAATTCCAAAATCAACTGTATGGGTTTTAGATTAAAAAAAAAAAAACAAATAATTAAATTCCAAGCAAAGTACGGATCTGTTCGGCCATATTTCATTCTTACAGCTTTCCCGGGTCTTTTCTAAATTCGTATCAGTTAATCACTTTCTTATATCTATGAACAGACTTTACCCGCACCCCACCCCGCGACGACTCACTGCTCCAGTAGTTCAAACTCGGCTGACTCGGAGAGGGGTTCGGGGGACGCGGCGCCGCAGTACGGCGAGCATGTCGGCGATGTGTCCCAAATGTCCCCGACGTCGGCGTACTGCCTCTCGAAACGTCTGAAGCTATCGTCGAGGTCGTCCGCGTCTTCGCCAAACATCGTGGGGTGTTCTTGGGTTGCTCCTAGAGTGGGAAGACATTGCGAAAAAAGGAACGAGCGACCGCTGTGTCGCTCGCAATTCTTAATATCGATTTGCATGCGCCGTATTCAATGCACTCGTCAGGGGAAACAAAAGTGAACCAATTGTGCAAATTTCCTCGGTATACTTACCTTTCTCCGAAGGAGAATAGTAATCGGTTGGTCGATATTCGGAATATTGAGCCGGCGGGGTCGTCGGAGCATCTGTCGACGCCATAGATTAAAGATAAATAGATATTCCAAGAGATATAAACGCGATGCAATTCAACGTATACCTTCCACCAAGTACCGATCCACTTCTGCGAGATCCATGCGGGCCTCCTCCAGAATTTCCCTAGCAGCCGGTGAACTCCCCTGAAGCAACCGCAATCTCTGCTCTTCCGCCTTTTCTGTAACGCACAATTCCAAGCGCCGGGAGTAGAAAATAAATCCCTCCCGGAGGACGTTTACCTCTGATTTCGGCGGCCGCTGCCGAAGCCATGGGGGATTTATCAAAAACCACCATGCTCTGATCGCGGTCCTCCACCACGTCCTCTACCTGCTCGAAATCTTGCTCCAGCTGAAGGAATTCCGCATCGTCCGCTAGCAGCGTGCGCTCGCGCTCCCCCACTGCCTCCTGCGCTTGCTCAAACACCTGGCTCACCTCTAGAATTTTTGCCTGCGTCTGCGCGATCGTCTCGTCGCGTTCACGCAGCTTTCTCTGAGGTGTGCCAGCTTTGGGTGTCCGCACTTCGTCCCCTTCTTCGGCATATAATTTTTGCGACAAGGGCGAGCGTCTAGGACTGGGAGCGGGTCTGGGGGTAGTTACTGGTATTCCAGTCAGCGCCGGAGACGTCGCTCTATGTCTAACGCTCGCTCCCGTACCTGAAATTTCATTGTAGAAATCACCCAATCATATTACACGGTGTTTTCTAATTGAATGTCAATAATTGAAAAGACCGTTTTTGGGTGCATTTTAAAAAGAAAACTTCATATGGACATATGAAAGTCGTACATCGAATTGAAAAAAAAGGAATTAAATTTCTTTGGAAATGATTGGAAATTGTAAAAATAATTTTTATTTGAAGAGAGATCAGTGGCGTACAAATAATAAAATTTCAATAATACTTAAACACTCTGTATCTCAAAAGTTTAGTAGTTTAGGACATAATTAAAATAATCCCAAAAATTGCCCCCTCAATTAATGACATCCAATTAGAAAACACCCTGTATATGTAAAGTGCTCCGTACGTGGCGTCGGAATTTTTCGTCGCTTCTGGGAGATAGTGCCCTCTCTCCACTCGTCGATCATCCTGCTCATGTCGCCCGCCTTGACACTCACGTCCATTTCGTCCACTTCGACGGGCTCGTCTTCAAAGAACGATAATTCGTCTACCTCCGTGGTATGTTCGCCCACAGGTTCCCTGACCTCGACCAAATTGGTGCCCCACGTCGGAGCCAGGCGCTCTTCCTCCCCCCTAACGACGCCCATAGGCGCGGTAGGCGGATACTGACCGAACCTTTTGGGTGCCGCCTTTCTTTTCTCCCGCCGCGTCGGTTTCTCCTTTTTCCTGCAATCCTCGACAGGTTCCGCGTCATCACCGGGTTCTTTCGGCGAGCACGCGCACGAAGGCTCCGACGCGCTCGCTGGCGGTGCTGCGACGTCCTCTAAGATCGCGTCGACGGTACTCTTGACGCCTCTCGGAAGTACCACCCTCTCGGAACGGTGCCATTTGGTGACCGGCTCCATGGAGACTGCGTAATACGCGTGCACCCCGAAATCCGGGATGTCCTGCGCTGCTACGTATTCGGTGAGATCCGTCGAGCAGTCGGTGAAGTAAGGGGGAGAGACTTCGACGTCGCCGACAAGATGGCGACGAATTTTTTCGCGCCTCTCGATCTGTTCCTGTTCAATCAAGTCTTTGGCGAGATCGTTGAGCTGAAACGTGAAACTCGTGTCGGTGGTGGGCGGGGATTAAGAAATCGCAACCTTCTTACGTTTAACTCGGACGGTAGCTCTTCGAGAACGATGAATTTGGCCGGGTCCTCGGCAAACATGCCCACCAGCCTCCTCCTCTGCACGCAGAACAGGAGCAGCTTGAGGTAGTCTGTACGCAGCTTTTCCGACCCGGCATTTTCCTCGCGGAACTTTTTTATCCATCCGGCGGCCAAAATTCGATCTAGAAACGACGTACGTTATCCTCGTTGACGTTTATAGAACGCATAGAACAATTGCAAGGTTGGCAGTTCAGAATTAGAATTAGATTAGATTAGATGATCATTGAAGCTTAACTTTGACTTTCAAGTAACTTGGAAATATGAATTAGGTCCAGCTATGTCCTCAGCGACTTGCTTGAAGCTATAATGCAACCCAAAATATAGTGCATTTATTGCTTTGTCGTTTTACCGTAGTAAAACCTATCCTGAGATGGACCGTAACGAATATTTGTAGAAACTTGAAATAAGTTTAAAAATAATCATTTTTGTCTTGTGTGAATGTCGATTAACAACATTCTTCTACATAGTTCGATGCTTTCTTAAAACTATTGATTATATGACGTAGGAGCAGCACCAAGAACAAATCACATGACCAACGGTTTTCGAGTAATAAACAGTAAGCAAAGCTAATCACGCGGTCGGTTGTAAAAGTACTATATTTATGGTCGAAGTATACCATTGGCGGTGTGACGTATAATTTATTCTCAAACAATATGAAACACTAAGCTTGCATGCATCGGCATCACACAAAGTTGAGTTATAGTGCTAGTCAGCTACTTACCTAGAAAATTGCAAATCGGAATTGCCCATAACACGAAGGTACCGCGGCCTAAAACAAATACCATGGTAGATATCTCGATGCAGAGGTCGACGCAGACTCACCTGTCAGTTTCGCCCCGCAACGCGTATCGAAATAGTTCACAATGTTTGAGAATAAAATATCCGTAACAATTGGTGGTGACCAAGTGCATTTAATACGGCGGAATTCGGATATCTTAGCAAACAATCAGCTGTCATATTTGACCTTGGCTACGCCATTTTGGTTTCAAACTTTATCCCAAAATGGCGAGAGCGATTCTTATAGATAGCCGATTGTTTGGTGAGCTGCGGCTGTAGCTAGAATTGCTTACCTTCGGGTCGGGGTAAGTTGAGTACCAGCGGTCTGGCAATCTTCGTGTAAAAATCGATGTCGCCTTTCGGACCTTCTTCCATAACAATTCACGGGAAATTTCGCATCTGACGGGGCCACGTTCAAGAATTTAAACGGGGCTCCATGGGCCGCGGACGCATTGAAGTAACGGAAAATTTGAAGTTGAGATTGACAGCGGTGTTTTCGAAACGTGACCATGGCAACCCGTCGCATCGCTTTAGATTTTTCTCAAAAAAAAAAAAAAAAAGAAAACGCTTTTTACGAAATCTGAATACAATGATTACAACACCCTGTACAATATGTGAAAACGGTAAATGCAAAAGCTTTAGAATAAAAATTGATTGCACTGGATCTCATGGATCTTTTCGTCGACCGCATGGTTTCCAAGAAATAATTTTTTTCTTAGACTCTTGCATACGCGATTTTTTATTTTAAAAAAATACTGTGCTGTACTGTACTGAGGAGAGCAGAGTTAAGGGCAAGGGTTTTTTAATTCTGGGTACTGTCTCGGCGCTGTAATCGAGAGAGTCGATAACCGATGATTTTTGGGCCGGATGGTGATATGATAATGCATTAAGGAATCGGTCTACTTGCGTAGGTTTTCTGTAAACACAATAACCCAATGATTTTCTATTGATAAGAATATCAAAGAATGGGAGGTTATTATTAGTTCCTAATTCAATGCTAAAACGTATACTAGGTTGCATAGAGTTTAAATGTCTAACAAAATTTACTAGGGATTCTTGACCATCAGGTCAAATAACAAAAGTATCATCGACGTAGCGTTTCCATAATTTTAGTTTTCAACTTCAGTAAAGAGGGATTCTACGTGGAAACTAACCAGAATATCTTGTGTTCCTAATGTAATGCTTTAATGCTTTTTAATTGTTCAATGAAGTGAAAGGAATGAAGTACGAAACCATCAGTTTTCCCTGTAAGGGTTTTAATAAAGAAGCTAGATATTTTACTAGAGAATATGATCCTGGTGTAAGAATATCTTGAACCTTGACCACAGTAGCATTTCCTTTATCTGCTTTTGGGATTACGATGTCGGGAATAGATTTTAGAAATTTTAGGGCCCTTCGTTCAGGCTTTGGAATGTTAGATTTAGGAGGTTCATTCACTGAAGAAGCCAATAGGATGATTGGCGAAACTTTAGGAAGTTTGACTCAACAAAAACCGACCCAGGAGGAATCCAGAAATTTTGTAAAAAGTGCGCAGGTAATTTCTTGCGGTTTTTGGCTTATCCTCTTTAATGTGGATTTTAAAAGTCCCATCTACTAAAAGTTCATGCCAGAAAAATATTGTATATTGATAAATTTACACTTCCGTGGCTTAAAGAAGAACAATCCAAACGAGCGCACCCCGTATACAAACAAAACGCCCGCTCCGCTCGCGGCAGCAACGGTATCGCGCGTGATCGCGTCATATATTTCAAACTTCGATCGGCGTCCCGGCGCAAGCTCCACATTGTACGACGCTTCGCCCAGATTTTCATCTCGCCGCCTCGTTCAACAGTTTTCGCAGGCACCACACTCCGATGACCCGAATTTCCGGGAAAATCGACGCCATGGTGCTTCCGTCGCACTAAAGGTTCCGCAAAACACTCTCACGTTCCTTTCCATTTGGTTTCCGTTTCGTGTCGGCAGAGTAAAATATATCGCTTCAACAGGTAAAGCAAATGCACATCGTTTCCCGTCTTCCCCCGCCACCCGCTCCTCCAAGGTGATATTTCCCAAGCGGGGGAGTCTAAAATATCCAGTCCCACATTATCAAATTACTATTAAAGGAGTTTTGCGTTCGATTTCCATTTTGTGTCGTAGATGCCGGAGAGCGTGCTTCTCCCGGCTAGCTACATCACGATGGCCGAGGCCGAGCCCGACCTATCGACGTTCGAGAACAAAACAGGCCTTGCCGAGGACATGAAGTTTCTGGCATCGATGCCAGAGCTGTGCGACGTCACCTTCCTTGTGGGGGAGACGAGGGAGCCCGTTTGCGCGGTCAAAGCCGTTCTAGCGGCCCGTTCTAGGGTGTTCCACAAGATGCTCTACCAGGTCCGATCCAATGCCGCCACTTAGATGGTCAGTATGCTAGTTCTATTGCAGGCCCCGAGTCCCCAGCGCAAGAAGGAGCCCCCGCCGAGGGAGAACAAGCTGCGGTTGTTTTTGAAAAGGTCCTCGGAGCCGCTGCTGAACCTTCAAAATGCTTCGCAACAGGTAAACGAGCGATGCCGAGGTTAGGAGGTTAGGGTTCGGAAAGGAACCAATCCGCAAAGTACGGACGATTTTGCGGATCGGTTTCCGCTTTTGCGACGGTACCGTGTAAAATATTTAGACCGGGTAGATGAGAGAAATTAAACCAAACACACGTAGTTGACTGGTGGCTTTTTTAAAAACGATGATCCTTACGTACGTTTAGAGAGGCTTCACCCAACAGCTGGCCCCCATCCAAGAGGTAACGATGTCCAGGTCCTTTTCCTAAGTGCCTGCTTATTGCTTGCCTTCTCTACAACCGTAGGATTCGATACTTTCGAAGGTTTAGCGAAAGCATGACGCCAAGTTTTTTGCATATTGTTAGGTTTAGATTTCATCGCTTCTTATAGTTTTTGGTCATTTTAATAGCACCTTAGTATACATAGAACTATAGAGTTCCTAGGGACTGGTACTCTACAAACTTACCAGTCTCCATGAGGATGGGGAGATTTTCATTCCCTGTACATTGTATTCGTATACCTTTCTGTATATACCGATTTTATGGAATTATATTATTCATTATATTTTGACACCCACCTACAGAGTTAATTTTGAAAATAGAAAAAAGTATCAGTGCAAAAATTTTCTCTAATTGCTGTCAAAATGGCAGCAATAGAATGCTCTATATATTATTAGCTTAAATTATAGATCTTGAAAAGACCGTGAAAATCCAAGGACAGACGGACCGATTACATACGAAGGATCCTGGAATGGCGATATTTCCTTGCAACAGAAATAGAACACTCGCAAGAAAATGTGCAAGTTAGAAATTCTTTAAATGTAATTTGGCATCAAGATGGCGCACCTCCACATAATGTCCAACCGGTTACCGATTATCTAAATAATAAATATAGAAAACTCTTTAATGACCTGCCAACAGCCCCGACCTGAATCCTTGTGAAATTTTTTTGTGGGGATACTTAAAAAATAAAATTTATTATAATAGGCCTGAAAGTTTACAAATGATAAGAGAAAGACTTAATAACAGAGAAAACCCTGATTTTATCACCTCGTGTGTTCATAGGAAATTGAGAGGAAATATTATCCGATGTATAGAAAATAATGGAGGTTATGTGGAAAATGTTTAGCATTAATTATTAATATTTTTATTGTTTAAGTAATATTTGGAATATCTTAAGTTATTTAACTTACGCTGTAGATCTTTAGTTTTGATTAGTTGCAAAACATTGCAAACATAGGTAATATGGTTGCTGTCAAGGCAGACTTGACCATTTTTAAACAATATGGCTGTTGTCTAGAAATAATAATAATAATAACACATGAACCACATAAATTGCAAAAAATGAGATAAAAGCAATTAAAATTGTTCCAAGTTCAACCCCTATAAAATAATATACAGCAACTATTTTAAAATGATTAGTTATTATTAGTGTATATAAAAATTAAAAATTGGATAGAAAATTTTAGGACTGAACTTACTCGAAAATCTCTTGCAATTTGCTTGTTGGCTGGCCAATTCTTGTCTTTTTTTTTAAGTTTAATGGTGATAAGGCTTTTAAAGAGAAAGGAACGGTATTGTGAAGTTTGTAAACGTTATAGGAGAAGCTTCTTTGAAAAAGAGACGTCCTGTGTAGTGGTGCATAGATAAGACAACTATTTTATTTTATTTGTCAAGTAAGGAGGACTGTTATTAAAAATAATGTTGTGAAAAAATACCAAGCAGTGGAGTTTACGTCTATTCTGCATATAAAACCAATTAGCATTCTGTAGTTTGTGTGAGACTGGATCATATTTTCTTATACCATAAATTAAACGCAAACAGTTTTTTTGTACTCTTTCAATTTTATATGTGTCAGTTTTATCTAGGCATGGGCCATATAAAATTTTACAGTAGTTAAAGTAACTTAACACTAGAGAATCCGTTAATTTAATCTTTTGAGCCTCAGACAATAAATGTAACTTTGTGTTAATTCTTAGGCCAATATTTTTTGCACAATTCGTAAACTGCAAAACTCTACCACTCACTTTTTTGTTCATTTCAGACACCAAACGATCTCTATTCTTTCCAAAGAGCATAACAGATTAATTGGATTAATTATCAATCCATGACGTGCTGAAAAATCTGATAGTTCTTTTAAATCTGCATTGATCAATTTTTGAGATGTATACCAAGTACTGGGGTCAAGTGAATATAATACCTGGGTGTCATCAGCATAAAAATATGCCGTAACATTTGTCATACAGTATACAAAATTGCTAGTGTAAATTGTAAATAAAAGCGGCCCCAGTATGGAACCTCGCTTGCAAAGTTGAGCTCTCACCTCATCGATACTAACAGTAGAAAACGAAAATTTGTCAAGTACATCTGTAGGAAATACTGGTTAATATCTGAAGGTCTATTTAACCCATATTTGTAGTTTTAGATTTTATATTTAAATTTCTTAACTTTTTCCAAAGAACTTTACTATTACTTTCATTAGAGACAGATTCTAGATATCTTTTCTTTTCATTCTTAATTGCTATGTTAGTTTGATTTCGCAGTTGTTTATAACTATCCCAATGACTATTATTTTTTGTAATTTTGTCCTCTTTAAAAGCTTCATCTCTCAGTTTATTCAGACCTTTCACAGTATCTGTTAACCATGCTGTTTTTTGGCTTTTTATTTTTATAGTTCTCAAGGGAGCCAAAACCTCAAAGATATTTTTTATTAGAATATTGAAATAAAATACTTTTTGATTAAGGTTAGCAATCTGTACTATAAATCGAATGATAATTATTTTTAAACTGAAATATCTCAAAAACGGCTAAACGAAATGTCATTAAGCTATATATTTTCGAAATCAGCTTGCGGTCGTCGTTTGTTTTTTCTGACATTTGCATAATATCTTTCAAAATTAATCCTGTAGATGGGTGTCAAAATATCACGAATAGCCCTGTACATACGGGTAGATCGCACAGAATGGATTGCTTAAATTCATTATCTTCTGCATGAATTATTCCGGTCAGAATCGCGATATCACGTGACGCAAACCCAATCTCCGCAGCCTCAATCCCAACAACACCAGACCCTAATCATCGAGGAGTTCGAACCTGATGTTTTCCGCCAGCTGATCGAGTACATCCACACGGGCTGCGTCACTTTACAACCGAGGACGTTGCTTGGTGAATATAATACATTTTTGACCTGGTCCCCCAATGTTTTTCATGGATATATCTTAGGAGTGATGAACGCTGCCGACTACTACGGTCTGGACGAACTGAGACGTGCGTGCGCCGGTTTCGTCCAGTGCTGCATAAACGTGGACACTGTCTGCGCGTTGCTAGCTTCGGCGGAACGATACATCCAGTATAAGTGCACCAAGTCCCTCGTGCAAAAAGTGCTCGAGTTCGTCGACGAGCACGGCAACGAGGTGCTCAACTTGGGCTCGTTCACGCTGCTGCCTCAGCACGTGGTGAGACTAATCCTCGCCAGGGACGAGCTCCAAGCGGACGAATTCACCAAGTTCCAAGCGGCGCTGATGTGGGGTTGGTAACCGAGACCTCTGCTCCACCTCCCTATCCCCTGTCTCGATCCGCAGGAAAAAAGTACTGTGACAACAATCCCACCACCAGCTTGAAAGACGTGATCGGCAATTTCCTGGAGTACATCCAGTTCCACAAGATCCCGGCCAACGTATTGATGAGGGAGATCCATCCCCTCGGTCTGGTGCCCTACAGCATAATCATGAACGCGTTGGCGTATCAGGTGCAGTATTCGTTTGACCGTTTTGGTGGCGCGACGATTCGACATCTTCGCGTCTCGTAGTTTGACCGGATCGTTTTGCAGGCAGACCCGAACAGTGTCGACCCCGGAAAACTCTCCCCAAATCGCGTAAGGCGACAGGATCAGGGTCGTTCGATGAGCGTGCAGAGTTCGCTGGACCCCTACGGATCTAATACTACGCTGAGCTCGTCCGGCTCTAGCGAACTCGCCTCTTCCGACGGAAAACACTCCACTAGTAATTAACATAAGGCCACTGGTACACCTATCCCGTCGGCCCCGCCCCCCATACTCACGTCCGCTTCGTCGTCGCCCCAACACGCCAACGCCACGCCCCCCTCGCCGGTCCATGTCAAGGCCCCGCCCATAGTCACGGTTCAGGACGCGTCGCCGAGGTCACCGGGCAGTGGGAGTGGCCGCAGGACTCCCGGAGGGGGTAGCGTGGCGCTCGCCTCCCCCGCCCATACGTTCACGTTTACAATTATTTTGAAAAAGGTGACGCCCAAAGAGGATTATTTGTAATACAGGCTAAAAGAGCCGGCGGTTCGTATGCTGGGGTCGAACGAAGTGCTGATTTAACCGTGTGACGTCACGGGCATCGTTCGAATCGACCAATCAAAACGGTAACATTAACTACGTTTAGTTTAAAGAAACGTCCACAACAGAAGAAATTGATTTTCTTAAAATTCACTCTTCCTCCTTAATTAATCAAAACGATTGAAAAGAGATCTTAAAAAGCGGGTTTATCAAATTCAGCGTACAAATCCTTGGCTTTTCGCCTGCGAAAATCTTACGTGTTCTAGGTTAGTTTTTTCGAAAATCCGTTTCTGCGTGTCGTTACTTCGGTGTTGAAATTTACATAAAAAATATATTCGCCAGTTCGATAGGTACCTGTCAATTATTATCAGGATGACACGTAACAAACGACTGGCATTATCTTCGGAGATAAAGCGCGACGTTGTTGCGGGGCGTCCTGTAAACTACTTCTTATGATGGAATACACATTTTTCATCAGACCGTCACGTTTGCACACTTTTGACGCAAAAAGTAGTAGGAACGGGTCACTTCTACGGCCACTGTCGATTAGGTCCTGTTGACGTCACGCTATTTTCATGCTCATTGAAAATGAGCGTCGCTAAACAGTGGCAAAGGTACTCTCAAGTTAAGTCTCGGAAGGAACATAACACTCGGAGGTAACCCGTTCTTACCCATTATTAAATTTTTGTAAATTTACGGGTATCAAATCCCTTTGCGGGGAGTTGCACAGAGGAGGCATACTGCCATATTACGAGCACTCGCTGCGCACGGTGGTGAGCTCCAAAAGAAATTTAGCAAAAATAACATTTATTGAGATTGTAAAAGAAAACTACTCACCTTTTTTTAGTTAGTACAGCTAAAACTTTTTTTTTTGTTAATTAAGGTTTAAATATTTGTAAACTCGACCTTATCGCCGTGGGACGCGAGGGCGCCCTTGTTAGACGTTTCGAAGTTTTTGTGTGTATTAAAAAGTTACGTTGTTCGTTGTAACTTCTTACCCCAAACGTATCGGAATATTTCCCCGACGCCTTGCCCAAACCTTTGTTAAAGTGCCAGTGGCTTTGTGTTTGATATAATATAAATTATTTTCCTACGATATTTTCGTGTACGATATACTCACGAGCCCGGAAGACTCCGGGGCTTTGCTTATTTGTGTACGCTCTCGTACTATTGGTTGCCGTACTCTACTGATTTCATCTTAGCGTTATGTTTCCTTTGACTAGAAAGTACATTTATGCTAACTTGAACTGCGGGATGGTCCCTACTTTGCAGCGCACGACTCAATTTAGAATACGTTTTCCGTGTTTACACGAAACTTAACTAAAACCAAAAATTCTATATTATTGGATCTTGCAAAAATTACTTTCTTTACTCCCAACACTGTCTAGGGTTACAATAGCAGCTGGGGAGGACATCAAATCTGAAATTTTTCACACTCAAAATGATATAAAAGAATATTCCGTCCTATGTTTATAGCAACAGATGAAATTGTATTGACTTTTACAAAATTTCTGCTCTTGTTAAACAACACAGAATGTCGAAACTTCGATCTTCCATCTTAAGGGACCACCCGAGACGAACAAATCGTTGAAACTATAAGCTGCTTGATGTGCGATGTTATAATATGCATAACAGCTAGCCGCTACCTAGCTTTTAAAATTAAATGTAAGCATGATATTCTGCGGTATGTACTCTTTCGTTTTTGGGCAACTATATGTTACAAATACTACAAAATACGTGGGCTAAGATGTTATAAAATATGTTTATTTCTGTATACAGTTGTTTTATTCGTTACTGCAATACTTTCATCCTCCAACTCCTTGCTGCCATTAAATACCCGGTAGATTCTATCTATCTAGGTTTATTTATCTACCTATTGCAACTTCGTCTTCTTCTTTACACCTCGATTAACTAAAGACAGAATACAATACAACACAGGATGGTCCACGTCAGCAAGCTCGATTATCAACAATCAAAGCAGGAGGAATCCCGCAGATTGGTAAATAGTATTACAGTAGCCTGTAGAAGTTTCTTAAAAAAAATCTAAATTTTATTGATTACTTAAAATCAGAGACCCTTAATAACGGACAAAATATACAACGTACACTTAAAATATTTGGTTTGGCATTCTTACGAATTTTGATATACCTGTTGTTCTTCGACGTAGAATTCATTGTTCCGCGAGTTCTTAAATTCATTTATATACAATATGCAAACCTTTTTTGCATTTTCGACAGGAGAAATATGTTCTAGGAATTGGAGTAGCAACTACCAGTTTCATTAATACTCACTCAGCCAGGGACAACCTACTACTGGCGCAAATATAATTTCTTTTTTTAACTTTGTTTTATTTGAACTGGCTTAACACAGAATACACACTGTATGGGATGGTCTTCTTATATTGCATTACTGAGGTTGATAATTTCTGAAACTAATTCCCGAATTTTACTAGTGGTTAATAAAGTAACGAGTATTTTTTCCTTCTTTTGTTTTATCTTTGTAACAAAAGAAAATTACGTGGCTGAGATTATAGGAATACAAAAGACACGATCCAAATAGCCAGGAAAAATACCTGAAGGCAAGTACAGGTTAAAAATACGCTGTAGTGGCCTTCTCAAAGTACACACACAACTCTTAATCAAGACTGATGGAATCCTGTAAGTTCATAATACTCTCAAACACATCAGTTTCGCAAACTATTTACATGTTTCCAAAAAGATTTTGGGTCGTACTTGACATCCTGATTAATTCCCATTACATATGCACTGTAGCACTCACTATGTAGTGCCTTACACTGATCCCTAGAAATATAAATAATCATCAACGTTGTTAGTTTGCTTGTATTTTGTATGCGCAGTTTTTTTCATAAGAATTAAGTTCTGGAGTTCACGAGAAATTTGAAGAAATAAATAAGAACTTAAAGTTCAGATTTTTTCACAATTGTTTCGACAACAACGTGTTTTTATCAAATGTAATATTTCCAAACTACCTGCTACTATATATACCGAAAAATGACAATAAAACCTTAATTACTGTTGTGAGAATTTAAGTATGACTGTGTACATATCAGCTCAAATCACCCTTAAACACACAAAATGGCTGCATTTCAATCTTTTATACACAGACTTCTTAATACGCCGTACTCAACAGAAAATTACAACAACGAACTTAATATCATTAAACAAATTGCACTGAACAATGGCTTCAATCCCTCCATTATAGATAAAATTATAAATAAAAAACAAATCCAGACAACAGTAAACTCTATTTATCCGAAACCTGATACAGAATACGAACCATTTAAAACAATTACATACATAGGAGAACCTAGTGAAAAAGTTTCAAAACATTTGTCAAAATGTGGTTTAAAAATAACTTTCGGAACTAACAACACAATAGGAAAATTTTTAAAAAACAATAAAACGAAATATCCAAAATTTCAAAAATCAGGTGTCTATAGGTTGAAATGCGGATCTTGTCCTAAAATTTATACTGGACAAACAGGTAGATCCTTCAAGAAACGCATTAACGAACATAAAAGATCGTTTAAAAACAATAGTCTAGATTTTAATTATGCTACACAGTTAAACATAGAAAAACACATTTTTGACGACAATTTTGATGTTTTACATACAGCCACAAAAACCAGAAAATTAAATTTATTGGAAGCGATGGAGATTAACAAAATGAGACATTCAAATGTATTGCTTAACGATCAATTAGATCTAAGCACCTCTCCTTTGTTGAACTTAAATTCTCACAAGAACATTAATTAAGGTTTTATTGTTATTTTTCGGTATATATAGTAGCAGGTAGTTTGTAAATATTACATTTTATAAAGACACGTGTTGTCGAAACAATTGTCATATAAAATCTGAACTTTTAGTTCTTATTTATTTTGATAAATGGATTTTCATCAAGTAAAAGCCACCTCAGTTCAATTTTCGAAATTTGAAGACTTAGATCGCTTAACAGGAACAAACATCTCAATCGCACCATACAACATACTACAGAAATCATCGACACATCTGTCCCATGGTATACAAGACAGATAACAATTCATTACTTTAATTAAATCAAGTAAAAAAATCAAAAGAATTGCTGATTATCAGTTTTTCCCGAAAACTTCGGGACCAATCGGAATTTTCTCGATTTTGAACATCAAAATGCTGAACTGCTGAATTTGGTACATTTTGAGAAAACACCCTACAACTCTGGAACGATAACAGATATCCTTGTGCGGTTTTTACCATTATATTTTGAGTCTCAACTCAAATTTCATCCGCTCTGTACCACGCACATGTTTCAGAACTTCTTGCCCACCAAATTTTCTTCCTTTAGGAGAAAAAAAAACATTACATTACATTTGTCATTTAACAAACCATCGAAAATGAAAATAAAATTAATTCTGGAGACCCCTGACGCTATCTCGCGATGGGTTAATTAATTTTAGGCGACACCCAGGCGGAAAAGTTGGCTTAAAGGATCTTAATTAAGTTTTCACTTGATGGTCGTCGTGATAAAACCAATGGCGTCACGCAAAGGAGCTGACCAATTTGATTTCAAACTTCAAAGCGATTGGGTCAATAAATCAAAAGTATTACGCACAACGCGGCGCTTTTGGCAACTGCACCACAGCTAATTGCAACAACGCATGTATAACAAATCGCAGCGGTTATTAAAATAATCATGCATTTTCGCGTTGATGACCGGCAGATGTTCACAATTCGAAACGTTCCGGATAAAATAACCCGACGCCCGTTATAATTAGTACGTCGAAAACGTTGGCAGTGAAAAGGAAAATCGTGTCGGTGCACAAGTTAAGGTAAGAAAAAAAACGATATTTATTTGGGTGCCCCAAGGGTCACACCCGGGCCCTTTAATTTGTAGCCATTTCATCGAAAACGTATTGCTGTTGCTTTCGCGTCTTTCCAAAATGTCTATTGATAGCTGCGGCTTCAGGCAGACTTCGATAGTTGACGCCGCAGATAATGTACGTACGGTCTGTCCCAAAGTATATCGTCTTGACTTTGGACGACAATTATCGAAATAATCTGTCAAGCGGCAATAAACCGCCTGATCAGTCGGTATTGTGTATACAAAGATTAAATATTGTAAAATTACATTGACACTAATAGAAAATACGCTGTCCCTAAATATAAACGTAAGAATCTCCAATTATTAAAACATATTTCCTTCTTATAGTCTAAGAGCCAACAGAGAGAGAATTTCAGATAAGTTAGTATATGGAAAATGCTATCTCTCTCACCCTCTAGGACATTAAATGATATTCCAAATCATTTTAAGAAGGTTTCTTTTTTAATATTATTTTAATTGAGCTTTTTGACGCATGAATCCATTATTGCCAGATATTTTTATTGCTGTTTAAGCTGTGCCAAACGCTAATTTTAATTAAAAAGAATGTTTTTTCAATATATTCTAGTATGGCTGAAATCTCTATATGATGTTATTTGTATATCTAAAAACCCATAATCAATATGCCAAACAATAATTCAATTGTTGAACCTTCAGCCACACCGATCTAAAAGTGAGAAGTGATTAAAAATTAAAATTTAAATATTAAATAGATTAAAAAAGTGTAAAGAAGTTTACAAATACGTGTATATTTTAAACTTAAATGTGAAATTTTTACAGCAGGTTTACAGCTTTAATGAGAAAATATCTTAATTTATCTGAAATTAATCTCTCGTCAAGAAATTGACACTTCTAATGCAATTATTGAGCCTGAAAGTGTGGAAAATATAGAAACAAATTCAAACGTCAAACGAATTTGTTTTTTCTTTTGGAAAAGATCTCGAGCAATTTTTCATTCTATTGCAGATAATAACTTGTTACCAAACGATATCCCTTCAAAAGACGTTGATGACAATGAAAATAATAACAGTGATGAAGATGATGATGATGATTATCAAGATGCCTTCGTTTTTTGTGATACAATTATGGATTAAAAAATTTAACCTTCATTTTCACGTAATCGTTCAAAATTTTTTGTACAACAATAAATTATTATTTTGATACCGTATCAATCCACAAATTAATTCAATGGTTTTTAGTCCTTTCTCTGAAATTTATTTGGCAACTATTTCTAGACCAAGCAAAAGCGACATAACGAAAGAATTAATAACATACTCGTAAAAAATTGTTGGTGGTTGTTACGGTCGTAGCTACTTCAAAACTGAAAGCGATATATTTTGAAATACACCATACCGTTCCTTATTGAAGATTCGAAGTGTTTTCGGAGCGCGAGCATTGAAGATGCCAAGTGAGATTTTGGCGATACGTCTGCAGGATTCCAGTCGGAGTTCAACGAGCGAACGGATGATATCCCGGAATATAGTGTCATCACATTTTTCCATCCGTGAATCAATACGTGAAAAAAAAATAATAAATAGTTATTACTTACAGTAGTGGAAGTTTGTTCAAAATTATTTAAGAAATTGGTAAATATGCAAATAGCACAAAAAATCAAAATATAAGATAAGAAAAGTCGTTTATAGCAAAAATTATGTTTATAAGCAGAAAGATCCACAAAACTTCCGTTCCCCCTCTTCTGCAGATGGGCATTAGACCGAACACGCGGAGCCCGACAATTAATAATAATAATAATAGCAGGTATTTATTTATATATCTATAAACAATGAGAAATAAAGCAGTATAAGATAGGAGGGTGGCGACATTTAGCAAAACTCCTCCCCTAATGACCCAAAATGGAGAGATTTTATGAATTAATCTAAATTAACTTGATTCTATCACTGTGAAAGAGAGATTATAAAAATACGTTTATAAACATTTTAACAAAAAAAAACGCTTGCACTTGATATCATCCGAAAAGGAGTTGAAGCGTTTAGTGACGTTATAGCTGTTCAGAACGCTGACAAAGGGCAGTATGGTAGAGTGGGACAGTGTATGACGAGTGGTGCGCTGATGAATATCAGATCTTTTGAAAAGTTTTTCGAAAAGATACTTTGGCTGTTTGGACTGCACAATTTTAAAGATTAGTGTACATAAGTGGAGAAATAATCTTTGATTGATATTATAACAAAACCTTAGACAACTGTTTTGCAGCCTCTGTAGATGTTTGGTTTGGTGGCGAGGGCAGGCCAGTATACTATATTGCAGTAGGATAAAAGGAAAATAATAAGAGAGTCGCATGACCTTAGTTTGATGTCTGTATTTAAAATACTAAATATATAGAGAGTTCTTAGTTTCCCATAACTCTGAAACAATATTCATATTCTTGAGCGAGCTAGCTTTTTTTCCAAAAAATAATACCTTGGTTCGTTTCGTTCATTAGAAGAACATGGGCACAAGAAATTTTTGAAACAATTCGCAAATCAGAATTAATTTGGCTGTTGGCCAGCAGTGAGTTTTTAAACTTAAACGATAAATATTACTGCACATTATCAGCATACTGATGCGATTTCAGATATTGCAAATGGTCAGCAAGATCCGCGGTGTAGATAGAAAACAATAAGGGGCTCAATATACTACCCTGCGGACCACCCTGTGTAATAATAGAAAATGGTGAAAATGAGTCGGATAAGGATACTCTCTGACTTTGTTCACTGAAATAGCTTTGAATGAGACAAATGGCCGACTTGCTAAGACCGAAGTAATGGAGTTTAGCGCAAAGAACCTCGTGATCCAGGGCGTCGAAGGCAGTGCTGTAGTCTAGAAGTATAAGGCAGATTTCCTTTCCTTCGTCGCTACTCTAAAAAATATCATCGCTTACCTTTCAAAATCCACGCTGTGTTGAAGGGATAACTTCGAACCGCAAGAAATACTCATTAAGCTGCCCATCCATCATCTTTCCCATAATTTTTGAAAGCACTTGTCGGCCGAAAACTTGACAGTTCACTTGCAGTAGTGACCAAAATAGTTATGTGCCTTAGCACATTATTAAGTGTTATGTAATTTATCATTTATCTTTATCTGTCTTATGGCTCTACCGACCCTCATCTAGTCTGACAAAAGACAAACTCCCTTAGGTAACCATGAAATCTTGAGGTGGCATACTTGTGCAAGTATATATTATTACTTTTATCAATGTCAACAGCCGCCCTACTTTCAATTGACGAAGATTTTCTTAGAAATCCCAAATGAGAACGCATGCGTCAACCCGAACACTCAAAATTTTCCCGCGCCAACCCGAACACCTCCGAACATTCACGAAACTTCGAAAAATTCCCGCCAAAAGTGTCTTAGAACCGGCACTACTGCAATCAGTGTTTTTTTTATACTATGATAAGTTTGAGCTTTTTCCCCGTGTATCAAGAACATTTTTTTATGTAGAAACAATTAACTAGACAAAAAATATGTGATAAGGTAATTTCCTGATGCGACGCCAATGCAGGCCCGCCTGTTGATTTCGCAAAAATAAGGGTGCAGCGGATGGCCATGCTCTTCCCAATTAATTACCCCTAATTGCTGACAGATACATATCAGTCGCGTTTCAACGACTCCCACCGGTAGTCCTTGCAGGTTATTTGACCTGGTAATACGTTACAAAACCTGTGATTAGTATTCGGCATTGCTTGCTCCGGTAAGTATGCAATTTTTTAAAGGTCTCGCTAAATCCTACTAATTTTATCGGTTTTTTCAAAATTTGGTTACCTCTCGGCGCGCCACTGGATTCAATTATTTTAATCTAATCGGGGTAGGCTAATTCCTCTTTAATGTATGCGTTATGCGTCATATTTGATGGCACATTTAAATTAATAAAAAGAGAATAAAGTACTATTTGAAACCAAAACAATCTGACAGGTGAATATGACGGCGGAATGTAAATGCGGTACTCTGGCGCCAGCGAAGCAGACGCCCCCTACCTTTTGGAAACAAATCCGGAACTACTTCAGGCAGTACTGCAACTGTACCAGCATCCACGGCTTCCGATACTTCGGCGAGAAGCGCACCTACTTCGAAAGGTAAGCCATCAGCAAAATTGATCCCGGCTGATGGTTTTTTTAGGACTTGGTGGTTCGTCGTCTTCAGCTTGGCGTTCGCGGTTTGCGTGTACCTCATCAGAGCGATTTACATAAAATGGGAACGCACCCCAGTCATTGTCAGCTTCGCAACTAGCGAAACTCCGATCTACACGATACCGTTTCCGGCGGTGACGATATGTCCGGAATCGAAAACCGCTCAGTCCGTCTACAACCATTCCTACATCCTCAACAAGTTGACGTTTGGCAACGGGACTCTGACAGAAAAAGAGTTAGTTCCCCCAAGTTTAACTTGCAGTCTAATCTATAGAAGTTTCCAACACCATCACATGGTGCCTGAATCTGAACGAGTTCTGGGAAGTTGAGTCAGATTACTTCTTAACTTATGTCACGCCCAGTTAGGTGGAAGGTCGTTGAAGTACCACTTGGGAGGGCAGCGCCAAAATTTCCCGGCCTGAATATGAAAGAATCAAAGTAGAGTAACAATTTTTTATTATTTTCCAATAATATCACCCTTAATTTCAATACACTTATTACATCTCTTTATTAACAACTTCGTCGTTAAACCGCCTTCCACGTAAGTCTTTATTCAAATATCCAAACAAATAATAGTCGCTGGGGGCCATATCTGGACTATAGGGAGGATGATCTATCTGTTGGAACCCAGTCTCTAAAATGATAGCTTGTGCAACACCAGCAGTATGGACACGCGCATTTTCATGGAAAAGACGCACGCTTCTGGTCATTTTTCCTCAACGTTTTACACGTATGCAGTCTCGCAATTTATATAATAATGTTGCGTAATATTTACCATTGACAGTGGCATTAGTTTCTTTAAATTCTATCAAAAAATTCCTGCACAATCCCAAAAGATCGTGGCCATCACCTTTTTTTCTTGGATGGCAGACTCTGAATTTTCTCGGAGGTGCTTCCTCCTTACGACGTCACTCCATTGATTCTTTTTTCGATAGAGGGTCATAATAGAGAACCATTGTTTCATCTCCCGTCACAATAGTTTCTATCACAGGCTTCGGTTCCGACCCACAGAGTTCCAAAAAAGACCGCCCACCCTCGACACGGCGTTGTTTTTGAATAGCCTATAGGTTTTTAGGAACCCATCTTGCATTAACCTTATGCATACCTAAATGATCATGCAGGATTCGACGAACACTTGTATCGGAAAGCTTAGTAACTTTTGAGATTTCGTTGACCTTTAAACGTCGATCACTCAATACAACCCCTTCCACAATCGCAACAATATCTTCCGTTATGACCTCCACTGGTCGAGTCATCTTCCTGCCCCATTCGAAAACGTTTTGCCCTACAGAATACGAAGGAGGACTTTGGCCTTACACACCATCCATCCTTTCTTTAATAATTTTTGATGCTAACCCTTCTTTTGTGAAAAACTTTATGACTGCTCTATACTGAATTGCGTTACGTGCGACATTTTGTTTAAAATGCTGTCAATAAAAAACTATTTGACGCAAGACTTATACATATTTAAAAGAAGGCAAAGTTTTATCGTGATACTGGAGCTGCATCTATGTCATGCCGTGAAATTTTGGCGCTAACCTCGTAACATCACCCAAATAGTAATCAGATGCAAGTATAGAATTTGCATATGGAGAAGTGATTTTTCATCCTTGCCCTTCGTTGAACATTTAAAGGTAAAGATATCACGGCCTTTTTCTAGGAACCAAAACGCCTTGTACATGAACTTGTTATGCGACATGGACCTCGCCGATCACCTCAACGTTACCGAAGACTATTTCACCGACGAAATACTCGATTTCCTATCCACGGTAGAAATCGCCGTTAACGAAAACCGTGCTCTAACTGTGAGTCTTGCAGAGCACCCAACACAGGAGGAACGAAACCTTGTTCGGGTGCATTTGGATGGGAAGAGAGGTGGACTGCCGCGAAATATTCATCCCCATCCTTACCGATGAAGGAGTATGTTACTCCTTTAATATGTTGGATCGCGAGCACATCTTCCGCGACAACGTGTAAGTCGTAGAGCATATAATACATCGATTTAATGCCACGCTGACGATTTGTAGGCTACACTTTCAGGACTTTATGAAAACGCGATTTGAAGGCAACCTCTCGTGGACCCTAGACGACGGCTACCCCGAAGACGCCGGCTTGGAGAGCTACCCCAGACGAGCATTGTTCGCAGGGGCCAAAAACTCGCTGACGATTGTGTTGATCACTTGGAAAGACGATATCGATTACACTTGCAAGGAATCACTGCAGGGATATAGGGTAAATAGGTGCGTCATCATAGACGATGGTATGCTAGGAGTGTTTTAGGTGATCTTGCACACTCCGATGCGAATCCCGAGACCAAGTCAGGAGTACTTCAGGGTACCCTTGAACGAAGTAGTCCTGGGTTCGATTCAACCGAACATGATCACCACTTCGGAGAGCGTGAAGGTGTTCAATCCGCGCCGTAGAGAGTGTTACTTTCCTTCGGAAAGGCACCTGCGCTACTTCAAGATATACACGCAGCTGAATTGTCATCTGGAATGCCTGACGAATTTCACTCTATCCCGTTGCGGATGCGTCAACTTCTACATGCCGAGTAAGCACGTCCAAGAGGAAGAGGAACAGTCGTGAAGGTGCGTTTTTCAGGGGAGAACGGAACTTCGCTGTGTGGTGCTGAAAAAAGGGACTGCATGGAGGAAGCCGAACAAATTCTGCAAACGAGGAACCTGCTCAGGAGGCTTCAGGAAGCCCATAAACCGAGGAGCGCGCTGTTCAAAAGAAAAGCCAAGGGAAACGGAAAAACTCGGCCCAGGAAGAATAAGGTCGACTTCTCCTGCGACTGTATGCCGATCTGTACGGACTTGACGTACAATGTGGAGACTTCGCAGTCCAACTGGGACTGGTTCAAAATGTACAGCGTGCTTAATAATGGCACCCCGATTTTTGGGGAGGAAGAGTAGGTTCTGAATAACGGGGACTATCTATTATTACGGTTCGTTTTCAGGGTGTATATGTCAAAACTGACGCTGTATTTTAAGACGTCGCAGTTTGTAACGTCCAAGAGGCACGAACTCTACGGACCTACGGATTTTCTAGCGAATTTTGGCGGCCTTTTGGGCCTCTTTACCGGATTCTCAGTGCTGTCATTGATGGAGATATTTTATTTTCTCACAGTGAGATTGTGCTGCAACGTGAGGCTTTACGGGATATGGTCCGGTCCAGATGATTAAAACCTTTCCTCCTATTTCGCTATTTTTGTTTTATTCGATGTTTCAATTTGGAAGTGTAATAAGTTGGTTATGAACCAATATGCGTATAAAGTTTGATTCTGCTGTTGTACCCAAACCTCAGAATGGACAGAAGATTAGACAATGAGAATTTCTGTAAAGCATTTAAATTTCGTTGTTCTCATTCTGTTTTTTTCTTGTTTAGTGTTCACTATCATCATATTTATTGCGTAGCTAGTTTATAGCCTTTTTCAAAAAAATATATAAAATTATACAAAAGTCTATTTTGTTATAATCTGTTATGTTAAGCTTTAATTTAGAAATTAACGTAAAGAAACGTGGTGAGCGCCACCGCGTTCCTTTGCAGTTTGGCACATTTACAAAACTCAATAACAAAATTCTCGATACTAAAGATTTTGATTATCATCCCATTGAAATCCTCTATGACGCAAAAGATAGCAGGAAACAGATTATTAGAATTAAAATGTCGCAGATGGATCCGCCACATTTACAAAACAAAATCATTTTAGACAGAAGTGCTTAAGTAAATAGCAGTTATCATTATTTTATTGTTTACTAATTTGCTACATTTTTGTCTGTAGGTTGAAGGAACTGTTTAGTGGTTGAAATTAATAACTATTTTTCATTACGATCTTTCTAATATATCACTAAATTAAACGCAGTAGCGGATGTCCCATTTTGAAGTATCTTCTTTATTGTCAAAGATAGAGAATTCTATTTAATTAAGGAGGAACACGCGTTTGACTCATAATTCGAAAAGAGAAAGTGTGGAAAAAGAATCTTTTCCACTGCATTCTGCACGGAAAAAAGTCTAAATCAATATATAGGATGGTTTACGTAGATCTCCTGGTGGACGTATATCAAGAAGAAATTAATTTAATATACTAAATCTTGGTATATGAGTAGCTAGTACACTTTTAAAAAACATTTTCGAATTTACAGGGTGTGTCATGTTGTCGTGCTTTATTATTTTAATGGGACACCCTGTATGCGAAGATATATTTGATATTTTCTGTAAAAAATGTCAGACGCAGTAGTTTCTTTTGAATTTAATTACTTTCACCAGCTGTCTACGGCTGTCTACAACCGTCCTTGAACACTTTCTAAAGCTATACAGAGTGTACTCAATAATGGTAACTTTTTGATTGATGTTATTTTTTTCTCAAATGGAACACGCTTTAATTTTTGAATTTAAGAACTTTGAAATTCAGATCTGCATCTATTCCTAGCTATTTTTTAGATTTTTGTTTGATGGAAATTAGTGTGATATGCCATTAGAAAAAATTACAAACATATGAAACATTGAACATAATTATTACAATAAATATTACATATGACCGCCGTTTAGGGAATTTTGAAATATTTTCTTCAATATGAGATCTTGTAGGCATTCAAATTTGTCTTGGTTCTAGTGCATTGAAAGCTGCATAGTCAGTTCTTGGCAGTTGTTTATCTGTATTCGATTGCACACTAAATTTTTGATGTGACCACATAGAAAAAAATCCAAAGCCAACAGGATGATTGGCTAAATGTCAGCAAGTTTGATTTTTCGGAAAGTTTTGGGTACGGGTACGACGTTCTACGTCTTTCCAGAGATTTCCAATGGGGTTAAGATCGGGCGATTGTGCTGCCCACTGCAAAACTCACACGTTAATTTCCCAAAATCTCTGTTGAATAACTCTTGAAAAGTGTTTTGAAATAAAAATTGAATATTTTGTATTTTTGTATTCTTCCCAAAACTAACAGCTTTTTAGCTAGACGTCTACTAAATAGCTTTCCATTTACTAACAATCTGTGTACTGTTTCATCTTCCAAAGATCAATTGGAGCAATTCTTTTGATGCGTCGGTCTGTTGTTTTCTGTGGCCTTCCCAATTTTGACAATTTCTCTATACTTTTAAACTATTTTAGGTACACTGTGCCTGGGTAACACAAACTGTCTCGAACTTTGTCTTTGGAAATTGGACTAACCACAGAGATTTTACTCCAGCAAAAACCCTTCAAACTAACCAAAACTAAATACAAAAAAAATCATTTGCTTTGTTATTAAAAATTGTTGCGATACTCATAGCCTACTTTGTAGTTATAAAATTTATTTCTCCAAGTGTTTCTCTACTTTTGTCCAATAGAGTATATACTCATCCCAAAATTTGGAACATTAACATAGGACATCTGTATTAAAAACAAACAAAAATGAAAAATCACCCTATAACTCAAAAATTAAGGAGTGTTGAAGATACTTAGAATGATAATAATAAATTAAGAAATCTCTGTAGAAGCAAATGTAGCGCTCAATCGGGTATTTTAGAGCCCGAATCCATGATCGCACAAATAATGAAATAAAAAAATTAACTAAAAATCCCACAAGCCGACACGCGACGTCTATACCTAAAATGCAAATTTGCGCCCACTTCATTGCGCTAATTGCCTGTAAATACGACTTAGCAATCCCCCGGGAAACTAATTGCTGCATATAGAGACCGCACCCTCTGCATATGATACTCGTGTTTCAGAAGCAGCGGATAACAAAAGACGCCCGAAGTCGGCCATGACAGGTGATTTCCGGACCAGACGCTGGCAATTGGTTTGGGCGAATTTGCTCTGTTTCAGAGGCGAAGGAACCGCGGAAATATTGCGGGCACCTGCGCGACTACTTCCGAGGGTATTGCGACCGGACGAGCATCCACGGCTTCAAGTATTTCGGAGAAAGAAGGACCTATTTCGAAAAGTAAGCTAATCCGATCGAGTCATTCGCATTCGCTATTGAATATTAGCTATAGTCGGTCGTAATCTTCATCGTGTTTGATTGACGGAGCCTCCCCAATAAAACTTTAACGATGTTTTTATTGTGCGACCAAAAATATATAGTCCAGACCTTCGCAGGACCGTGGTAAAACTTTTTTAGCCATCCGGCGGCTAAAAATATAATAAAAAATAAATAAAAAAAAATCGATCTAGAAACCATGTAAGTTATCCAGACATTCTCATAAAGACTCTTATTATTATTGTTATCGGTCTCAGATATCTCTACTTTGCAGGTATTGGTGATGCGATATTGGTAGAGACGAGCTTTGTCTTAACTTACTTCACCTAAACTCAAAAATTTTCGAACAATGTGACGTGTCTGGAGTATTATAGCTTTTTGTGATACATCAAAGATGTTATTCTGTATGTCTAGTTTCTCCAGATTTTTTTGGAAAATTTTTGTAACAATACCCTCCGTTAACATAACCTATGGACATATAACTACTTCTTTAAGACGCCAGATATGTTTTAGCTGGATAGTCAGGTCTTCACATTTTCGAACTTTCCAGTCTCCGTAGATCTCAAATCAATGATTGATCTGCTCTGTTGTGAGCGACCGTTGTACCTGTACAACCAGTATTACTACATTTCCTACATTGATCAATGGTGTTGATTTTCAATATATGTTTTTCATAATTTCTAGTTCAAATTAACTTGTCTTGAATTGCCAGCATAAAGCACTCATTTTCATTATAAAGATAGCCCTTATAAAGCCACTCTAGTGATGATATTTTGTCGATTAATGTGTTTTCGAGGGTTAGTGGGCATTTACCATGAAGTGTTTTTCCTTCCAGGTTTGTATTTCCAGATGTAGTGTTGTTGTTGTATCGGTTACTATTGACAAACTTAAGACGAGTGGTATGAAATTTTTATCAGCATTTCTCATAGACTGGATGATAAGATCTGTCTGCAAATTTTGCTTATATTTACCTTACCTTCTTTTCTAGGGATATGCAGCCGCGATGTTGATGAGTTGGAGTGTAAACATCTGAATTTTGTTAATATCTGGCGAGTTGTTCTAAGCCTTCCAAGTCAGTTTTGGACCATTTAACTATTCCAAAGGAATATGTGAGTATAGGTATCGCCCAACTATTAATTGCGGCGATGACGTTTTCGCCGGTTAGTTTGGTGTTCGACACTTTTTGTATTTTTCAGTAAATTGGGGAATGGTCTATATATATAAAGAGCCGGGTTCTAGGTCTGCGATGCTTTCGAAAGCTTCTTCTTTTTCATCTGGCGGTTCAAGTTTTCCTTTCATGACGTCTTAGTATCGTCAGTGAATGTCAGTCAGTCAATTTTGATCGATTTTCTGCATACATTTTTTGTGGCTTCTATCCTATCTGGGTTTCAGTCAGAAGGGTTGACAATGGGTTAAGTGCCAGTAGGAACTACATGGATGTAAGGGAGTTGCCTTGGAAAAAAATCCCTCTTTTGATATTGATTATACTCAGCTTATAATATGCATTTTATTTTATTTCCAAACATCTCAACAATCAGTCATGTGGGGCGGGGCTTTTTTGTAGTCAATGTAACACACGTAGAGATGACGTGTATTATTATTATTATTATTATTATTATTATTATTATTACTTAATCCAATCCAAACTTTACAAAATACTCCACAAATTAGAGTTAGAGTTTTCCTGCTCAGCTAAACGAATCGATTATACGGACTTTGGTTTTGCAGGATTTGGTGGTTTATTACTTTTGGTCTAGTGTTTACCGGCTGCGTGTTTCTAATCAAACGCATCTACTTGAAGTGGGAAATGAGTCCGGTAATAGTCAGCTTCGCCACCACAGAGACGCAGATCTACACGATACCGTTCCCAGCGGTTACGATATGCTCAGAGTCCAAGTCCATAGCAGAGCTCTACAATCACTCTGCAATCATCAATAAGGTCTTGGTTAGGAACGAAACTTTGAACGAAACTGAGTGAGTACGCTCTGGTCGATCAGGATGTGGCTCTGAGGTTTTCTTCGCAGGATGCGTCACTTCCTGCACATGTCTCTCGTGTGCGACGCCTACGTCGACGCCATCCTCAGCAGGCTGAACATCACCAACGAGGCGAATGTCTCAGAGGACTTTTTCAGGTTTCTAGACAAGGTATCAGATTGACGTATCTAAATCCAAATAAAAACACAACGCGTTGTAGCCGGGTAGTAGGTAAAGGATAAAAAAAATTATCCAATGGTTTTGCTAAATATGATATAATAGAATATATATAACGAATAATATGGTAAATTTCTGCAGTTCTTAATTACATTTATCTAATAGTAGTAAACCAAAATCACATCACAAGAAAAAAGAAACTGGAAAACCAGTCCAGTCTTATGTATGAACATATCAACATAAATACATAAACAGAAAATAAGAATAGTGTACTGTAACTCGTGCTTAGATTTCGTAAGCTCTTCAACAAAATCACTCTAGCCTCATTTTTTACTGAAGTAAATACTGTTCCGCAATTGTCTGAATTTGTCTGCACGTATTTTTAGATTTACATGAAAACATTTTAATTACTCTCTAAAATACAATAAGTCATACTCTAGAATATAGTCATACGAAAAGACTACTCCATTGGTGACGTCACTAGGTACGCGGAGACAAGACAAGACAATATGTAATGTTTCTTCCTGCGTGTAACATTCATTGTGTTAGAGAGTCATCTTATTCGATTTTTCAAAGGCGTTTGACACCACTGATCACAAATTCATGTTACCTATACTTAAATACTATGGGTTTGACAATTCAGCTCTAAATTTATCGAAATTATATTTAGATGGCATTTCTCAGAGTATATAAGCGTTTGATGCGGGTTTTAATTATAGTTTATTACTTATTGGGTTAACTATTTGAAGCGGAACTTGTAATATTTAAAATTAGGGAAACAACACCCTACACCACTATAAACTCAGTATGAATCATCAACTCGCGACATCTGGAATTTTTGAATTTGCAGCTGAGTGACAGCACGACCGCATTTAAAGCCATCCATAAGATATCAAAACCAAAGTCTTGTGCGTGCTTACGCTTTCAAGATATCTTATGGACATCTTAAAAATATGATACAAAATCCAACTTCTAGTATGATATCTTATGCGCACCCTACCAACGAAGACCTCTTATAAGTCACTCCACAATGAGCTGAAAATGTTAAAATAAGATTTAAATATCATAAGCTGAAGAAAGAATTCCATACCTTATGGATCTTATGCCTGCAAAATTATAACATCTTATGGACGTCTTGAAGAAAAGGTTTTTAAGGAGTATTTTATCAGTCTGCAGACGTTCATACATAAGCAAGAGTTAAAATAAATGTCTGTAGGACTTTACATGCTGCCCGGTCTTATTTTACGTGTTACTGCTCCCAGGTTATGCTGAAAACTTCTTACTTGTAACATTTGTGCTGGAAGTTTAACAAAAATCTCAAAGCATGCACAGTCCAATGCTGCTGACTAAAGTTTGTGGGAATAAAGTCCACAATTTTGGTATTTGCTATTAAATTTTACATTTGGAATTGTATGTTCTGATTTGGATATAGTATTTTATGTATGTTGCGGTGTTTAGAACGAAATGAGTTTCTTCGTCGACTGCGAATGGATGGGTTACCCGAGACCATGCGAAGAACTCTTCACGCCCATATTCACCGACGAAGGGCTGTGTTACGCGTTCAACATGCTCGATCGCGACGAGATTTTCAAGAAGAACGTGTTGGTGAAGAAACTCGAGTGTAATATTGGTTCCTAATTTTTTTTCGTAGGGTTCACTATAAAAATTTTATGGTCAACGCCAAAAGACCCAACGAAACCGGTTGGGTTCTAGACGAAGGTTATTTCAGCAAAGACATCCACGCATATCCCAGAAGGGCACTTTATTCTGGTACTAATTATGGGCTGGCCATTAACCTCGCCCATCCGAAAGATCTCGTAGGTCATTCCTGCAAGCATTATCAGGAAGGATACAAGGTATTATTTTACAATTATTTTACAAGCCCACATGTCTATTATTCCTCTGGGTGCGGCAATAAAATTGATTGCGATATTTCAGATTTCCCTTCACATCCCGACCAGGGCACCCAGAGTTAGTGAATCTCACTTCATGGTACCTCTTAACCGGAAGGTACTGGTCGCAGTGGTACCCAATATGATTACCACGACAGACACGGTCAAGCAGTATCCCCCCGAGCGTCGCGAATGTTACTTCCCCTCCGAAAGAAACTTGAAGTACTTCAAGATTTACACCCAGCTGAACTGCCAGCTCGAATGTTTGACAAACATCACGCTGGGCACTTGCAAATGCGTCAGCTTTTACATGCCGAGTAAGCTTTAATTTCCAGCTAGCGAGTTTAAAGAAACGAAAGGAGGGAGTTTTTTAGGAGAGAACGGCACCCAAATATGCGGCGTGAATAGGAAACGCTGTATGAGAGCCGTGGAGAATATCCTCCAAGTGATCAGCTTGCACAAGAAGATCAACGAGAAGACAAAAAAGTATAATCGGACAGAGAGCTACTTCAATTGTAACTGCATCCCTACGTGTACTGATCTGACCTACAACATGGAAGTCTCTCAGTCAGGCTGGGACTGGAAGAGTCTTTATCAACCAAGCCGACCATTTGCGGCGGACGAGTGAGAATCACAGAGGAAGATTCGACAACGTCTACCTCGTTAATGTTTGCAGGAATTTCATGTCGCGACTCTTGATTTACTTCAAGTCTCCGCAGTTTGTGACGTCAGAGAGGCACGAGCTCTATGGCCCGGCGGATTTTATCGCGAATTTTGGAGGACTGTTGGGCCTCTTCACGGGTTTCTCCATGCTGTCGCTGATGGAGATACTGTACTTCTTGACGGTGAGGTTGTGCTGCAACGTCCGGCTGTACGGTAGATGGTCGGGACCAGAGGGCCAAGTTTAAATCTAGTATTTCGGTCGCTTGGACGAAAAGTGACACCAATCAAAAACTGTAACTACGCTATTTACAGTTTTAAAATTATTCGCAAAATTTTTTCTGTTTTTAAATTTTGTTTTGTGTCATAATATTACGTGTGAAACGCTAAGTCGATGATACTTGTGTTATTTGGCCTCATGGTCAAGAGTCCCTAGTAGATTTTCTTAGACATTTAAACTCTATACACCATCAATAGAGAATCAGACTAACATTAGGTCATTGTGTTTACAGAATACCTGCGCACACAGACCGATATCTTAATCCATTGTCCCATCACCATCCGGCCCAAAAATCATCGGTTATCAACTTTCTTGTTTACAGAGCCCGTAAAACTATCTCAGTCCGAATCACAGAACCTAGAATTAAAACACCTCACCTCTCTTCTCTCCAATAATTTCAACATTTAAGATATTAAGCGTTCCATCACAAAATACGCTTCACCACAACCATCCAATAGCAATGAGGCCGAAAGCATTCCCACACTTGCCACTGTTGTCCTTCCTTACATTCAAAACATCACTGACTACATATCAGAAGTTCTAAAGAAATATAACGTCAAAACCAGATTTACCACTTGTCCAAAAATCTCTCAGCAACTTCGATCCGTCAACGCCAAATTCCATTTGAGATACCAGTAGTTGACAGCATTGGAAAGACCGGGAGAAAAATATCAATTAGGCTCAAAGAACATGAAAGAGCCTTAAGACAAATAAACTTATCAGCAGTTGGCCAACACAATTCTTCTACCAACGAAAAATCCGAGAGTTTATAGTAATCTATAAGCAACCTAACAATCTTAACCCCGACTCAGGTCTTTACCTGTCACCACCCCCCTCAAACAATTTATAAGCAGGTACAGAGTAAAATGCGGGCAAGTTTCAGTTCAGCTCTGAAGAAGCCAAAAGGCGAAACGTCGGCTCAACAAAAACCGACACAGGAGGAATCCAGAAGTTTTTTGAAAAGGATTACAGTAGTCTGCGCAAGTTTCTTTGCTAAATGAAATCATTGCTTTCTTTTATATGAATGAATAAAAAATGACACGTCATCACAGCAACCATTTATTTATTTTCCAACGGGATAATGTAAAACGCGACTCGACAGTCCATGGCTCAGTCTTTTTTCTGATCCCTCGCGATCACCGCGAGGTAACAGAACGCCCCACACCTGGGCACGGGTTGGGCCGCCAAAAAAGCACCCCCGTCCGGTGAATGTTCGTACAACATGGGTTTCCGTGTGCCCGCGGCGGCCTGGCTCGTTCCTTCACCCCATTCGTCGACGTTTATCTCGGACACGCCCCCCGGCTGCAAAACGGAAACGTCACGTGCTGTGAAACCCACCTCAGCGGCTTACCAGAAGGTGCGCGATTTCTGGTAACGGTCCGGCAGGTGGCAGCTCGGTGAAGGGGGGTTGCAACTCGCCCTGCTGCACATTCACGACCAAATAGTACATGAAATCGTTCCTCAGCTTCATCTCGGCGATGGATCGGTTGCACGTGGCTAGTTTTTTCATCCACCGGACCGCTTTTTGTTTTTCTGCAAGCATAAACGGCGATATCCACACACTTAACGCCTTTTTGCCTAATGATTTAAGTAAAAGTGTCCCATCCAAATTTATTGAGTCGTTGGTTACAAAGGAGACTTTAAATCTCGCGCATGCGCATGATAGTCGCTTCATAAGTTCCTGTATTATCAGCATAGGTAGCATTTCTCGTAGCTATATGATTTAACTCAACGATAAACTAAGGGTTTAAGGAAATAAACAGCAATTTGGCAACGCTCGTACGTGTTCAGTGAAATCGGTCAATAATTTAGGTTAGGTAACTAGGACAGTGTTGCGGATAATGCACTAAAATATATTAAGGATTCAAATTAAAACATCATCTCATTTATTATAAGTATGTAATTAAATCGGGGGAATGCAGGTAAATACAAAAAAGTAAATATGATTCTGAGATTCGGAGCATATATAAAGAATTCACACGATAAAAGCAATCATAGAAGGAACAAATAGGAACAAAACTCTGAATACAACGTTCGGACGAATAACGGTCTATGTTACAAATTTTCTACAATCTAGTTTTGATTGGAATAGGGCTCTAGTCTTTATTATCGTCTTAATAGTTATTATAGCACTTTCCTGAAGAAACACCACAAATTCTACATTTACTACTACATAAATTAACAGACCATCAAACACTACAGCTTATGTGCGCCCAGGAAAATCTTAACATTTTGGAGAAAACATGGAGTCGTATTTTGTATGTCAGAAGAACCTATATCAATTTGATCAATGAGTAAAAGAAACCACGATCTTATATTTAATGATGGAAGTTTTTTCGCCGTATATGCATTTTTTCTGCTGCTCGCTTTTGACTCCGGCTTGCATCAGTCTTCATGCTATATTTTGAAATAATAATGCATAACGTAAACTCTTCTTGACTAAATATTTTTTCTGGGTTTTCATTGATAATCACCAGTCTTTCTATGTTTTTCTGATCCTCAGCAATCGAGTCAACAACATCCTCAACATTTCCCCTTCTATATGTTATTCTTCAAGCATATGAACGTCCAATTACTTTAAGGCAGGAACTATTCTTCCTAAACTGTACGAAATAACAGCCTAGTGATCAATTTTTTGAACGATGATCGTACATCCATTCTCTAAGCATATCACATCTTAAAATTTTGCTTAGCCCGCACAATTTCTGTAGCAACCTAAAAGATTTTATTTTTATCGGAAACGGTACTTGTTGAAATAAATCAAATAGGTATAACCTCCTTGTTAGAAAATCAACTTGTTCCGAACAAGATCTGAAAACGCCAATATTTCAAAATTTGTTCTAACCGAGTCATTCTTCCATCGTCTCCAAAAATTTTTCTACCGATATACCACAGGCGCGGTATACCCCTCCCTTCTTGGTCTGTACCCCTTATTTTTCATCAAAATATAATATCAGCGGCACAATGAAATCAACCCAAGCAGATGAATTATAAAACCGTGTTAAACGTGGCAACAGTGTACGAGAAGTAATTTTGCAAGTTGCAGTAGTTTGAGGTTATGTTTGCTTCGATTGGAGTAACAATTATCCAACTTCTTATAAAACAATTCTGAATGCTGCGAAATTTCAGTTGTAACAAAAAATCACCACACAGATTTTGACAATTACATCGATCGATCGACTAAAGCCGACTAACGTACAAAAGCTATTAGGCAAACGGTGTACCAAATGTAGAGTTACGCTGTTTGCCGGTAATACGTGAACTGACTAGGCATTCCCGGGATTGACGGATTTCGCTAATTGGTTAATCGGAAAAACCAAAAAGAAAGCTTTTCCAGGATTTTTGTCACTCTGTAAAATTGGAAACAACTAATCTATCAAAAACAGTGCTAAAAGCCGCCAGTACACATCAACTCAGTTACGAAGCTTCAATCATCAATATTTACCGTCGGTTTTGGTCAAGTTGGGCATCATCGTTTTCGCTAGGAACATGTTGTAGTTGCAGTCATAGTTGAGGTCTTCGGGCGTTTCGCTCATTTTGTGTGGTGTGCTCGACTTTTCACGGGAATTTTTAGAAAATTTGACAGAACGTGACAACGACACCCGTTCGAGATGGGACAGTTATGAGTTTATTGAGGCATTTCCGGATACTTTTTTAAAAATTTACCACCAAAGATTCACGACTTTAACGTCATTTTTAACAAAATATGTCATAATAATAAGATTTATTTTTTAACGATTACCTACTTACTATATATTTTATTTAATTTTATTTAATTAACGTATAAATCAACAAAAATAACAGAGGAGAGAGGACAAAAACCACAACAGGTATACAGATATAAACAAGACTTAATTAAAACTAGATTTTAAAACTCAAGCCATTGATCTTCTTAATTTAAAGCCACGAATTGCAAAAATATTAACACTGAATTCGCTGGGCTTTAACAGAAACTAAAACTTATCGTCTATCATCAGAGAAGTTTTTATTTGCGGACCATCTGTGTATACAGACAGGTGGGTAACGACCGTTGCTAGGCAACCGTTACTCGCGATACAAACAAACGTCGGGTGCCCACGAAATAAAAAATTAAGAACTGGGTTGCAAACCTATCGCGTTCTTTTCGTCAGTGATGGGGGAACCTACAGAATCAGATCTCGTGCAAGGTACTGTGTCTTTTGTGTTTGACCATAATCTTGGTTATATTTCAACATGACCTTTGAAAGCAAGGGTAGTCACAATCACGTGTCCAAGACATAGAGTTGGTCAAACAAGTATCCGTACACATAGCATTTTTTCAGTTTTTTTTTAGTTTCTTCTTTCATTTACATTTAATGAGAAATATATTTGAAGTAAATATCGGCAATCACATTAAGAGTAATAAAAATAAAATAAAAATTATTTGAAACACTCTATTAAAACGATAAAAAAGCAAGGCAGTTTTAGAAGCAAGAAACTCTGTGAAATAAGTCTCCGTACACTATTATTTCTTATGATAAATTGAAAAGCAAGTCTAATATTTTGTACAACTGTAATTTGCTTTAAAATGGCATTAAGTCGTTTTGGAAGACTTAAAACAAGCTTTCCAGTTACTTCTGGCGATATGTTTTTCCACTATTCTCTTATCCTATTTGATAGAAGCTGACTTGATAAAATATTGATAATTAATGATTCTACCTGCAGTTCTAAATAGTGATTTATTAAAGTGTATGGAGACTTATTGGACATAGTTCCTTGCTTCTGAAACTGCCTTATTTTTTATCGTTCAAATAAAGTGTCTCAAATGTTTTTTTTTTATTTTTATTACTCTTAATGAGATTGCCGATATTTACTTGAAATACATTGCTCATTAAATGTAAGTGAAAGAGGAAACTATAAGAAAACTGAAAAAATGCTGTGTACGGAGACTTTTTTGACCGGCTGTACATAATTGGTCACTGCCAACAGCCTTAAATCACGTTGTCGATAGATATTCCAGTTTAGACCATAATCTTGGTTATATTGCAAGAAAAGGGTGACCTTTGAAGGCAAGGGTAGTCACAATTACATGTCCAAGATCGCTACCTATAAGTTTAAATCACAATGTCGACAGATATCTCAGTTTTTCGCCTTACGAGGCGCCTCAATTCTGAATCTGATCCGCAGCGATCAAAGAGTCGCTCCAAAAGGACGGCACGTTGGGCAAATTCAAAGGGGAGATCAAGGCGGCCGTGATGTCGATCATGAACAGGAACCACGAGAACGGCGACCCGCCGAAGGTGCCAAACGAAACGAAACTGATCAACGAGTTGATTAGAGAGTACTTGTCCTGGAACGGGTACATTTACAGCGAGCAGATGCTCTCTACGGGTACTGCCGCTCTCCTACGGACTTTTGACGTCACCGAACTTGTTTCGAATTTTCAGAGGCGGGCCACAGCGCGGAAAGAGTAAGCAGGGACGTGCTGACGACAAAGTTAGGAGTCTTGGACGATTGCAAGACCGCCAAAATACCCCTGCTTTATTACATCGTGTCCGCCTTCCAGAATTTGGAAGACTAATGCCCAAGGAATTTTTCTATGTATTTAAAATATTTATGTAATAAAATACTTTCCAAAATGAAACCCCTTTTCGCCAACCTTTTACGCATCATCATTACACCTCATCTCAGCTTCACTGATTTTCTAGCTCCTCCCTTAGAATAACTTTCTTGACAATCAAACTGTATTTTTATTATTTTGGAATATAACAAGTTCCAAAACAAAAACAAATTACGCAAAACCACCCCATGTATCTCTGGGAGCCCTGTACCGCCCACCATAACTCGATGATGACTGGGGCCGTCGCTCATGAACTGTCGTCGTCATCTGTTCCACCGTAGTTTCGCGCAGATCTCCTGAAAGGGGCAGGTACGCTTCCGGTGGACTCTTTGGAGGAGAATAGTGGAACGGGGACGTCTAAAACAGCAGAGGTGTTATGATTTCAGTACCCCCAACCTTTTCTGAGCTAATCACCTGTGGAGATCTAGCTCGCCTTGAGACTCGCGCCTGCGCGTCAAACTGTTCTCTCTGGGTATCTCCCGCGCGGCGGATACTCTGTTCTTCCAGATCTGCTGCGGTTCTTGACGCCCAATCCGATTTCTTCTTCCTCCTCTCGCGTTTCGCCGACGGAATACCTACCGCGCTTGGTTCCACCGCCCCGCTGACCCCAGCTACCATACTTCGTTTGGTGTTCAACTCCTCTTCGAGCTGCACAAACGCCTCGTTCTTCACCATGGCCCTCCCAATCGATTCGCCGAGCTCTCCCAAACTATAAAACACAATGAGACCCCACAGCGACACCACAGCGTAGCTCGCTTACATTTCTTCCTTTTGCGCTTCCTCGGCTTCCAGACTTTGCTTCTGGGCTTCGACTGAAGCTGCTCTTGCGGCTGCCCTCTCTTGTTCGGCCTTCTGCTGCCTTCTGAGCTCGGCCAATCGCTGGTGCAGTCTATCATTCTCCTCAGCCAGCCGTTTGCCTTCTATCTTAAGCCACTGCAACCTGTGGAAGGCCTCTTGGCGTCGCTGCATTTGAATATCTTCTTCGTCGCGTTGGATCTAAAGAGTTACCTCTAGTTGCAGAGCTCGATAAAATGCTATTCCAGCTTACCAATGTGGGCAGTGGTAAGACGACATTGAGGTGTTCCTCTTTGTCTCTGCGATAGCGGTCGAAATCGAACTCGGGCGCCATCTGGTAGATCTCGGACACCAGCTCGAGTGTCTTACGTTCGAAGGCGTCGCATCTTTCCTGGTAGAAGGCAGCAGTTTGCAGTTGCTCGTTGACCAGCACGTCGCTTACGTCTTGAGTCATAGTGTCGTAGATACGCGTCACCAGTTTCCTAAACGAAGCCAGATCGTCTTCTACCACTTTCCGCATGACGTCACCTGTTCACACCCATTAACATCACCAGGCTCCCAAACGACCAATCAGCTTACCATTGTCGCCAGTGTAAGGGGCGATCAAGTTGACAAACTCGTGGACCCTGATTTTCTGATCCTTCAAGCCCCTCAACACTATCGCCAACGCCTTTTTGTCTTCGCCTGGAGGCGCGTTTCGCCTGATAGTCTTTTTCTTCAGTTCCTCGAAGTTTATTTCTGAAACAAAGGGGATTTTCTTCCTCCACTCCAGCACCGTACAGTCTTACCCTTGGCTTTGGGGATGGGTAAACTCATAGGCGGTAGCTGAAACTCCAGTTCCTTCTTGGGCCCTTTGGCCGCTTCCACGGTGGAGGCGGTCTTCGCCGAAGGCTTCCTCGGAAGTTTGGAAGTAGTAGCATTCGACATGGCGGCGTTAGAAGCAAGGGGAGATGCGTTTTAAAGCGCAGCAGAGGGCTGATACTAGAATCGCTGTAGCAATACTCGCAATGAGGGCGGTATTCATGTTAGCAGCACAGGACGGCTATCGACACCAATATGTTTATCCACGTCGCTACTACCAGAGTACACAGGGAGCACAATATCATTTCACCGTGAATTTGGAACAGAAATTTTGACACTGACAGATGTTGCGGCGCGGACAATAGAAATAAATCACGAGCGACTGTGAAAAACCCACGAGAGATTATTATAAATAACATTATTATTAATAAGTATATTTAGTTGCAAAGAATAATATATACTGTTTCTCTTGTTGGTTTACAGTTTTAGCTTTACAAAAGGAAGTGAAAATAAAGAAACACCGAACTCCCATGTTGTCTTTGTTTTTTGTTCCGGACAGATGTATCACTACAATTGCAGATTTTTTTTCAAAGGCTTCGAGGCTTCTATACTAAACTGGCTTTGTTCTTGTAAGTATGCTCCCTAATGTCCTCCCGGACCTGACTACAGTCCTAACTTTGTAGCTATTGTTTTGCTATTCGACTGATCTTTCCATTTACAATTTTTACAATAGAGTGTATGCCAAAATCAGAGAAGGACTTCAAAGGAATCATAAGAGGAAGCTGCTCAAACGTTAAAAAAAACAATCTCTCCGTCTCTCTCTCCCCCCACCCCCCTCCCCCACTTCTCTCTCTCCCTCCCTATTTTTCTCTCTCCCCCCTCTCTTTCTCTCTCTCTCTCTCCCTCCCTCTCTCTCTCTTTAAGGAGCATAGTTACAAGAACAAAGTTTTAGTCTGTACTGTAAAACTTGTGTAAAATAAAGACAATGACAGCTGAATATCAGGATTTCTTCTGAATCATTATCTACTACCTTCTAGCAAATAAGTAAGAACCAATTAAAATTGATCTATTATAACCCCTAAGATTAAACGAAAGCTAGCCTGTACTAAAAATTTTAACTACCAAAATGTATATAAAATAAATCAATTAAATAAAAAATAAAATATTTGTAACTGTACTCTTGAATAAACGAAATGAAATAGAGTGATAAGCTGCAACAGACCTACAACTTAAACTACTCTTTACAACAATTGGTCCAGAAGATGCAAATTTTTCTTAAAGTTTTGAAGATTCAACGTCTTACTTTTGTCCTGTAAGCAATTAAAAATCTAAACAATTCTTTTTACGTTTAAATAATTTAAGTTTTGAAATTTCTATGTTAGAATTCGTAATAATTATGAAGATTTGCAGGAAACATTTCTGTAAGTCAATAAAACAAACAAATTTTGCATTACCTTGCCCTTTTGGCAGCAGTGCTAATTCTACAGTATATGAAATGAAATGAAATAGACTAATGTAAGACATTTTTATCACACCAAAGCTGACCAACGATTTAGATGATTTAGATGATCAGACCAATTTAAGTTATCATCAATAGTTATACCATATTGGCAGTTTTTTGTTGATAGAGATGGCTATTCGTTAGAATGGTCAAGGGTTGTTTTATATTCCGCAACAACGATACCAAAATAGAACCATGTCTAAGTCGTATATTTACACGCTGAGTTGGGTTAGAGAGGCACGATTGTATCAAGTTCAGAGCTTTTCTTACACCATGTTTAAAAAGCTTTCCTATTACAAATCATGAGAAAAGCAATCGAAGGCTTGCGAAAGTTATGGCTTATTTAGCAAAAATTTAGGTAGAAGAAAAAAATTATGTGCGGTTCCAAAGACAGCACCATGGAACTGCCATCGTACACTTACACGCCTTGGAAGTTGCTTTCGCTTCCAAAACTCAAAGATGAAGGCTTTTATGGTAAAAAAAAACGCGTGATTTTAATTGAATTTCTACGAGGCAACGAGACGTATCATTAATTTAGCACCAAATTTCAGGTATAGGGGTTGGGTATCCTTTCGCGACCTCCATAATAATAATTAATATTATATTTTCTATATAAATTAAACGGCCGTTAAAATCCCAGGGGCTGTCGAGGAGCGCCACGTTAATGGTTAATACAAAAATATAATTCTCATGCACCTTTGGCAATATTCGCTGGCAATTTTTCTGGGGAAGGACTGATGGGTAAAAACGTCCGCACCAAAGCGACGGGGCGCCGTTTGGGGAGCGCGTTGGGATGAGACGACCCTTTGGGCGTTCGAAGTTTGGGGCGGCTTTTAATTCCCCTGTCGCTTCGTATAAAACCTGATGATCATGTTTGATATTCCGCTTGCCGACCCGACGGGTCAGCCAAACTTGTTGCTTATCACGCCTGGTAAGTAATTAAAATGGTTAATCGTTTTTTTTTTTTAACGCAAAACGCAATTATTGTTAGAAATGAAAACGGTTTTTGCGACATGTTACGAATGTTATTACGATCATTGGTCGGGGTGCGCGGGGGTGTGTTCTTGATGACGCTTTCGAGTCAGTTGGAGTTAAGGCTGAAATTTTTTGGTTCTGTTACAATGTAATGTTTGTTCCCATCCTTTTCCATTGCATCTGTCTACAGAGTACATGAAATATAAAAAATATCGATTTTTAATTTTCTTGATATGCGGTATCTGAATCAAGAATTTATTTGGCACGAGCGGAGCATACTTGCAGTTGCATACTATACTTTTTGTACGACCGCTGGTTTTTGGGTACATTTTTACACAAAAATGTTTGTGTTTTTGAGTTATTGTATATTATTTTTAGTTAATTAACGAGTGACTTAAAAAGCATACCAAACGTGTTACATTTTATATTTTTTCTACGAAACGGAAACAGAACCGGTCGTAGGAAAAGTATAGTACACAACAAGTTCGGAAAACTTTTTTTAAGGCACTCGTTTATAAAACACTCGCTCCGCTCGTGCCAAATACACTTGTGACTTATATGCCTTAATTCTAACATATTTTTGGAGTTTATTTCCTAATAAACAGCGATCTATCTACTTTAGTGCCACGTGTTGATAATTTTAAAATAAATATATACAGGGTGATCAAAATTCATGCAATGCATTCAACTCAGTTTATAATTTTATTCTATTTTTAAAGATTTATGATATCAAAATATTAGCAATAAAACGTTTTTTAAATTGTAAAAATGCTAAACACGTTTTGTAAACTTTTTATTAAGCATTCACTCCATAATATACTATTTTATATATGCTACCTTACTACGCTTAAGTCTTATTTTTAACATATATTTGGAGATTATACACAGGGATCTACTTCAGTGGTACGTGTTGATAATTTTAAAATAAATATATATATAGGGTGAACAACATTTTAAATGTTTAGTAGAATTTGTTTTATTTACCATTTTCTGCGTTATTTATTTTTTTTTAGAAAAATGAATTATAGGCTCGAGATTATTTTTCTTGTATTAAAATATCCACAATAAAAAAAAACGAATTAGGTAGGTATTTATTTATTTATTTCCTTTAAATATTACTAATGTAGAATCGCTTCTATATGAAAATCTACAATAAAAAGTTTCAGACTCAGAAATCGATATATTTAGACCTGCAAAAGTGACTTTTGACATAAATTTTTGGCATTTTTATATATAAAATATGCCTAGAAAGTTCGAAGGGAATTAAAAGATACCTTAGTATCATCCATTTAAAATAAAAAAGTTGTTACTTGTATATGTAAATCCAAACCAATTTATTATAATTATCACCAAATGTAAACGCAATGTAATGCAAAAATTCGCCACGAGATTTTTAATGTAATACTTACTAATAAGTTCGCTCCGCTCCTTACGATTAAACATGTAGCAAAATCAGCCGTTAAAGACACTTCTACGTTAAATTTTCTCTTCGTTAGAATGTAAGATCCTTTGACGTTAATTAGAAGCCACAAAACTATTTTCCAATAATAGGTTTTTCTTTTACTTAGTCTTACCACCATACTGTTTTAACTACTTCTAGAACCAGGTTCTATTATGAACGGATAGTTCAACAGAGGTAACTTACATTCATTTCCCAAAAAAAAAAAGTTTAAATCTTATTTCAGATACTTTAACTGAAAATATTATCTATAGTCTTGCCTATTCCATAACAGCTTAACTTAAGTAGTGTAAATTCGTTTGTTGTAGCTCAGGATCTTTTCCCAAGTAAAGGAGTGAGCCGGTGTTTAAACCTATCTGTTTTAGACCTCTTTAAGAAAATAGTATTCACTAATATTCAACGATCCTGAGCTAGGATGAAGCAATATACACCGATAACTTGCAAAACTTGGTTAATTGTTGTAAGCGCCTAACCGAACTCCAAAGTTACAAAATTCTTCCAGCAAAGCTGCAAAATTGTTCGAATCAAAAGGGACATACTTTCTTTTCGCGCTTTTGGTTTCCGCGACAACCATGAAACGCGCACCGAAGCAGGACGAAAGCAAACCCGGAGAAATGGAAACCGACTCACCCAAAAAGGGGACTGCCGATCTTCCGATTCAGTACCCGGTCAAACCGAAAAGGCCGTATCCCGGATTCCGAAAGAATTTCTACGACTATTTCGCCGAGTATTCGAACAATACCGGAATACACGGCTTCAAGTATATGGGTGAACAGGAACGCACAATATTCGAAAGGTAAAAGTCAACACTAACCCATCAAGGCATCATCATCACTCTACCAAAACCATCTCTGAATATAGGCCTCTCCCAATTGTCTCCAGTTTTTTCTATCCTGTTATTTGCCTTTCCATAGTTCGTTCGGTTTTTCTTTTTCTGTCTAGATTTTTTCTTGTAAGGGAACACGTACGCCTGCTCGGAAGGCTTGATACATACTCCTGGAAATATTTAATGACTGTTCTTGGCGGTCTTCATTAACAGAGATTTAGGTACTTTTCGTTTACTGAGATTCCTTGTTTTTTTCAATCTAGTGATTTAAAGATGTCCTCAAATACAAAAGCAAATAATTTAGGCGAAATTATATCCCCATGCAGCATACAGTATTACTCTCATCGTGATACACCATGATACTGGATAAAGATCTGACCACAAAAAATATACCGATTAATCCAAGAGTAAGGCAGGGGATACAATTTCGCCTAAATTATACAGATAGGTAGAGATGCAGATACAGATATGTAGTCAATTCTACTGCTAACTAGTGCCTCTTCGATAGCCCAATGTTCTATGCTATCGAAGGCATTTTCATAATCTACAGTGGGTTGAATTCGTTAGTTTTCTCTGTAAGAATTTGGTACTATATCGTACTAAATTCTTTTTTAATGCCCGCCTATTCAACAGGTTGATACACAACGAATTTATTAATTAGCCTCTTTGTAAAAGGGAAATTTGAAGATAGTTGTTGAAATTAAGGGATAGCTTTTATTGTGTTTGCGTTCTTTCTTGTGATATTTAACCCTCATATGAGCACTTTTTGAAAAGGATTCACAAGTATTCGCCTCCTCCTATTAGTATTTCAATTAGAATACTATCTTCCCTTGGCGCCTTGTTTGTTTTCATTTCGCTTATTGCTGTTCTATTTGTATAGAATCATAGAGCGCCCTATAATACTCATCTGTTACTTTAGCGTTCTCATTTCTATCCCTTCTCTGTTCAACCTTTATCATGATGATTGTCTCATAGCCTTTCAGTTCCGATTCTCTTCGATATTTTTTTCGAGATAGAAAATATTCTAAGCTTGCACAGAGGCATTCATACAAGGGCTGCTGAACTGGCTCACTGACACCAAGTTTAATGATGATTAGCGGTTAATGAAATGTGTCTCGAACCTTAGGAAGATCCACGCCAATGACTCTTGTCTAGACAATTTGAATTTTATTGGAAAAAAGAAACTTCCATGTATGCCAGACAGCGAAACAAAACAAACTAAAATTGGCACGCTTTTACTCTTGCCTTATTTTAGGCCACACAGTACGCAGCACATATTTTACACGCTCGTTGGGAGATCATTTCCGGCAAAACCAGCTTATTAAAAAAAATTACTTGATGAGCTTGTTTAACACTTTTTCGATACCCGCATCAGGCTATAATCAGTGAAACCATGTTATCCGCGGTGCACGAAAATCTAATCGAAAAACCTAGTCCCAAAAAGAAACCTAGCAAGGCCATTTGGTTCTTCCTGTGAGTCGTTGCAGAATTTAAATCGTTGGAGAGTAAACATGGATTTCAGACTTTGGTGGTTCGTCCTCTTCTGCATATCGCTTTACATCTGTATCAACCTGATCATCCAGACGTGGATCAAATGGGACACGTCTCCGGTATTGGTAAGCTTCGCCCGCAGTCCTACACCCGTCTGGCAGGTACCCTTCCCGGCTGTCACCGTCTGCTCCGAAACCAAAGCCAAGCAAACCAAATACAACTTTACGGAAAACTACCACAGGATGATTAGTTCGAACAACACCATGACGGAGCATGAGTGAGTATTCCGTGTGCTCCAATTGCTCTTCAGTATTTGTTGTGATGACTCGTTGTAGAAAAAAACAGTTCGCTGATCTGGCGCTGGTATGCGAAAACCACCTCTACACTGAAGGAAATCTAACGACCGGTTATGACACACTGGATTTCCTGATGAGCGTAAATACCACACACAACCTTTGTGATACTTGCTTGATTAACTTCCCCTCTAGATTTCGCCGCAATTCGACGAGATGCTGTGGTCCTGCAAGTGGACCCTCCAAAACGAAACCTGCCGCAACTTTTTCACCCCCATCCTCACTGAGGACGGCATGTGCTTCACGTTCAACATGTTGGACAGAACTGAACTGTACAAGAACAACGTGTAAGTAATACGAAGCACTTTTTCCCTCCATCCTCCTACACATCGTTACAGGTTCCTGCCTGGGGATTTTATGTCCCATAACCGAAGGTCTGATGGATGGACCCTCGAAGGCGGATACCCTATGGACGCCGACATCGACACGTATCCCAGACGGGCGATGTCTGCCGGATTTTCAGCAGGTTTCTTCCTTTTGCTTAGAGCTTACGAGCAAGACTTGGATTACATATGCAGGGGTCCGGTACCCGGATTTAAGGTATATACGCGCACTGTGGCCACTTCATCATCATAATCCCTATTTCAGATCCTTCTTCACAACCCAGCCGAGGTGCCGAGAGTGGGGATGCAGTACTTTCGAGCACCGCTAAACCAGGAGGTCGTCGTCGCCGTCAAACCGGATATGATGACGACCTCGGATGGTCTAAAGGACTACGACCCCCACCGCAGGCAGTGCTACTTCCCCAACGAACGTCAACTTGCGTTCTACAAGAGCTACACTCAGCAAAACTGCGAGGTGGAGTGTTTGACCAACTTCACCCTGGCCAGGTGCAAGTGCGTCGCCTACCACATGCCACGTAAGGACGCCATTAGGGCTCGTTACGAGCAACTGTAAACAACCTAGAAGCCTTAATAACAAACCATTTACATTTCAGATGAGGAAGGGACACCTATTTGCGGATCCGGGAATTTGAAATGCATGTTTGAAGCCCAAAGTAAGTTCTACCCCCACGACTACTACTGACTACTAAGGCGCGTCCGTACTTTTTGACAGCGGAACTGCTGCAAATCGAAGTCCAATCGGGCCTAAACAGCATCGACGACGAGGAAGGCCTCAACATAACCTCAAAATGCGATTGCCTGCCCGCGTGCACCTCGCTCGTCTACAACGCGGAAACTTCTCAAGCCGATTTTCAATTCGAGAAACTGTTTCAAGCTTTCAAAGCGAACCTGAGCGAGTTTCCCGGCGTGCAACTGACCCGCATCACGATCTTCTTCAAGGAGCAACAGTTTATCACGTCGGAGAGGAACGAGCTTTATGGCGAGACCGATTTTCTGGCCAACTGCGGCGGTCTTTTGGGTCTGTTTACGGGTTTCTCGTTCCTCTCCATCGTGGAGATCGTTTACTTTTTATCGCTGAGGTTGATCTGCAACGTGAAGAAGTACGGCCGCCATTATTGGTCCGGATCGCCCGAGCTCGTCAACAACGACGCTTATATCCACAAGAAATAAAACGCCCCCGGCATGCCTTCCATGTTAACATTTCGCAAATATATATAAGATGGATATTTCGGTTATTCTTTGGCTCCATTGGTTAGTATCTGAAGTCATCGACCAATACCGTCGGCGTAGGCGTGGCTTAAAAATGGGCGGGCGCGAAAACCCCACCCCTTTCAAGTGGTAGGCAAAGCCTAGAATCCGCGGATGTCTACTGCGGTCTTGTATGTATTTATTCGGGCAATGAAGCCCAGAAATAGATATGGGCGGAGGAAAAACAAATTTTAAAATAAATATATTATTATAAAAATAAAATAACTTATTACAAATTTCAATACGTAAGAAAAGGTCGCGCTCCGTATTTGTCAAATATGTCCTTCCACGCTAAATAGTATTTTTGCTTGGGAATGCTTCTGACCACCAGATCTTCGTCTATGTCCAAGTACTGGTACTCTCCGGGAACTACCAAGGGCCAGGTGACGTTCTGGAGCAAATCGCTCGGTTCGGGTGTCGGATTTCTAAAATCGAAGCTGTTAGAATTGTTCGTTTCCTCTCCGTTTTAGCACCGTTACAAATATTTGACGAAATTGGACCACATAGACACCATTCGCCTTAAGGTTAGCACATCCGAGGCCGGGAACTTAGAGAAGTCCGAGTTATCGTATTCGCCGGAGGTCACTTTGCTGATGTAGTACTTCTCGCCAGAATGATCGATCTGTTCGGCTCCTGAAAGGGAAATAAAGAGAATAATATAAATAAGGAGAACCAATAAGGTTGGTGCTTCGGCGCCTTACCTTTAATGCTAACGTTGCTGCTGGTGTAGCCCATGGGGCCGACGTAAGAGAACTTGTAAAAATAGACGGGCGTGTGAGCCGCCTGCATCTCACCATGTCGAATTACAGCCCGCGAGAACTGATTGTGGCTGTAATACTAAACGTAAAAGCGATTAATTGATTTGTAGAGGAACTGATTCGTCGCTAGATACTCACTCGGACGACATGCCCCAATTCCTCGTCTGCCTCGCTATCTGCGAGATATAGGTTTCGAATTTCCTCGCCCACTTCGGACCTGGTGTAGTTGGTGGAGAGGGTAAGCCCGCTGGGGACGAGGCCTGACGGATCTTTCTCTATGACCGCCAGCCTGTTGTTCAAATCGTCCAGGTCTACAGAAGAATATGCAAAATAGCGCCAGAGCAAGGATACCAAGTGAAAGATTTCCCGGTAATGAAGTGCAGAGATAAAAGAAAAAATGTTTTAATATTTAAAAAGACATTACGACTAATTTATAGGTTCCAATAACTTTTTGATGTATCCCTGTACATTTATTCTGTGAGTGGGGCGAAATTTGTTTATTTACTTGCGGCAATATGGATTTCTTCCTCGGACACCGTGCCTATGAGCAACGGCACCCTGTTGAAGTCGCCAGAGTTCAGCAGTTCGTACATTTCGTCGGTCAAAAACGCATCGTCAGACTCCTTCTCGACAGTCGGCAAGGCCGTTTTCTGAAATTAGAAACCCCCAGATGAAAATAAAACCAGGACAGAAAGACACTCTGCGGTCCACGGTCTTTGACGGTTGATCGCTCATTTTTGTTCCATACAAATAACTCCACCAATTTGTTGATATCTGTGGTACTTAACAGGTTTTCTTGATAACAATTAATTGCCATTGTTCGCACAAGTACTTATAATAGGAATAATATGGTTTATTTATATGGTAATTAAAAATATTTAAAAATCCCTACACTCAAGTATTTGCCACAAGATGAATTGTAGTGCTAGTGGGAAAATTATTATTTGGTTAGACAGGTAGACAAAAAATGTCGCCATGTTCAATGCATATAATAACTAAACGGCTCAATGCACGCAGAAATGCTATCTAGGTTCCTTTTGTTCTTATTCCGAGTTTTAGCAAAATCATAATATAGATCATTTCTTAATACTTAAAGTTAATTTCCTTTTTGTGCAACAATTTTAAATACTGTCGCAAATTATTCAAAATCCAATCGATTTAGCAAAGTTTTGTTCCAATTGCATCCTATTTGTTTATAATTTTTAGCGAAACACAAAGTAGAAGTTTATTGCAACGATATTTATTAACACTGAAAAATTCCATAAAAATTATTATGAAGTAGCCAAAGCATTACTAATTATAATAGGCATACGAAGAAGTCATCATTTAAGTGGCAAAATTTCTATTTTAAAAAATTATTATTACAAAAATGTACTAATGTAATCACAGATAACCATAGAAAACGTAAATAACAATATTAATGTTATATACTAACTTAACCACATATACAACGAAAGAATTTAAAAAATAGGAATAATAACAAATTTTAAGTAAAAACATATTTAGTAGGCAGCAAAAATAAAATAATTTTCCAAATACAAATGCAACTGGAACAAAAATTGGCTAAATTGATTTTATTATTATAAATAAAATATTAACGTAATTGAAACAAAAAACTCTTTTTATCTTAGTAGGGAATGTTTTGATACTAAGGAATAAATTTTAATTCTAAGAACTTTTCTTAATGACATTTTTCTCAATTTTTTGAAATAAGAGTACTTTACTCCTGTGGCATTTTTGTTTTTTTGTAATACGCTGTATACTGTTCGACTTGCAAATATCTTAAGCACACCTAATATGATTACAGATCATTTAAAAACTTTTAGCAATATTAGTATTTGTGTTGTGCAATTATTTAAAAAAATCCCATATGTTGCACACTAGAATGGCCAAACTGTGTATATAGAAGTTCGTATCTAGGTCACGTGACAGAAAAAAGTTTCAAAAAAAGCAGGTTGAAAAAAATTCCGTTAATTCAAAACAGATAAATTAAAACATTTTTTACATTTATTAAAAGAAGTCTGAATGTAGCAATTTGTTTAAAAAAAATTAACTTTGCTTTCTATGCCTTTTTTGTAAAATGGAAATAATATAATTTACGCTTTTTTAGGAACTCAAAATGTATAGCATTTTTACAAAATGAAAAACAAAGCGTTAATTCACAATTCTTTGACACTTGAAACTCACTCTTTTATTACGGACCTTTAGACAAAATTTCGTAACAAAAGGGTGAAGTTCAATGTGCAAAAAGTGGAATTAACACTCTTTTTTTGATATTTCGTAAGGAAAGTGTTAATTTGATCTTTTTCTTGTAAAAACGCAATATTTTTTTGCATTTTGCAAGTTTGTAAATTTATACATTTTTTACCAAATTTCTTAAGAACAGGGCGAATTTGTACGATACTCCATTGTACTTTAAATTTTAGGTTTTTGATAAAAACAAAAGTTTAAGCGACAGAGGTGTGAATTTTTTTCGAAATTTCGTGACAGAAGGGTGTGTCAAAAATGTTAGTTTTGATTTCTTAGAAAAGAGTAAAGAAACATTTAGACATTTAAAGTTATAAAAAGTTTGTAAATTTACACTTTTTTTAGGAAAATTTGCGTAATAACTTTGAATGTTGTTTTTTTTTAAAGAACTACAAACTCTTAAACTTTTTTATTACGCTCACCTCGTCGGTTTTGGTAGATGCGACGTCAATGCTCTTGGCCGACACGTTTCTGAGGTAATCCGCTAGGAGGTCGCTGTCGTCGGCGATCCGCATGCCCTCTACCCGGTAAGCCAAGTCGAAAGCGTGGGTCCTGGCGTCGGCCAAATACGCCCAGACGCTTATCGGTGAACCGCTATGGGCCGAACCGGCCCTGAACAACCCGCTCGAACGTTTACTCAATATGTGAAAACCGACGCTAGCGCCGCCAGCGCTGCCCCCCATCAGAGTGATTTTGGTGGGATCGCCGCCAAACAGATGGATGTTGCGATTGGTCCATTCCAACGCGAGCAATTGGTCCTTCAAGCCGGCGTTTCCGGGGATCACGTTGTCACCGGTCGACAAAAAGCCGAACGGTCCGACCTGTATATACATTTTCAATTTGTAGAAATACGAAAAATTCGACCACAACTTAAAGTAAATGCTCGTGGGAGTTTTGGAAAGATATTTACTAAAAAAATAGCCACGTCAAATTGGTTTTTATTGCATTCGCAAGAGGGCGTTGTTAAATGAGTTTATCTTTTGTTTTAATAATAGATAGATATATACTTTATCAACCACTTTCCGTTAAAAAAAAATTTTCGTGAAAATCTGAACTTTTAGTTCTTATCTATTTTGATAAATGGATTTTCATCAAGTAAAAGCCACCTCAGTTCAAGTTTTCCTCGACGTTTTACACGTATACAGTCTCGCAATTTATGTAATAATGTTACGTAATATTTACCATTGACAGTGGTATTAGTTTCTTTAAAATCTATCAAAAGAATTCCTTCACAATCTGGATTCGACGAACACTTGTATCAGAAAGCTTTAAACGTAGATCACTCAATACCACCTCTTCCACAATCGCAACAATACGTTCCACTCCGTGGTAGACCAGTTCTTGAATCATCTTCAAGGGACTCCTGCCCCATTCGAAAACATTTTGCCCATTCTTTCACTACAGAATACGAAGGAAAACTTTGGCCGTACACACAGCCTTTCTTTAATAATTTTAGGTGCTAACCCTTCACGTCTTGTTTAAAATGCTGTTAATAAAAAACTATTTGACGCGAGACTTCAATTTTATTTTCGCAGCCTACTAAGATATATATTTAAAAGAAGATAAAGTTTTATCGTGATATTGGAGCTGCATCTATGTCAGGCCGGGAAATTTTGGCGCTAACGTCGTATATTTTAAATATTTTAAACTCGGAAGAACCATTCATGAAACGTGTAGCAGCAAAATGCTGTTCCGAAACTACTTAATTTTAAACAAAAGGGCCGTCAATGAGAATCCTGATATGCTCAAAAAGGTCATAATATCAAGGTTTTGCTTACTGTTTTCTTTTATTTTCGTGGTGTAATAAATCAAGAGTTTCACCACAAAGTAGTACGGTCAGTAAAGAGTATTCTTGAAGTTATGCATGGTTTGCGAGAAGCAATACAAAGAAAACCTCAGGGGGAAAACAATTCGTGGATTTTGCATCACTATAATGCACCTGCTCAATAATCGTTCCTTGTGGCCAAAAAAAAAAACGACAATCATGCTTCAGCCACCTCAGGAACAAGAACAAGCACTCAAGAAATCAATGAAAGGAGGAAAGTGCTTACCAGAAATGCTTGACGGATTGGAAAAAACGTGGGCACAAGGGTATTATATTTGGGGCGGTTTACTTTGAAGGGGACACCATTAACCACCTTTTTAAACACACGTCGTATAGCTAATTGACATTATACAATCGTAATACATTTCCATGTGAAAAATATGGTAAGAAAAATTCAAAACAATTGACAAACATTTTAATTTAAAATCATCAATTCAGTTGTTGACACCCATCAGCAATGAAATGTAGAAATGATTGTGCGTATATCTCCACTGTGTTCTTGTGTTTGTTCGTCAATAATTTCATCAAAGTTCCACAAGATCGTTTCCTTTAGCGATACTCGTTCAGATACATTCCCGATATCGTTTTGGTTATCAATTTTTATCATATCTCGCTGTTCTTACTAGTAAATTATATTTTCAACAATACGGTGATTAGCAACAATCAACAAGCTCTCAAAATGTGATTTACGTAACAAACAAATCAAACTTTTAAAAATTCAAAATCGAAGTCAAGTTATTTCGGGAATATTATGGCATATCTACCAAACTAAGCTTTACCCAAATTTAAGCTACCCTGCGTCTCTTACCTTTTCTCAGATCCCACCGAAAATTTACGAAATGTGATGAACGCAATTAAATTTTTGGTTTAATTTTATTTTCTGTGTCAGAACATCTAAATTAACATGCCAAAAGAAAATGATACGCATTGATTTCATCGTCGTTAAATTTGTTTTGCTGTCTGACTTGTCATGATTCTAATCGCATTCAAAAATTACCAAATTGTTGTCCAAAACCGATTTATGGATGAGAGGAAAAATTTTCCTATAAAATCCACAAAAGATTTTAATCGCAGGACTTTTTTCTAATTTTGAATTTTGTGCCATTCGTTTTAAAGAAATGCGTTCATTATCCCAAAGCTACGACTAATTTGAATTATTATTATAGCGGTCCTCACCCTGTAGTTGAACGACACCATTACGATGTCTTGTTCGATGAAGAAGTCTGGACCAGTGTTCTTCGCCGAACCGTGACTAAAACCGCCGCCATATATCCAGAAAATCACAGGTAGTTTGCTCGAAGTCTTATCCTGATGCGGAAATCAAATTTTTAAAGCATCCTTTACAAACGGGCACGTCAAAATTCGGGGATGTTGAAGATGCGAAGTCGGTTAAATAGAATTTCGAAAACGCCCGTCATCTGTATCACACTCGATATTTTACTAAACAATATCGCCCTTAAATTGGCAAGAAAGCTAAATTTACACAAAAAAATAAGGTGGCTATGAAACAAAAACATTTATGTCAGTCTTGACATAGTTGTTAATTATTAACCCGTCATTTACTTTTTACTGTTGTGTGTGATTATAGGTTTTATAAAACAGATGTTTTCAAGTGTTTCCAGAAATTCCAGAATTCGGAAGTTTTACCGAGAAATGTAAGGAAGATTTTAGATCTCTAATTGTTTTTTTTTTAATTTTGTTAATGACCTTAGTCCACTGAAGGGAAAAACTTAGACCTGGTGATGAGATTAGGCATCTAGAATTCTATAATTGGCTCCATAGATAAGCTTGGAGCAGATGATGACTTTCTATTAAAAATAATAAATTATTAATAATTTTAATCATAAAGTTATCGGTCAGTTTGATGACGAACCAAAAATTATTGTGACGGCGCACCTCCTCACAATGGACAGCGTAACACATTATTTCCAAATAAGTGGATAAGAAAACGCGGAGCTGTACGATGGCCTGCCAGAAGTCCAGATATAAATCCACTGGATCAGACCGAATGAAATAAATGAGCTGCGGCTCAAATTCATTCGCGATCAAAGAAATTATATATTTTTTATATTTATTTTAAAGACGTCTTCTGTTGCTGCTGCAATAATTAGTCGCCAACGAAAATGTAATTAAAATTCGAAAATTTAACAAATATTGTTATTGTTACTAAACACCATAATAAATGCGTTTTTTCCGAATGACAAGCTCTTTATTTAAAAAAAAATCAATTTGATGATAGGCACACAATGCCGAAACGTCATTCTTAAAACTTAACAATGTCAATTTGTAGGAAAGAAAAAGTTGCAATTTGTTTTCGTTTTTTTTTTTTGAATGCCACAAAACAATTCAAATGAAATTGCTGATTTTCGGTTTTTCCCGACTTCGTTTTTGGGACAACCTGTACAGCGTTTGTGCCGTACAGTGTATTGCTTATGCTTTGCATTGTTTAGCGTCAGAAAATTAACCACCAAATTAAAAAAAAAAAGCCAACTTATGCAAAAAAAAAAGATTTTGACGGGACCGGTATTTACAACGTTGCCGCGTTTACCGTCAGCACTGGCGTGAAGACGTTCAAATACAGGCAGTCTTCGCTCTCGTCGTCTGAGTCGAGAGTGACTTGATAACATATGTTTTCCAACCTCGTCGCGTTCAAAATACCGCTCCACTTTTCCGCTGGCAAAGGCGCCTGAAAGACGAAAAACAATCGAATGGTTAATTGACATTTTTTTGTACATTAATTGGTTCAATTTGCACTCCAGATAAGGCCTTTGCGCAGTCGAAAACATACACTCGAGTGTTTACTTATTCCAATCGAGGATTCTGTGTAAGTTTTCAAGTAGCTTTTGCAAATTAAGTAATATGTGAAGTGCACGTGTGAAATATGTCTCTCTCCCTAAACAGGGTTGTAAGCTGGTCGAATTGCCTTGTTTTAAAAAAAACTACTGCCTGATTTGGCACCTTCTGCCTCCTTTTGGAAACAGTATTTTCACGTATATGAACGGTGAGTATTTGATTTTCATTCGTCTGGAAATTTAGGGTTTTCTGTATCTACAATGATGTATATTTTACGAGTTAAGGGCAATTTTAGCTATGCACGGACAACGTCCACGATGGCCGTTAATATTGTTCAGCTTGGCAGTGTCTCTAATAGCGAAAAACTGTCCACAGTATCCGACGCCAATGAAGTTAACACACCGCCTCCCAATCCACACGTTTAACTCAAAATTTTATTTTTTCATCTGTAAAGTGGGCTAAACAAAAAATAATAATAAAATCAGCAACGTGTAAAACGTGCGCATACCTTGAACCGTAACGATCCCAGAGGAGGGGTAGCGAACGGTATCCCTTGAAAGGCGTGAAAGGTCCTGTTGCCGGGACTGACATCTTCCCTTCCTTGGACTAGGCCTTCAGGTAACGACACCAACAGTTGGCCACACTAGTGATTGAACACTTACAACTCGGTCGATTAAAAGCGAACGGCGTAATTATACTCACCCCTAAATCGATCGAGACGATCAAACACAAAAGTTGAATTGTGGTATTCATGGTGGTTATCGTGTCAACACTCGAAAGACGATTAAAAAGCAATTGCCAAAAATTTGAACTTATATGTATAAGATGTCTCGATCCGACAGATCCCTGATTAGGTTTTACGCAAAATTTGTGCGATTAATTTTAATATTGACTATGATGATGATATGCTATTTAACGATACGTACATCGCATATCGTTCAGAACTTATTTGACTTAGTTGTCGTGGTTAGTGGGCTCAATATTGTATCTAATCCCTTAGTCGTATATTTGAATCTTCAATATCGCAGACTTTTGCAAATATTTACGGAAGGCCAAATAGTTTCATTTTTCGGAATCACTCTGTATAATAAAAAGAGTTATGATACAATATTAGAAAAACACAATACCACCCCGTTCAGGCGTAATGCCTAAAAATTATGGGAGTCTATTTTGGGAACAGTTGAATATTGGGATAATATTAGATTGCTTCAACCAGAGATTTTCGTCTACTTAACTCAATTACACTTTGCAGACCCAGAGGTTTTAGTTTAATTTTAATTTAATCTGTAGTTTGCTTGTATAAAAGTATCTTCCGCTTCTTATATTCCAAACGTCTTTTTGGCCCAGCGTACATTGTACGTGGCATAGGTATACAACCACTTATACGCCGGCATATTTTGCCCACAGCTGTGCTAACCATTACGTGATGCGGATGGAGGTTTGTTTAGTTAGTTTCAGCAATGATTCTGTCGTGACCATTGCCATTCTGGCGGTTTAACCCTCGCTCGCTCCCGATAGAGTCCTTTGTAATCGTCCCAAAAAGTTTTGACAACGGTTTCAATTGTATGATTCTTGTTCCCTAAATATTTTATGAAGACTTTAGCCGTTTTTTGTTATCGGTCAAAGTCCTTTTTTGCAAGTTGAGAACAATTTTTGCTTAGTTTCTCTTACGTGTTGGACATTGACCAATAAAAAGTCCGGACGTCGGTAATGGGCGAATGGCCATAGTAATCATATTCAACTGTTTGTGAAAAGCAATGAAGAAGGTGAAGTCAGGAAACGGGTGAAATAATAAGTATAAGCTTTGACCGAATGATCCTAGCAGTCCTGGCCAATGAAGTTTCAATGAAACTCATTTATTGAACCAAAAAAAAATATACAAAAAAAAAACAATGACAATTGCATATTTCTGTTCCGCCGCTGCGAGCAGACACCCCTTAAAAAATTATTTACATTTGTACAGTACATAAAATTTCCATAATCGACCCCAAATTTATACATAAATAACACTTATTAATTACGAATGGAACACCTCTATTATTGTGCATATATTTTGACTTAATACGCAATATTTTGCTACACCTACGACCTTATAATTACCCAGCGATTACTAAAATAAATATTTCCTTGATTGAGTAAAAACCTTATCCTATTTTATCGGTAAATTGCGCTAAAAATCTCGCCACGATGTTTCACGATATAAAAACTATACTAAAATATATAAACTATATAAACTAAAAAGTATAATATTCGGGCTGACTAAATTGAGCAAAACAAAACAAAACTCCTTGAGATACCTAATTCTAAGTCTGCGGCCGATTAAAAACAAGGATCTAAGACATCCAGTGCGGTACTATTGTTCTCCGTCTAAATTAAAGCAAAAAAATAAATTTTCTATCCTCAAAGTACACACGGATTCTATAATCCGTGACGCGGAACGACCAAAATCTTAACACTGTAATCTTTCCATGACTTCCCGCGATTTTTGGGAGAAACTCAAGAATCGTAACCCTAATAGGATTGATTGTCCAATCCAACGCCAAAATTATCGACCGCACGTGGTCGCTTGTGACGTAAGCGAAGTCCTCTAACGGTATTTTGTGTTCTTTGAACAATTAAAATAATTTAAACTAGTGAGTAGTGCGCTTATGTTGGTGTTAATTGTATTTCTGTAGAAAAAACCGTGGACAAAACAGTGGTTTTAAGCTTTAACAAATACTTTAAAATTGTATGTGCTTGAGTGGCGAGAACTGAGAAAAATAGTATTTTTAACCTTAAACAAAGATTTAAAAGTTTTGTGTCCGTGCTGCTTATTAGCGGTGTTATTAGTTAGGAGGTAAGCTCAAAATATTACACATAATAACATAGGTAAAGGTAAGAAATAAATTTCTTTTACCTTTTTCGGTGGGATAAGTTACATTAAAAAATAGTTAGGTATGCCTGGAACAGTGCCATATATGGGTGTAATAACAACTATTTTGATGAAAAAGCAAGTTCTCGAAAATGTAGTTTTCATCGCTTTCCCAAAGGGAAAGCTAGTATCCCGAACTATTCGGAACGAGTAGATAGTTCGATGTAGAAGAGAAGACCAACTTAATCCAGATAAAAGCTATGACTGCTCAGTTCATTTTACTAAAAATGATTACGAAAGAGGCTTACAAAATGAGTTATTAGGTATTAGGTAAATAGGGATTTCTAATTTATAAGTATTTGTTGATTTTTGTATATTTAAAACACAAAGTTTTACAAGTAAATCGTTTTGTTCGCTAGTTTTATGTACTTATGTGTAACAATATTTTATTAATATGTGTGTTTCAAGATAATACATATAAGGCAAACTTGATTGCAATAGTATTATTTTTACCCTAGCTGCTACGCTACTTCCCAATAATTATTAAATAAGTACTAAAACGATTTAATGTTGACAAATTAAATAAAAATAACAAGTGATTATCCAAACAAAATGCTATATTAGTTAATCAAAATACTCAAAGTCAATCAAAACTCATGCATTTACATAGTAAACGCGCCAATACAGGACTTCACCTACGTCACAGCCAGCGAGAGATTTGGCGGATTACGCAATCGTATTAGGTTTACGATTCTTGGGGGAAACTGAATGTCAATCGAAAGTTTTTTAAAGGACCAGCAAATGGCAAGCGATCCAGTAGGCGAATCTCAAAGTAAAAAAATTATTTTTTTCACGTCAACGCATGCTAAATAGGCATAAGACTTTCGTTTGGTTACTAGTAACATCACGAAATTAAATAATTATTTAGGCTGAGATTCAGGCATTGTCCTTTATAACCTACGTGGACCTATATGTTTTATTTTTTCTTTCTAACCCTGTCTTTGGTAAGAAGCGCGACGACAGGGTCCCAGTCTTAATTGACCTCGGTGAGTATTAGAGTTTAATTTGGCCTGGCACTTAGTTTGCGATACACTACCAGCTCTTTGCGCCTACCAACGAAACCACCTCTTCGTACGTGAGCCAAAAACTGAGAGACCAAGGCGCCATTCGCATCCATATTGGGACGAACCCCTTGTAAAGTGCGGGGGCCCCTTCGGTCTGCAGCGTTTTCTTCAAACAGTCGATGGAGGAAGAATAAAGCAGACCTCTGCAAAGAGACCTTTCACATCTCCGCGACCCTGAAGGAACCGAGTGTACAGCGTTACCTTCCTCTGTCGTCGAGAGGTTGATTCATGACTCTAGTTTTGATTACGTCGGCGGGGGTGCCCATAGAGGCGGCGACGAAGCCCGCGCAACAGCTGGCCATTACGTGAACGAAATGATTGTCGGATAGGCTCGTGTGTCTCATAATAAACCTCTTGGCCAAGTCGTAAGTAGTCAAATCGCCCAGATTTACCAGCGCCGCCCTTTGGACGTTCGGAACGGAACCCTTCCACAAACCCCGGACCCCGCCCTTCGACCACACTTGCCTGAACGCGTCCCATAAACCGTGCACGCGGGGCGGCAGCCCCATCAGTCGTCTCCGGCCCTCCATTTGCAGCTGAACCTTTAGCAAATCGGTCGGACTCGCGATGTATTGGGCGAATGCGCCGGCACTGACCCCGCAAATGGCGGATTTCCATAGCGGAAAATAAGGGTCGGCCGCGTTCTGCTTGAATGCGTTCTCTTTCAGCGCCTTGTAGGTTATGATACGCGTGCCGGAATAAATCAGGTGACGTATGAAAGCCGCGTGGACGCCCTGCCATAATTTGTGGATCCCCTCTTCGGTGCCGATGCCCACCGCGGTCTGGAACATGCCCCTGTACGGAACCTAAAAAATTCGACTGGAATACGCGCGCACGCGGCCATTTTGAATGTACCTTTTCGCCATTTTTATTCAGCTCACCCTGTATTTGAAGTCGCGTTTTGATGAGATCCAAAGGGTAGGTAACTGAAAAACGAAAAAGCGGTAGAGACGCGCAAAGTTAAGGGTTGAAAGAATACCGAATTTGAATGAAAAATGAACGAAAAAATTATTGAGGTGCCGTCATTTGAAATCCCGTTTTCAAGCAATCTGACCCAGCGGCGTTCAGTCTCAGAATAACCCGACAGACAGAAAGTTGGTCCCCCAATGTACACTGAGAAAATATTTATTAAAAAGACAGAGACATTTTATGACAGGATCTGCTACTACAGCCGATAAAAGGCATATTTTACGTTACAAAACAAATACGCAAAGATCTGCGAGCTGACAACAAAGCAGCTCGTAGCCAAATTGGCCTAACATTTCCTGTCAATTTTTGACCGAATCGTTTTGTCTTTTCTGTGCGTTGGGTTATTCTGAGGTTCAACATCCAACATGGCCGCTGACAGTTCGTGACGTTTTCTCAAAATATACTCAGATTTCGTTAAACGAGTTAAGTATGTGTAGATCGCTGTTCAGAAAGAAAATGGCGCAAAGTTAGTGGTGATGATTGCCAAATCTACAAAAGTAACATGGCTGCACAAGGCGCTTCAAGTTTAGCTATAGTCATATGGCTTTAAGAAATTTTTTGCAATTGGAAGTAAGAAAGTATATCTCCGTTTGTGTAGGTGTTTACTTAATGTGTACCGCGGTGGGCTGATAACAGCGCTATTTTGAAGCTAATGAGAACTAACGTCGCAGATTTGCGTCTCGTGTGTTATTTTACGTTGGCACACAGTACACAGATAGAGAACACGCGTCTCGTCAGTTGCTACGCGTTTTCAACTTACTGAATTCGGCATTCCAAGCGGCTACGACGGAAACGATGTAAACGCACCAAAGGGAGTCGACAAATTTGGGAAACTCTGGTTTTGCGGGGGGCACGGGTGGCATCTCTGACGCTAATCCTGTAAAACGTCCGCAACTCATTTGCTTGATACCTCCGTGCAAACCGCAGGATTTTAGAGGTCTGTGACACTAAACCAAACAAAGGCCAGTGCGAAAGTAACCTCAAAATTTTCCAATAATTCGTTTCAATTGGCGTTAAATTATTGTCTATTTATAGCGCCCGCGTTTATGCGAATGTGCAATAAAAGTTCCAGGCTAGAATTACCGTAACCTAAATTGCCTTGTATGTATTTACATAATTTAATAAAACGCTGATATGAACCTTACTGTTGGAAAGGGCACCGAACACGACCATTTCAACACCAAAACCGACGGAACGCTGCGAACGTTAATTTTGAAAAATTAATTATATAACGACAAAAAGTACATGCGTTCGTTCCAGCGAGGACCTTTGATCTCGACGGGGATAAAACGATTAACCGCGGTTTTTGGCCGTCCCCTGAACAGTTTCGGATAAGTCATATTTATAAAGTTCAAACGTCCGATAAAGTAATCCCCGTAATTGTTTATTTTTGTTTTGAACGTTCGATGACTTGACAACGCCGCGCTATTTAACCTTTTTTTCACCAAAATGGCATTTTCTGACCGACCCAGATTGCTTGTCCCCGATTACCCCGTTTGTTGGAATGTCGTTAATACTTACCATTTGTTTCGTAACGAAAAGATCGGACCGCGCCAGATTAATCTCGCACCGACGTTGATTGACTCTTTTTAAAATAGGTATCGTAAATTTCATATTGTCAGACGGAAACAGATACATGCGTAAACAGACCGATTTGATAGTAAGTTCGATCGGCGCTCAGCCGGTCGCTTCTAGGTCAATCGTTATGACGTCGACGCTTGTGTTACTAGACCGTGAAATGTCATGTAGAACAACCAGTATTTTCAGCACCCACAAAATTCACGGAGACGCAAACGCTATGAAGTCGTGGATTTGAAAAGACGATTCCTAATTAAAAACCCGCAATAAGACGGCATAACCGGTGCTTCTTCTTTGAATCGCTTTATTTTTCTGCAACCAGTCGTGCGTCACAGAAGGCAGAATAAACGTCATAGCGAACGCATCTACATTCTATCGTTTCTACGTAGCGAAAAGTAGTACCAAGTGCACCCATTAGTTTTTGCCAGTGAACACTTGACATAATATTTTCGTAGTTTTCCGCGACGCTATTCGAAATACCAACGCTAAATAATTGCTCAGGAATAAATGAGCTTTTGAAATGCGAATCTTGGGTCGCCGCGACTTCGTGTGTTTTCGTCTGATTTCGGGGTGACGATAGTGTTGAATTTCATCTCTCGTGGAGAGGAAGGCGAGTTGTTACTTTAGAAGGATTCCAAAATATATTAATCGCGGAAATATCGAACTTGGGACGTTAATTAACGACGATGTTTTCGTATCTACGGTGGGCGGCCGTTTAATAATAGTGCAGCGGACACGATAAGCCGGTCGAAATATCGATTAAAATCCACCTGATTTTTGACGTTTGTCCTAGAGTGATTCACTTCACGGCGCGGACATTGTTATTGTGCGGTTATTTGTGATTTTATTAATTTTTAACGTCAGTGCTGCCGGTTAAGAGTGATTTTTTTTGGCAGTGTGCACGATGGAAGCCGTGGCGAAGCACGAATTTAACGCTACCGCCGACGACGAGCTCAGCTTCCGAAAAGGCCAAGTGCTCAAGGTAAAATCCTTGAAAAAATATTGACGGTGCGTATTTTTTCTGTTGTGACGTTGAATCGGGTCGCCTTGCAGATCCTCAACATGGAAGATGACATGAACTGGTACAGGGCCGAACTCGACGGCAGAGAAGGACTGATACCTAGCAATTACATAGAAATGAAACCACACGAGTGAGCCTCCCGATGTTTTTCGTGGTATTTTTAAATTCTCGCGCCGTTTTTTTTGGTAGTTGGTATTACGGGAGGATCACGCGGGCTGACGCCGAGAAGTTGCTGCTGAATAAACATGAGGGGGCCTTTTTAATAAGGATAAGCGAGTCCAGTCCGGGCGATTTTTCGTTGTCTGTCAAATGTTCAGACGGGGTGCAACATTTTAAGGTGTTGCGCGACGCCCAGGGGAAGTTCTTCCTGTGGGTAGTCAAGTTTAATTCTCTAAATGAACTCGTCGAGTACCACAGGACGTCATCGGTGTCCCGTTCGCAGGACGTCAAACTTAGGGACATGGTAGCTGAAGAAGTAAGCGTTGCGACGTGAAACATGCAAATTAACTGGTTTGATATTTTGTTTTAGTACCTAGTGCAAGCGTTGTACGACTTTACGCCCCAGGAAGTGGGCGAGCTGGAGTTCAAACGCGGCGACGTCATCACAGTGACGGGTAACCCGACCGAGGTCGTCATATTTTCCAGTTTAATACTCACCGAGTATCATTTTCAGATCGTTCCGACCAGCACTGGTGGCACGGCGAGATCGGTCACCGCCGGGGCTTATTCCCGGCCACTTACGTGACCCCCTATCACACATAGGCGCACCGTTTTTTCCTAGTTCCGCATTTACGCGATTTAAGTTGGTAAGAGCGCGGGATTGTTTTCTCACCGCCAAAATCAAAAATATCGATTCTCGCCTTTTCCAATCCCTTCCTCCCATCCCAAAACGATTTCGCTTGATTTCTATTTGGGGGGTAGGGAAATGGGTTTCTTAATTTTTATGGGCGCTTGACCGGGTGGGTGACATCTCACCACTAAAAACTGCCAATAATTCCATTCCCGCCGCCGACTTCACTGTTTGATAATTAGCGCAAATTATAACTTACGCGATTTCATTTTGGCGCCTATTGCAATTAACAAAACTTTGGCATCCGACTCGCAAATCAATCGGAACATGCGCCGGTTTTTGATTATTTGTGACGGTGCTTGAAACGCCACAATTTATTTAGCGAATTTTAAATGTAACGTTTTTGAGGTTAGAAATGCGATTGTCAAAACATTTTATTGGTGCCCCGTTACGATTTACATTTTTATCCATTTTCCAAACGCGAACTTTCGAATGTATCACCTACAAAATGGACGGGCGTCCCTTGTTATTTTACTCGGACTGCGATTAAGTTGTTAGTACCAAATTGCCCAGAACATTCCAGGGTTTCAGTGGCCAGCCAATAAAATGAAAGCGTTTCTTAACGTGGCCATAGCAACGTGTCTATTTTTTCGATGTGCGCAAAACGCATTCCCAATAAAAAAATGTCGACGTTCAACCAATGAGGTTATGCTTTGTTGTTGCTATTCTAAATCGTCGTCCGATGGAAAAAGGGGTTTCCGGACAGTCCATTTTATAGGTTTTTGGAGTCGAAGTCGCTGTGGATTTAATCGAGTTGCGTCGCATACGGAATAAACAAATGTTTGCATAGTACACGGATTGTTACGCGTCGACAGAAACCTATAGTTTTCGTTGAACAACGCGCGATATTTTATCGTCCTATATATATTTTCATTCATTCGAAATTGCTCACGGGTAGAGCGCGGCCGCGTTTTATGACAGCCATGGTTAAATTGTGCGTGGGTGGGGAATTTTGGAAAAAGGTATAACGAAACGACCGTTTTGTAAAGACGCGGTCGCCATTAAAATATTTTTCTAAAAAAGAAATGTCGTGACGTAGCCGAAAAGCGAGTCCAACGAATGCCCGACCATCCCCGAGACCCGCGCGGACACTAGTAGTACGGAAAGTGTACATTTTTCTAGTGGTAACTTCAACAAAATACGTGCCCAAGTTGTTATAGTGATATTTTTATCCATAAAACTAATTTTAAGGTTATATTTGTATCCTCACTTATAGATGCCATTTTTTTTTTCAGTACGTTTTTTAAGTGAATCTATTCTACTTCGGTAGTTTTCGTTTTTTTCGTAATCCTACGAGTTTTATTTGTACATATTAGGGTTACGTTTACGCGATTGCAGCATATTTTGTTGCCCTCCGACGGGCGGTTTCGTGCTTTTTTTTTATTTTTACGTGTACATACTAAACCTAGTGTAATAATTGAAAACGATAAGTGCAACCTATTTAGATAAAATATATATGTTATACAAGACTGTCTCGTTTATTAACCCTCACCCATCCGAAAGTCGTATTTTTAATTCGCAACTAAACTTATATAGTTATATAGCTATTAGTTGTATTATCCATATGCACAGATTCAGAAAATCGAGTGAACGTAGTTTCAGAATAGGAACCCGAATCCGAAGCCACCCGATTGCTTGCAGCCAGGGCCTGTGGCGGTGCATAATGCATATTTAATGAAGCAGTTTCCCTTTTATACCATTTTTTTGGAGCCATATTGGTGCAAACTGCAAAATTTTAAAAATCAACAAACAAAACCCAAAAATAAACATGCATGCACAATAGTACCTTTCCGAAATTACGCGCATTCTACTAAGGTTATAACACAAGACCCTTTGAAGCTAACTAGTCATTTCAAAACAAATTCGACTAATAAGACGCTACAACTTCCGTCTGTAGACGATTAAAGCCTTTATTGGACATTTAGGTAAATCTTATGATGTCTTGGGAAATACAGTAAAACTAGGTTAAACGTACCAGCTGGGACCTTAATAATAGGTACGTTATATCAAAGAATTAAAAACATGCTTAGATTTTTATTTTTGTTTATTCTTGAACATGGTACATATTATAAACGAAAGCTTAAACGATATAAGAAAAGATTTATTTTGCCTTAAAAAGAAAACACAATTTTAAAATACATATAAATGCAAGTGTGTTTTATGTGGCAAGTACATATGTATGTGATGGGCCGTTTATCTTGGGACCACTACCTTTGTCGTAAAATATCTGTCAATTTCTTCATTCGGAAGCATTTATTGTTTTACTTGAAGACAGAGGGCTCGAATAACTGATTTCGTAAGAAATTTGAAGTCCTGTATTGGAGCGTTTACTATGTAAATGCATGGAAATAATCTGAAACTGACCCGAATTTTGATGGACTTTGATTATTTTGAGTAGCTAATATAGCATTTTGTTTGTTTTAGTACTTATTTAATAATTATTGGGAAGTAGCGTAGGGTAGGGTCTCAGGTAGGGTAAAAATAATACTATTGCAATCAAGTTTGGCTTATATGTATTATCTTGAAATACCTATATTTATTAAACATTGTTGCAGATAAATACATAAAACTAGCGAACAAAACGATTTATTTCTAAAACTTTGTGTTTTAAGGCATTCTATAATTTTAAATATACAAAAATCAACAGATAGTTATAAACTAGAAATCCCTATTTTTGAATATATTAAAGAACATATTAAAAAACAAAAAATATATTAGGCATACATAACAACTATTTACAGGTGGTAGGTGGAGATGGATTTTTCTCTAGAATTTCACTTGTGGCATTCGATGTTGTTGCTAAAAGTTCAGACGATATCTGCTGAGCTTCTTTTTAGCATTTTTGGTATGAAGTCTTATTGAACTAGATAATTCTGCTTCTGTTGGTGGCTTCTGGCTAAATAATAATAGGGTGGGAACAGCAGTTTTTTTTAGAATCTTTCTCTTTCATAATCATTTTCAGTAAAATGAACTGAACAGACATTGCTTTTATCTGGATTAAGTTGGTCCTCTCTTCTACATCGAACTATCTACTCATTCCAAATAGTTCGGGATACTAGATCTTTCTCTTTGGCAAAGCGATGAAAACTACATTTTCAAGAACTTGCTGTTTCATCAAAATAGTTGTTATTGTACCCATACATGCCACATCTGGATCCAGAAACACCTAACTATTTTTTGATGTAACTTATCCCACTGAAAAAGGTAAAAGAAATGTATTTCTTACCTTTACCTATATTATTATGTGTAATATTTTAAGCTTACCTCCTAACTAATAACACCGCTAATAAGCAGCACGAACACAAAACTTTTGTCTTTATTTAAGGTTAAAAATACTGTTTTTCTCCGTTCTCGCCACTCAAGCACATACAATTTTAAAGTATTTGTTAAAGCTTAAAAACACTGTTTTTTCCAAGTTTTTTTTACAGAAATACAATTAACACAAACATAAGCGCACTACTCACTAGTTTAAATTATTTTAATTGTTCAAAGAACACAAACTACAACGGGTTAATACGCCTTCAAATGCATTGACAGAATACACAAAAACCGTTAGAGGACTTCGCTTACGTCACAAGCGACCACGTTCGATCGATAATTTGGCGAACGTATGTCTTATGGGATTGGGTTAGGTTTACGATTCTTGAGAGATCCCCACTGAGAGTTCGTTATTTTGGAGGTATTCAATTTTAATCTGCCATTTTTTTTGCAGTACTGTGTCAAAATATGCTCAGATCATATTAAACATTCAAAAAACAAAGTGTGTAGACCGCTCTTTAGAAATAAAGTTTCAGTTTCGAAATTCAGGTTAGTTTGTGCAATTTACGGACATGCGCCGAAGTCCTTTCACTACTGCTTTCCATAGAATGTCAGGCTGAATTTGAGATACTCACGGCCCCCACTTTTTAGCCTTCAGGATTTGTTGTCCCATCGATCCCGATCAATAAATGAGCATTCGTTTGACATAGTGTCATTTTCTCGAAGACGTAGGAGAGCAATTTTTTTCCTAATCGAAACATATTAACAACATTGCTTTTCTAATCTAATTCCAGTCGTTTATATTCGAACGTGAAGACCCTTATAGAAACTTATCCAAAATATAAAGTAGCTCATAGGTAGCATAAAAAATTATATTGGTGACACTGCATTTCTAAACAAATGCAGTGTTACCAATCTTCCGAATTCAACATTTGGCAAGAGCTTCTAACGTCACCATTTTCCAAAGGTGAAGCGACTTCGAGATCGCAACTGACGTGCTTTAAAAATAAAAAACGTTTCGATTTATAAAGTATTTTATTTTGTAACAGTATGGACCAGTTCCAAAGCAAAAAAAAAGTGTAACGAAAAAAGTCGTAGCTGTGTAGCCAACAATGGTCAGACACGTAATAAAATTGCCCTGCCAGTTTCCGGGGCCTCTCTAAAAAACGAAAGGGAAACCCTCCCCACACCCCGGAAAGGCGTCGACGCTACTCGCGATAAACAAATACCCGGATATTTTTATTCTTTTTTTTTTAGAAAAAATGGAGAAAACATTCAGTTTTTAATACTAAAAAGTCTCGGTAAAACATATATCTACAATACAGCGGCTGAGAATAATGCAAAGTGGGTTTCTAACTGGGGGGGTAAGTAACAGACAAACGGGGGGCGTGGCTATTAGGCTTCCAGTTCGAGGGCCAGCCCCACCTTGTGGCCGCCTTGATTGAAGTTCTTGCCGTCAATCAGGCTGGACAATGTCAGAGTGACGCCTGAAAACGAATCAATGTATCTTTACCAGCAACAGTTAAGCCCAAGGAAAGTTAAGTTTAAAGTTAAGCAGCATACTGTTGGAACTCTCTGCATATACAGTATTGGGAAAAATTAGAGCGACTTTTATTTTTTACTACTATACATAGTACATGTGTTATATTATCAATGTTCTAAATAAATATTGGTGTAAGCAATCAACATATTTTAATAAAAATACTTAAAAAGCAACTTCCTGTTTACCAAAATTAAATGGACTAATCTAATATTAAGCCTGGTGCGACAAATAATAACTGACGTTGAGGAGATCAATCAGATTTGAAATTATTCATTCATTGTCTATTGTAAACCATTATTTAATTTTTTTTGCAGTGTGTTTTTGGGGTCGTTACCGTGCCGGGAATATAAACTTTAAAGGCATTTCCTATTCAACATATTGCAGAATATCTTCTAATACAGCATGATAAAAAATGGAGCCCCTTTAATATTATTTTGTGAAAAATGCAACCCCAAACCATAACGTTGTCACCACCGCGTTTTACTGTATCAGAAATGTACTTTGGGTCAAGACCAGTTTCCATGAAATGACGGTGGATGGACCACGAAGACACATTATCTGTACCCAAATCTGGTTTGCCGAGAACTGTGGACTGCTTTAACCAATTCTTTCATTCTCCAATTTTCTTGCTACGTTTTTTCTTTTGCTTTCGTGGCGGATCAAGTTTATAACCCTTCGACGGCCCCGAAAATCTTGTATAATTTTTTAAACAACTTCATTCACCCTGATTTTTTTTGTTTTTTGTGATATTCCAGCTTTTTACTCCTCCACATTTTTTTCTATGAGATTAACGAGACATCTGGTACTATTAGACTGTAAGAAAAAACTTAATCTTCAATGAGTTATGGTCGATTAACGAACCGAAAATAAACCAGTCTTTAAAGAAAATGAAATAAGCAGCAGTCGCTCTAATTTTGTAGGATACTGTATATACTTTTTGGGTAAATTTTCTTTCGCTTTGCGTCTCTTTCTGTTGCACATTATATATTTGTCTCACTGGTAGAAGCTGACTATTAAGAGGGACTATTTGCCATGTATAAAACAACATTCTCGAAAATATTAAAGTTCAGAAAGAAACTCTTTACCGTAACCCGAAAGTAAAAGCATTTTGAAAGAAAAATTGTTATTAAACTTAAAATTAACATTATATATTTCTCTCACTGGTAGAACTTGACTATTAAGAGTGACTATTTGCTATGTATTAAAGAACATTCTCAAAAATATAAAAGTTTAAAAAGAAACTCTTTACCGTAACCTGAAAGCAAAAACATTTTGAAAGAAAAATTCGTATTAAACTTAAAATTAACATTTGATGAGTGAAATATATCGAGACAAATATTCAATAGGGCAAGTAAGGATACAATTTTACCTTCACGCAGGCGCTGCTGGTAACCCAAACCTATCTGACTCGCGTTGTTGACCTTGACCCTCACGGAGGCATCCTGATCAAGATCATATTTAGCCCCGATACCAAACTTGGTGTTGTTGCTGCCTGACGACCAAGCCAGTTGAATGGCGGTCTCCAAACGGGGGTTCAATTTCTGATAGATCGAGCCGCCAAATTCCTGCCCATCATCACTGAAACACCCGACCAAAGGAATTTTGGAAACGGGGGTTTCTTACCCTACTTACACGTTGGTATGGAGGGTGAAGTCTCCCGACGTGAACCCTAGTGCGAAATTGCTCTTGGTCAGTTTCTTCTTGTCAGCGTCAAAGCCGGCTTGGTATCCTGCCAGCCACCCTTGATAACCGACGACGGCGGAACCCGTGACTATTGGTGCGCTTGCGTTGAGGTCGACGTCTGCGTTGAGCGCGACCCTCTCATTGACGAATGCGGACTTTACTTGAGCCGATTTACTCCTGCAACACGATTAGCTTTGGGCTACAACATGTTCTACAGATTGACGAAATCAAACACTTCCTGATCATGTTGAGCAATCTATCTCAAAGACATACTACCACTCCTTATATATATATATATATATATATATATATATATATATATATATATATATATATATATATATATATATATATATATATATATATATATTTTTTTTTGTCAAACCAAAGGCTCTCATAAGCTCACCGAAACTAGACACTCACCAATATTTTTTTGATTTATAAAAAATATATGCATATCGATTTAGAACGATGCTTCCCAGACTTCTTTTTCTGATAGACTACATAGCATATTCCATATAAAATCTCCTGGGGGCCCCCTTAGACCACTTGGGGAACCACTAATTTACTTAGAATAACAAAAAAAAAAATATCGCGAAAGTTTCAGCCCTTAATATTAATGGAAGGTCTATTGTTGTACTGATTTAATTATTGCGTCAAAACAGTCAAACAATGCAGGTAAAAATATTTCTCTGAATATATCATAATAAGAAATTAAATCCTCAAAAAAAAACCCTGATTGCATGTTTTTCGTTTCCAAGAAATCAAGCCATCAAGTTTTTTTTTATTTAATGTTTTCATTTTGGAATTTTGTAACTAACAAAAAACTCAATACACAAAAACGAACGATTTTGATTTTTAAATGGAATTGAATGCTCTACAAGAAAGGATATTTTTTAAAAGTTTTTCAAGATTGAACTTGAAAAAAAAAATGAAACCCTTTTGTAATTCGTTTTTCACCCAATTTTTATTCTAGTCTACATAATCGAAAAAATTATATCACCAATAAAATCACAAACAATTATATTGTTTTACTATTAAAAATTATTTAGTTACAATATTTTACCCATTAGTATATTATATTTGTTAATATAGACAAATTTGAATATATTTTAAACTTGGCTCCCTCTACTTGTGTGGGTTTTCTTCAACTTATTAAGTACTATGATGAATGACAACACTCTAGCCTTTTCTAACAGTGTAACAGCAACGTCTATAACATAGTTGTAATTTTTAAAATCATTTTTAGTAATTGTATTGATGATATATTTTATATTACATATTTCCGATAATGTAGAATACGAATTTGATCCATTGAGTAGAAAAAAATGGGTAATAAAATCGATTTTTCTGCAAGTTAAAAGGGAATAACTTCAAAAAAATATTAAGAGGCCATTTTTGGATAACATTAAATTCCCTTTAAAAATCAATCATTCAAATGAATTCAAATTTTCTGAGCTTCTTTTTTATAGAGAATTCAATTTCCTACAAAAACATATCCATATAAATATTTTTACCTCAATGATTTGGCTGCGCTGACGCAATAATGAGATCAGGACAAAAAAAATGCAAATACAAATTCCCATGCAATATTAGGTCATAAGGACAATCTGCCAATCTGCAAATATTTGATTTTACCTCTAAAATTCAGAGAATCGCTGATGACACTGTTGTCAGTTTTTTTTTTTAAATTAATTCCCAATAACAAGAAATTTGCAAACAAGGGGCTTCGTCCCGACCATTCTGACTCTCTGTAATTTAGAGGTTACTACTATTAACCGACAATATCTATATACGAGAACTAACCCCGTTTGCGGGGCGAAGCTCAAGTTGGTGGACAGTTTGAGGCCCTGCACCAGCTGATCCTGAATGGCGATTTCTGTGCCCAGAGTGTTGTCGGTGTTCCATTTTTCGGAGAATGTCAGTCCGTACTCTTTCACTTTGTATTTGGTCTCCAGGGAACCGAAAACCTTTCCGTTTTCTTGGTTCGACGTACCGCCCGTGTTAAATTCCACGCCCGAATTGGACTTTGTCTTGCAGTCGAGTTTGATGAGGCCGAAATGGTAGCCCTTGCCGAACACATCCTTGGCTTTTTTGCCGAGATCGGAATATGGAGGTGGCGACATATCTTCGGTTACCTGGGAAAGCAATCATTCCGTGTGTGGTCGTGTTTTAAAACTGGAAAAATTATAAAATAAAACCGCGCCGGCCATCTAGCGGATAAGAACAAAACTCTCGAAGATCCGCCATATCACGTTGACCGGGAAAAACATGGCGGCTTTTCTCGAACTTTTAAAAATTCGGCAAGGAAATAATAAATGCTAAAGTAGCCCACTTTCTAAGGGAAAAGTTTCCACTTCTTGCACATGTCAAACAAACTAATCCAAGAAATCGGCGATCACATGCCGCCCATTGCGTTCGATAACGCGTTTATTACAACATCTTACATAATCGCGAAACATGCGATTTAATTTACAACTATAGCCGGGATTTCTACAAACCGGCGACATTGCTTGTACAAATAAAAGCGAAACTAAAAAAAATATATATTCTTTAGTTAAATCATAGGATCTAGTGACCCTAATGACAAATGACCATAGCTTTCTTGAACAAATCGATCGAGCGAATTCAACTACATAAATGTATTAAATTTTTAAACTAATACATTACGTTTAATTAGATCGGTCAAAATACAACGCTGTTTCCACAAAACGAACTCCACCACCCGGTAGGAAAAAACTTAACGTCTCCCCAATATACCACCAACAGTCACTGAAGTAGACCTCCCAGAGCTTAACCGGCGGAGAGGTAAACCACGGATCATAGGAGGACAACTACCACAGACTTTCGTCCGACTTAATTGATTTGACTTTAGCTTTATGCCTTACCAAAGGTGTGTGAATCTCCTTAGAGAAACTTTTGTCATTTTATCGTGTGTCCTGCATGGTATATCGGTGGTCACATTAAATTAACTAAATACGTACCGCCTGTTCGCGCGGCATTTGTAAATCTGCCGACTCTCCAGCCTTTTTGGCACCAAAACAGGCGAATGTTTTTTTGGCACAGTCCAACTGCCTCACTTCGGTTCTAGGGCTCTCGTTCATTATGAGTGTTAATTTTTCCTCAGCGGACGGAGTAAGAGTGTTCTCCATTTAAAAATAAAAAACTCTCAAATTAAATTCTTGACAATTTCATTTTCAATTTTGACGTAACCAAAAGAATCATTTGTTTGCTTTGTTGCGTAGTGGTCATTTTTAATTGAACCTAAGTTTGAAGGAAGTCTCTAAACAAGTTCAATAATTTAACTATTCCCTAGGGAGTTTGTTTAACGGCTGTTTACCGCCGTGGGTTTATGCGTCACGTGACCTGTCACATTTAACTATGGTGTTTTGAATGTTTGTCGAATTTAAAAAAATCTCTGCTTTATTTTAAAAACATGTCGTATTCCTTAAAATGTGTCGAATTGTAATTATCGAGTCCCGCAGCCCGTCGTAAAACTGTTCAATTGTTTGTTTTCCCTGGTTTTCGTATCACCGTAATAATTTGAAAGGCGTATAAGCTTGTATGGCAAACCTTTTGAATCTGCGCTATGATTTCACGGCATACTTTAATTCGTCCTGTTAAAGCAGGCGTTGGAAAACCAAGCGCATTTTCTGCGCTCTGAAAATGCTTTGTAACTCACGGTTTGCAGGCTTTTCAAAAGCTCTCTGATATTCTTTAATTTCGCACGCCCTGTCCAGTTTCAGCAAACCAAGCGACATCGTGCGCTATGGAAGGAGACACATGTGGTGGGTAGAACATAGGAATACAAAACACGCTATTGGTATAATTTAAATTAACGGTCCAAAATTGCAGAGCAAGAGTTGATTATCGGCACGGAAGAGGAGATTGAGCACGAAGAGGAGATAGTAGAGACGGAAATCGAGCCTCAGGAGGTGGAGATTGAGACGGAGGATCAGACGTCCCGTTCACCCGAGATCATTCTGCCAGACGTTAAGAAACCGGTGACGGTTCCACCTCTGAGGCCACTCACCATCGCTCCAAAACCAAAGCAAATTCCCATAGCGGTGAAACCAATGGCCGGGCAACAGTTGTTGCTGTTGCAAGGCGGTACCGCGGGTCAGACCATCAAACTGGTGTCGCCGCAGGGACAAGAACTGAGCCTAGCAAACTACGCCATAAGCAGACCACTCACCATAAAACCTACAGTGAAAACCATATCGACCCAGGGCGGGAATATCTCGTTGGTGCAGCAGAAGCCGGTCGTTATGAAAAAGATCGTGACGACCGGTCAGAAAACCATCACGAAACCCGTGACGTTATCAAAACCGATAACTTTCGCGAAGCCCGGGCAACAGTTTATGGTGATACAGAAGCCCGATCAGCAACAGGTCAAACTGATGCAGAGTCCGACGAAGACTATTACTTTGCAGCAGGCCCAGGAGATGGGATTGTTGACCAACGCCAAGTTCCTGCCGCAGACGCAGGCCGCCATCAACAAGCAGACAGTGTTGATCAACAAGAACCAGCAGAAAACTATCAAGATAGTGCCGCAGCTGAGTCCGGCCCAGGTGTTGACGACGGGTACTACGAAAACGATAACCGTGAACCAGCTGAAGCAACCTACCAAGATTCTTCCGGCGACGAGCATGGGGGCTGCTAAACCCGCGCAGAGGATCATCTTCAAGAACGCGTCTGGGGCACAGACGATTCTACCTGGGGGTCACCTGATCCAGATGACCGGGAATCAGGCCTTGCAGACCGGTAATATCCACCAGATCAACATACCCGGAAAAGGGGTGAGAATTTGGGCGGGGTTTTCGGGATGGGGCGGGGCTTATTTGCGCGCGCGTGTTACAGATGCAGTATATCAAGTTCGTGAGTGCGTCGTCTGCGCAGTCTAGTGCGGGTCTGGTGACCATCACCAATGCGGTGAAGACAACCTTGGCGAATCCGAGTGGCGTTTTGGCGGAGGCGAAGGTATTTTTATATTCTTTTTGATTCTCCGAAAAAGAAAAGTTTGTCATTTTTATGAAAACTCGATATTACCGGTCGTCGGAGTCCCTAAAAAAACGGCGAGATTAGTTAGCTTTTTACGACAGGTCTTAGTTTAGGAAAATTAAAAGGGTAAATCTTTTACGATCTGCGGTTTTGCTACGGCGCTTATTTGAGGAAAAAAATTATATTAGAAGTTAACTATTTGAGAAGGCTGCAAACTGTAAACTAAAGCTGCAAAATTAATTGAATTAATTTTTAACCGTACGCCTCTGTATTGGGTTAAAAAAAATTATTTTCATTTTTTTTTCATTTTTCATTTTTCTGGATGAAACTCATTGAATCAATGAAGAAAACAATATTGGAAAATCAACCATATATCAATATCTTTAGTTCAAATTTTTCCTGTAGCAATTTAAAGTCATAGCGTACCCGTCACAGAGGAGAATGTCCTTAAGTCAATAATTTCTTTGTACTGGCTCGATCCTATGAATATCACTGAAGATTCCAGACTGTCAACAGCATAGTGTTCTAATACCATAAATTCTTGTGAAGTCTGATGTTGTTTTTCTAATGAAGCCTAGAAAGCGTTCTATCTACGGAGGCCACTTGAAAAGTTGCCTACGTAACAATGATACAAGACATTTTTTTCTCATATTTTTTTCTATATAGTATCCTTGCGATGCTCTCATCTCTTTATCCCGTCCAAATAGTATTCAGCCCTTTTCTCTGCAAAATGATTGTTCACGAAGGTGATTGCCTCCTCATTTGACGAAAATGTTTCTCCTCCGAGCGCAGTTTTCAAAAAGAAGTCGCTTGGACTAGATCTGGTGAGTAAGACGCATGGTCAAGCAGTTCGAACCGCAATTCGAGGACTATCCCCATGGCGATCACTGTCCGGGTGAAACAGATCTTTTTTGCAAAATTTTTCCTTCTTGAAAGTAATCGATTAAGATGACTCCGAAAAAATTGTTTTTGCTTTTTTCGGAATCGGTTCCCTCTTCGAAGTGCACTGTTTTGACTATATTTTTGATTCGGGCATTAAAAGAGTGTATCCAAGTTTCATCTAGAGTAATGAATCGGTGCCATAACTCAGATTTATTGCGCCTAAACTGCTCTAACAAAGCGTTGGAAACGTTCATTCGAACACCTTTTTGGTCTAACGTAAGTAACTATCAAGAAGTGCACGCAACTACAATCACTAGCTTTTAGGACGAGGTCGGAAACTTTTCAAGCGACCCTCGTATGTGACTAACAAATTAAAGGGTAGTGACCCGAGATATGAAATTCTTTTTTTTATTTAATACAAATTATCTACGTTTACAGTATGCGAAATAAGTAAATAGAACAAAACCAAACTCTATAGTTGTAAATTTTAAAAGTTAGAAGCTGAGTTAGAAAAAATGTGTAACCCCATATGAAAATGAAATGAAATGAAAATTTACATCCGTCATCATTCTCTGATTCGATAAATAGTTATACCTTAAAAGTGCCTTTTTAATGTAAAAGAAAGTAAAAACTGATAACAATATCAAATTTTAAAACAGAGCATTTCTCGAACATTTTAGCCCAAAAAAACCGTACCCAAATGGAAAAAATATATAAAAAATGTAATAAATTCTTAATAATAAAGCAAACGTTAAGTCGGACGTTATAACTACTTTCTCACTTAACTTTAGCGCATGTTATTATTTATAACTTTATTTTAGATTCTTACGAAGGCGAACATTAATGATTGAAACTTCGTAAGTAAATAATTCGAACGCTTTTCGGAAATTGTCTTTCAGAGAGTCCCAAGAAAATAAGAAAACATTAAACTGTAATCGTATATTAATCCAAGAAATAACAATAATAATAGATTAAGGAAATGGATACAAATCCCCCTCCTTTTTCAGCCGTCGGTCAGTGCGACGGGCAAAATCGCTCCGAAACCCATTAGCATCAAGCCCGCCATTCAGGTAAACAAAATCGCCACATCCGCAGAACAGGTGGTGGTGGTGCCCGCCTTCAATTTGGCCACTCAGTTGCAGGTGAAAATTATTGCGTAGTTTTCAGGAAGACATCCTCGAAGATTACATTTAACACTATAATTTTCAGCATATTTCACACGTATTGTTTCAGCAATTCGCAAACATAAAGCAATGATCACCATTTTAAAGCAATTTTTGTAAATATTCAGTAGGCCTCGAACACATCCACACCATTTTCAGCACCAGCCACATACTATTCACTCCGTTTCAGACATTTTTGTAGACTTTCATTACATTTCAGATGTTTTCAAAAAACATTTCGATCATTTTTCAGATTTTTTTTACAATTTCGTCACATTTTTTCAGAAATTTGCAGAAATAAGCCTTGAAATCGCTTTTTTTATAGACTTTCATTACATTTCAGATGTTTTTAAAACCATTTCGATCATTTTTTCGATATTATTTTACATTTCCGCGACATTTTTCAGAAATTTGCACAAATAAGCTTTAAAAACTCTTTTTCTTGGACTTTCATTACACTTCAGATGTTTTTAAAAACATTTCGATCATTTTTTTTTTGCAGAAATAAGCTTTGAAATCTTTTTTTATGGCCTTTCATTACATTTCAGATGTTAAAAATATTTCGATCATTTTTCAGATATTTTTTACATTTCGGTGATATTTTTCAGAAATTTGCACAAATAAGCTTTGATGTCTATTTTTTATAGACTTTCATTACACTTCAGATGTTTTTAAAAACATTTCAATCATTTTTCCGATATTTTTTTACATTTTCGAAACATTTTTTTCAGAAATTTGCAGAAATAAGCTTTAAAACCTCGTTTTTATAGACTTTCATTACATTTCAGATGTTTTTAAAAATATTTCAATCATTTTTCAGATATTTTTTTTTACATTTTTGCCACATTTTTTCAGAAATTTGCAGAAATAAGCTTTGAAATCTCTTTTTTATAGACTTTCATTACATTTCAGATGTTTTTAAAAGCATTTCGATCATTTTTCAGATATTTTTTTACATTTCCGCGACATTTTTAAGAAATTTGCTCAAATAAGCTTTGAAATCTCTTTTTTACGGATTTTTATTACATTTCAGATATTTTCAAAAACATTTATGGGGCGATTTCTTGTTATATTTTTTATCGATATCTAAACAAATATTCACCCGATTCGGCTGAAATTTGGCAACGTTATTTGGTGTATTAAGTCGTTCTAGATTAAAATTTTGCAGCCCAGTGGCGTCTCAGCGGCATCTTACCGAATTTTATTGCCAACAAAATGTACGCCGCTGCCTTTTTTATAACTTTAGTATTTTTTGTTTTGATTTAGCTTCTTCGCTTGTTGATTTTTTTCATGTCACTTTCTTTTCCTTTTTGTCCTTAAGATTAAGCAATGGATTGGCCCAATCCCCTGACTTAAAGTCATTACATTTTTGCTTGTGGGGACGAGGCGAAGATTTACGCTATTCCCATAGAAACAATCGAAGAATTAAGAAATAAAATCGTAAATCCTTGCGAGGAGGTAAGAAATAAATCTCCCATTTTAGCTCAAGTTCAATGATTCATCGATTGAGAAGTTGTACGGAAATGAATGGAGGATATTTACAACATTTGTTGTAGTGTTATGGACGCCACTGGACTTAATAATTTTAATCTACTACTATTTGTTTAAATATATTTTTTCCAATTTAACACCCTGCATCTTTGCGTTTCCGGTTTAAAAAAAAATCGTATTTTTTAACTAGGGGTCGCCCCTCAAAATCTGGGTCTACTTTTCGATTTCCCTGCATACGAGGTGTGTTCAGAAATATTTTTTTTGTTATGTTGATACACAGGTGTCTAACATATGTTCACAGTTTCAGCCAGTCTGCACCTTTACTTTTTTTGTGCGTGTTTTGTGTACTATTTTTTGCTTTAAAAAAATGAAACAAAGAATTTGCATAAAATTTTATGTAAAAAACTGGAATACACTGCTGCAAAACCCAGAAAAATGTTTTCTTTGATTATCGTGGCGTATTACATCAAGAGTTCATACCACAAGGTCGTACACTCAATAAAGAGTATTGTCTTGAAGTTATGCGCCGTTTACGAGAAGCAATAAGAAGAAAACGTCTGGAATTTTGGGAAAACAATTCATGGATTTTGCATAACGATAATGCGCCTGCTCACTAATCGTTGCTTGTGTCTAACTTTTTGGCCAAAAACAAAACCAGAATCATGCGGCAGCCGCCATATTCACCGGATATGGCCCCCTGGTACTTTTTCCTGTTCCCAAAACTCAAGAAACTCATGAAAGGAAGGAGGTTGGGAACGAGAGAGGAAATAAAAAAAGACTCGCTGGAAGAACACAAGGCTATACCTTCGATGATTGGAAAAAGTGTATTATATGTATTAGGGATTACTTTGAAGGGGGCAAGCTTAATTTTTATAAATAAATAAATACTTTTTCATAAAACTTAAATGTCACCTTACTTTTTGAACACACCTCGTGTATTGTTCAAAGATTTCCGTGATATTTCAAAAATTTTGCAATTATTTGCCGCTTCTTTTTGGGCTATTTACGCAAATAAAATTTGCAATAGCTCTTTTTTAATTCATTTTCGTAAATTTTCAGTACAAGACGTTTTCTAACATATTCGGCTCGTTTTCAGTACACCGTGCGTATTTTTCATCATATTTCTTACGATTTGAGGGCACCACACGCAGTGTCATCCGATTTCAGACATTCTTTAGGTTTTTATGACAGTTCAGACATTTTCAAAAACATTGCGACCATTTTCAGTCTGGCATGCGCACTTTTTCAGCAATCTGCTGATATATTTGTAAACAGTTTTAACATACTTTGTAACTTTAGCGTATCATTTTGCATTTTCAAAAACATCGCAATCATTTTCAACTCGATACACTCGCTTTTTCGGCACATTTCGACATTTTTTTCGAGAAGTTTCGTGACATTTCCCGTCGCCGTCCTCCCCCCCCGTTTCACCCTTAACGTGACGACGCTGTTTCAGGTGTCGAAGGTGGCCATACCGCAGATAAAACACGCCGCCGTCCCCCAAACCAACGTGCCCAAGGCGACGTCGACGACGCCTGGGACGCTCGGCGCGTCCGAGGGCGGCGTTTCGCCGCCCGCCCCCGCTGGCGCCGCCAACGACACCGCCGACCCGAACGGCATTAGGCCGCGGAAGCCGTGCAACTGCACCAAATCGCAGTGCCTGAAGCTGTACTGCGACTGCTTCGCGAACGGCGAATTTTGTTTCATGTGCAACTGCATGAATTGCTTCAACAACTTGGAAAACGAAGAGCATCGCAACAGGGCGATCAAGGCGTGCCTCGAACGCAACCCGAACGCCTTTAGGCCGAAAATCGGCAAGGCGAAGGACACGACAGGCGACGTGTTGAGGAAACACACCAAGGGGTGCAACTGCAAGAGGTCCGGGTGTCTGAAGAACTACTGCGAATGTTACGAGGTACGCCCTGGGACTTTTCCAAACATGAAACAACATTTTCGTGATGCTTCCGAGTGTTTCCTGCTACATTTTTACTCGTTGCTGGTTCCACTTATGAATCAGCATTGTTTGACTCCAAATATTCCGAATTCATCGACTTTTATTTTTGATAAGAAGAGAGCATTGATAGTTATGCTTTGTCGAATTTCCTGACTTAAAAGAATATTTTCATATGCGTTCCTGGATTTACATTTGCTCAGTCTTTCTTGACGCTGGCGGTTTCGTATGTGAATCAGTGTTTTCGGACTCCAAATATGCCGAATTCAGCGAATTTCCTTTTTTATAAATAGAGAGAATCGATAGTTATGCCTTTTCGAATTTCCTGGCTTGAAAGAATATTTTCGTATGCGTTCCTGGATTTACATTTGCTCAGTCTTTCTTGACGCCGGTGGTTTCGTATGTGAATCAGTGTTTTCGGACTCCAAATATGCCGAATTCAGCGAATTTCCTTTTTCATAAATAGAGAGAATCGATAGTTATGCCTTTTCGAATTTCCTGGCTTGAAAGAATATTTTCATATGCGTTCCTGGATTTACATTTACGCAGTCTTTCGTGACGCTGCTTGTTTCGTATGTGAATCGATGATTTCTGACTCCAAATATACCGAATTTAGCGACTTTTCTTTTTTATAAACAGAGAGAATCGATAGTTGTGCTTTGTCGAATTTCCTGACTTAAGAGAATATTTTCATATGCATTCCTGGATTTACATTTGCTCAGTCTTTCTTGACGCCGGTGGTTTCGTATGTGAATCCAGTGTTTTCTGACTCCAAATATGCCGAATTCAGCGACTTTTCTTTTTTATAAACAGAGAGAATCGATAATTGTGCTTTGTCGAATATCCTAGCTTTAAAGAATATTTTCATATGCGTTCCTGGATTTACATTTGCTCAGTCTTTCTTGACGCTGGCGGTTTCGTATGTGAATCAGTGTTTTCGGACTCCAAATATGCCGAATTCAGCGAATTTCCTTTTTCATAAATAGAGAGAATCGATAGTTATGCCTTTTTGGAATTTCCTGGCTTGAAAGAATATTTTCATATGCGTTCCTGGATTTACATTTGCTCAGTCAATGTCTATGTCTATGTCAATCAGTGTTTTCGGACTCCAAATATGCCGAATTCAGCGAATTTTCTTTTTCATAAATAGAGAGAATCGATAGTTATGCCTTTTTGGAATTTCCTGGCTTGAAAGAATATTTTCATATGCGTTCCTGGATTTACATTTGCTCAGTCAATGTCTATGTCTATGTCAATCAGTGTTTTCGGACTCCAAATATGCCGAATTCAGCGAATTTCCTTTTTCATAAATAGAGAGAATCGATAGTTATGCCTTTTTGGAATTTCCTGGCTTGAAAGAATATTTTCATATGCGTTCCTGGATTTACATTTGCTCAGTCAATGTCTATGTCTATGTCAATCAGTGTTTTCGGACTCCAAATATGCCGAATTCAGCGAATTTTCTTTTTCATAAATAGAGAGAATCGATAGTTACGCCTTTTCGAATTTCCTGGCTTGAAAGAATATTTTCATATGCGTTCCTGGATTTACATTTGCTCAGTCAATGTCTATGTCTATGTCAATCAGTGTTTTCGGACTCCAAATATGCCGAATTCAGCGAATTTTCTTTTTCATAAATAGAGAGAATCGATAGTTACGCCTTTTCGAATTTCCTGGCTTGAAAGAATATTTTCATGTGCGTTCCTGGTTTTACATTTACGCAGTCTTTCGTGACGATGATTTCTGACTCCAAATATACCGAATTTAGCGACTTTTCTTTTTTATAAACAGAGAGAATCGATAGTTGTGCTTTGTAGAATTTCCTGACTTAAGAGAATATTTTCGTATGCATTCCTGGACTTACATTTCCTGACTCTCCTTTGTTTTCCCCTAGATATTATTGTAAACCTGTATGTCGAATTAACTCGCCAGTCTTTTTCCTGAAACAGAAGAGAAGACAAATATTTGAGGCAAAATACTTTTTTCCTATAGTTAAAACTAACGGAATCTTCTAATATTTCCCGACATATTTGCTGCGTCTCACAGCATTTCGAGATCCCATGTTTCTCTCTAAAAAAATGTTGATATTCACGAAAAAAAATGTCCGGCTGTGTTTGTTCGATATAGCGTCGTTTTTAAATATTCTCGACGAATAACCACCAGTGTTTGCCGAAACTTATCAAGTTTTTCTATGATTCGTCAATGTGAGAGCAGAATTTTTGACTCGCGACGTTGCCACAAGTCACTGACATCGCAATGGACGTTTTCAGGCGAAAATCGCGTGCTCCAACAACTGCAAGTGCATCGGGTGCCGTAACATCGAAGACAGCATGGACAAGAGGAGCGCGAGGGTGCCGAACATTTTGGAAAAGTCGAACAGCGCCTCGCTGCCCGAACGCGTCTACAGGAGGATTTTGCCGCATCGCCAAGACGCGACCAACCGTTTGAGGAAGACGCCGAACCTGAGGTGGGTTTGCGCGCGCGCTCAACTTTTGGCGTCACGCCCGATTATTTTCAGGAAACAAACGCTGAATTTCATCACGGACGACGTGATCGAGGCGACGTGTCAGTGCCTGCTGACGATATCCGAGGACGCGGACTCCATCATGCAAGACGAGGAGGTGACGAAGAAACAGATAATCGAGGAGTTCGGGCGTTGCCTCACCGAGATCATAAACTGTTCGACGAATCGTTGCTTGAGTTGAGCCCGGTGTAATTTTTTTTTTAATTCGTTGAAATGATTTTTTTTGTATTAGGTATTGTTTATATGGTGTGTATCGCGTTGAAAGAGTTAATATAATTATCAAGTGAGCGAGGTTTTTTATTTTCACGCCGCCATAGGCGCCGGCAACGTAGTGACGTCATGAGATGTTGAAAATAAAACAGTTTAACAAATGGCGGCCGGAATAAATTTTACAATTGTTAAAAAAAATTCAATGTTTATTTCTAGCCAAAACGAGAAGGAAGTCTACAAATTTTGAATAACTTTTTTGGAATTCAATGGCCACTATGTATAGAGCCCTAGCCTATGCAGCGAATGGAACTTAAGTTGAGGGGCGCGAGATTTTGATTAACCTAACCTCAACTCCATAAAAAAAAGTTAAAACATGACCCAGTGTAAACATCCCATGGGATTGTTAACTAAATAAGTCTTTATTTGTGAAAAAATTTAAAATCAATAGTAGTACGAACTTGCGGGCTAAAGTAACAATATACTTTAGTCACTCGGTTTATTCTCAATTATAAGCAAATATGTTAACTACCTCAAAAGTTCCTCTTGTGACATTCTGAAGTGATTTTAGGAACCGTCAATTGTCGTCTTCGTGTATTTTGGAATTACATTTTCATAATTATTATTTCTTATTGCGGGAATTCTCATAGGACCCGCAAAACAGCTTATATATATATATATATATATATATATATATATATATATATATATATATATATATATATATATATATATATATATATATATATATATATATATATATATATATATATATATATATATATATATATATTAATTCAGAGACCACGAAAAAACTTTAAAATAAGCAAACTTTAGTAACTTTACCATATTTGTTACTGTGACAACCGTGTCAACGTCAAATAATCGCCACGCTTGATGAAAATCGTTTCAAGTGATCTCAACTGTTGCGTGATAACCGTTTTCCGCTCATAGGACCTGCCTAATTCTTATAATACATATTATGAAGCGATAAAGCAATTAAGAACATTTTCATTTAACATCTCTCATCTCATTTTTTAATTTGTAGATGCATGCGCGTAAAATCAATCCCTTCACAGCCACCTGAGAAGTATCAGTCTTTACCATAGTAGGGTCACTATTTTATCCAATAGCTATATGGTTTTAGCCACAGCCACCAATAAGATCTTCCGAAGTCCAACAATCAACATGGCCGCTGACAGTTCATCGATTCAATGGTTTTCAGTAGGGATGGGCACTTTTTCGACTGTATTTGCTCCGAATATGTCCCGATTCTATTAAATCTTTAGCTCAAAACAAGTTAACAGTGTGTCGATTAACATTTAAAAAGAAAATCAGTTTTACGGTAATTACATGTTGAGACCAGATCCACGCGTAGTTTTTTCATTTGTAGGGTAATGAGGAAAACTTACCCGCATGATTTATTTAACGCAAGTCTTGGAAATTATCGAGTCAGAGACCCCTCAGGTCCCACACAGACCCATATATATCAATAATGAATAACAATAAATATATCTATGACGCGATGGAGTGATTTTGGTGCAATGTTGCAACAGATGCCGTGTTAGTCGTGGAAACCAAAATAAAGGCCCACACAAATGAACGCTATAAAGCACGCCGCCACTGTATAAAGGATCACTTTCTGTTGGACGGCCCTCACAAGCATCGAGTTCAAAATTCGCGACGATCTGCTCAATTCTTCGCCCGTATCGCGTAACTAAAAACAATTGAATTGAAATTACCCAAACGAACCCAATAATTCGCCTAAGCCTACTCGCGCTCTCGATCTCTGTATGGTTTCTCTTTGATCCGACAAGTCTCGCAGAACTTGGTTGCCGATTTCTTGCGTCTCTACCACCACCCTGTACCCGTCGTTTAATTTCCTACCCGTCCTTTCCAAGGTTTCGGCGTTATCAAGGAGCTTTTGCTTTTGATCATTATTTATCCGAATATCCCGCAGTTCTTCCGCGCTATCATACAGAGCTTCCTGTTTTACCGACCGCGCTTTTATGTATTCCAACGTTAGCCGCTTGAGTTCAGCGCGGTAGCAATCTAGCCGGGTTTTACACCTATGCTTTTTCGATGACTCAACTTCCCTAACCTCCAAATCCATTTGTTCGATCTAAACAAACGAAATCGAAATTTATTTATAGCGAAAAAAGGGCCAACTGGCCACCTACGAGTTCCTGCGCTTCCTCAACATGTTTTTCTATTTTTGAGATCAGCTGACGGCGGTCTTCTACGACAGAAACAAACGACTGTCAACACAAACGCAACAATACACGGAACCACAAAATCGCACACCCTACAAGCCACAAAAATCTTACTTGAGGCGGACGCCGTCAATAAGCCTATTTGTGCAGTTAGTTCCGCAGTTAAAACCGAATATTGCTGTTCGTAATCCTCGAAAATTGAAACCATTTTAGGCACTGCGCCGATTTTGTGATTTATGAACGTTTGGCTTGATCGTGTTGTTTCTAGATGGCGATGATAAAGATAAGTTTAAGAGATTTGGTTTTCATTATACATACATACATACATTTATTATCAGTAGCATTTGTATGAAGTTTGATAGCGGAAATATTAGTAAATGTTAATAAAATACTGGGAAAAAAGATTCCTTTAGTGAAAATTTTATTTTTCTAGATATTATGCAGAGATCTGCGGCAGAAATTTCGGTGGGGTAACATTGACAGATGTCAGTTGTCAACGCGTCTCTCTTTCTTGAAGTTAGTCAGTGGAGGTTAGTTTTCATAAAATAAATTCCGAATTCATCCAGCAAAAATCGTAATTTTATAGAATGGATTGAATTATTTTTTAAAGCGGACAATTGGCTCCGTCCGTATTAACACGTATTTTCACGATTTGCTTATTTTTACGTATGTTCTAGGCCAAAATGGTGCAACGTCTAGTGTTTAGACGGCGGTTATCCTACAATACAAAAAGTAACAGGAGGCGCATGTAAGTCAACGAATTGGCCATTTGTGTAGTTCTCATTTATCGTGACCAATTATTTTGTTTCTTAAACACTGTGATTTGAACCCACCTTAACTTAACCTGCAAAATTGTTTTTTCGTTTTCACACATTCAAATGCCTTATAGTGATGAAATATTGGCTAGAGTCCTGACATCGTATGACGACACCAGTTGTTCGTTATTGCTGAAATCATGCAGGCGTTATAAAAATAAAGTGTAATCATTCCCCAAATGCGTAAACCTCCCATTTTGTTGTAGAGTACGAACTCCTGGTGGTAAACTAGTTTATCAGTACCTCAAAAAGCCGAAGAAGATCCCGAGATGCGGACAGTGCAAGGATAAACTGAGGGGTATCGTCCCGGCACGGCCACAGGAAAGGTCACGTCTGTGCAGGCGCAAGAAGACCGTCAAAAGAGCATACGGAGGTGTACTTTGCCACAAGTGTGTTAAAGAAAAGATTGTACGCGCCTTTCTTATCGAAGAACAGAAAATAGTTGTTAAAGTGCTTAAGGCGCAGCAAGCTTCCAAATCCAAGAAGTAAATTTTAGCTAATAAAGTTTAATTATATACATTTGTATGCATTGATCTGCCCACCCTCTTTTTTTAACTCCAAAAAAAGATAATCTTGCAGTTTGCTTATTTATTTAGTATTAGTAGTGCATATTTGAGGCCAAACCAACCCCATTTTAAATATTCAATTATCTTTTCCTAAATAGTAATCTATGCGTTAAATTCAAAAGCGAAAGAGAAAATAAAAGGATGTGAACTTGATTACTGCATATTTACTATTTTGTATAATTTTATGGTAAAATCGAAGTAACAGCAGTTTGGCAACACTGTGCAGCTGGATGACTTGACTGCCACAGTCAGAAACTCTTAAAAACCTAATATGCAAGATACCTAAAAAAAATGGAATTAAAGTTCGAAAATGCGGTAATCTTCCTGGCTGTCATTCTAGAGATTTAAAAATAATTTCTAGTATTTTCTCTCGGCCACTTTGCGTATAAGTTTTTTCATCCCAAGTCTTTAGAAATAGGGCTGAGTGAACTCAAAAAGATTAATTTTAAGAACCAGGATTTTCGGAGTAATAAAATAACGGCAAAGGTAAGTAAAGGTTTTATTTTCTACCGATAAAGTGAAAATAATACATAACAACGTGAATAACATAAAGGACCATTTGCAATTTGGAGTTTTGATGCGAATTTTTGAAAAAGGCGAGTTGCATTTTGAACTTTGCCGAACTGCAAAAGCGATCTCTAAAAAATAATTTAAACAGTCTGTAATTGTAACTACGTCGGGTTGTTTAATTCGCAACAAGACGCGTTTTCACAAAAAACCTGGAGTTGACTTAACCTAACAAATAACTTTTTAAACCCTATTTGATAGTCAAATTTCCTAGAACGGGGAGGGTCACAATGATCCAAAGGAACTAAAAATTATCCACGGAAAAGATCCGAATAATTGGTTCCGCTTAATGTTTACTTAAAATGAGATTGCTGGCAAGAATTTGCGGTGCTGGGTCGTCTGGAACTTAGAAGAAAAACGTCGACGAGAAACGATTCTACATCTAAGCTAGCTTGCTGTACATGTCCTCTATCTGTGGCTTAAAGTAAGCCTTCAGCTGGGGACGTTTGCTCTTCAGTGTTGGTGTGAGCAGGCCATTTTGAACGCTGAACGGATCTGGATGCAAGTATATGTCTTTCACCTAAAATTAACGAAAGTAATGCCCAATTCAGAAGTTATGCAATGAACAAAGTACCTGTTCGAAAGATTTCAATCCGGCTTCCTTCCCTTTGGCGATCATATCGTCCATGATGAGACGTTTGATCTCGGAATTATTGCAAAGCACGCTGAATGTACCGGGTATGCCCATCTCTTGAGCCCAGCACTTGATTACGTCCACGTCCGGCACCACCACCGCCACTATACACGACTAATAGGGGCGTTAGATGTCTGTTTTCGTTAAAAAAACGTTGCTTACCTTTAGGGATTCCCCGTGGACGAATACCTGGCCGACGTATTGCGACCGGATGTAAATATTTTCAATTTTTTCCGGAACGATGTACTCGCCTTGCGATAATTTAAATATGTGCTTTCTCCTGTCGATTATTTTCAACGTTCCGTTCTGGATAAAGGAAAACTTACTTTTCAATAACAATATTTTTGACGTTTTAAACCACGCAGTTATCCCGCACCTTACCTTTCGACTACTGGCTCTGAAGATCTAAAATATTTTAATATTGTTGATACAAGGTGGCCCAAAAAACAGCAAGAATATAATTGGCAAAAATTCGTGAATGGCAAAGTACCGATTTTACGCCCATGAACTTTTTTTGTGGGACGCTTTAAACGATCGTGTGTATAAATCGCGAAATAACTATACAGTTGATGACCTTAAGAAAAAATTAGACAAGATATTCTTGCATTAAACAATAGTGATGCGGTTAGAAATGCGGTCTCGAGCATTGTGACGCGCTATACAATGTGTATTGCAGAAGATATTTAAATGTTTGTTTAGTTATTTTTTTCTGTCTTTTCTTTTTTGTTTTTATAGATTTATTTATTCAAATTTGTTACCTTGTTAAGTTAAAAATTAAATTATTAAATTAAATTAAATTATTTATTTTTGTTATTGGGTATTTTCAATCAAACTGGGTAAATAACTATTAAATGTTTCTTTAAATATGAATTCTGAAGTTTTATTAAATCTGTTAAAGCGTGTAGTATAGAGTTGATTTTTTTCAAAATTTCCATATTCCAATTTGATGTATTGTTCGCAATGGGTTTTATTCGTATATCTGGAGTATTATATCTTTAAAAGAAGTAGTATCATGTCTTTGTTATTTAAGAAGTACTGAATATTGCCAACAAGTGACCTAATTTAAATATGAGATAAATTACAAACTTACCTTATTTTTTGTCCTAGAATTGAGATAAAAATATAAGGTGTTCCATTCGAAAATCTTAAGATTTTGTTAATTGAATTCGTCAAAATGGCACCACCTATTTGCGACACCCTGTATAAGCCGAGGCGCATCTGTCAAACTGATTGAGTAGTGCATCATCTGCTTAGTCTGTGGTTAAATTTTCGTTGCAATACCTGGATCAGTAGCGTCACCACACAATTTTATATGGGGCAATTAAAATATGAAAAAAAAACACATAACCTCAATATTAGAATAGGAATTTCTTAAGCAAGTGACCTTTATTTTATCCAAGGATTCCAGAAATGTCGAAATATACAGGATGTTCCATTTAAAATAAGAATTTGTTGTTGGGACACTCTGTATCAACAAAATTATGATATTTTAAATCTTCAGGAGAGTCCAAGAAACTTTTGTACGACACTTTTTTTCCTATCTCCAATAGGTTTCCAAATCGTATAGTGGATCGTTTTATTTGGCACACGGTGTACAAAAACAGTATTTAATCCTTCCAAACCAATGTTTTAAAAAGGCGCAACTACCATGTTGCTTACTTTTCAATACCTCCATTAGCTTACTTTTCAAAATTCTTTTCTAAATACATACCGGTTGCCACATGCCCACGTCACCAGTATGGTGCCACCCGCCCTCGTCGACCACCTCTTCGGTCTTGTCGGGATCCTTAAAGTAGCCCTGGAACACGTTGGTGCCCTTCACGCAAACCTCGCCCTGGTTGTTCCGCGCCCAGTATTCCATTTCCGGGACGTCGGCCAGTTTGATGCAGCAACAGGCCAAAGGGGGTCCCACGTGACCCGGCACGTGGTCTCCTTGGATTGTTAGGGTGACGGGGGCGCAGCATTCCGTCTGGCCGTAACCCTCGACCACCTAAAACGGATATTCGGCATGCCGTTCCGTCGTCCTCCCTCGTTACTTACCACACACCCCATCGCGCACCTAATGAAGGTAAGCACGTTCTCCGCCAGAGGTGCAGAACCTACCAGCATTAACCTCAGTCTCCCGCCCATCCCCTCTTGAACCTTCTTGAATACAAGCATGTCCCAGAAGCTGTTCTTTCTCAGGATACCTCTGAAATACCGTCACCTAGTTTTGGCGCTATTCGGACGCTGTATGATTGTTACCTCTTGAGTTCCGCCTCTTTGGACCTCAACGCCATATTGAACAGCATCTTCTTGACGCAATTGCCGTTGATGTCCGACTGCACTTTGTCATATATCCTATTTAGAAGGCGGGGCACTGCGGGAGTTACGGTCGGCTTCAGCGCTTTCATATCGTCCGAAAGTCTCCTCACATCGCCCAGATAGAAACCCACGGCGCCGCCCTGCATGTACATCGCGCTCTGAAAGTCATATTTCAAGATCAGTGGCGTCTGCGGGCACGATCTTACCCGCTTACTTCACAGCACCTTTCCATCATGTGAGCGAGAGGCAGGAACGACAGCATGACGTCGTCGCTCCTCAGCTTGTGGTCTCCGAATTGGAGGATCACGGCACTCATGGAGGCCACAACATTCTCGTGAGTGAGCATGACTCCTTTCGGTTGTCCCGTCGTTCCGCTCGTGTAGCACACTGTGCAGACATCAGACGGTTTTGGAGGCTAAAAAAGAGTCGAATTCGTTCGTTCATCAGTGCTGGCGTTTTAAACTCACAACTTCAGGGTTGCTATTTTTCGATCCCAAGAGCTCGACGTCGGCCAACTTCAGAATCTCGATTCCCATGTTTCGAGCCCGCTGGAGGGTCGCCGGTCTGATGTCTTTGAAGACTATCAATTTTTTTAAACATCGCGGTGATTTCTCCAACAACGAATTGCATTTTGTGTCGTCTTCTACTAAAATCACTGACATTTCGGCTGAAAACAAACCTGACCGATCAACACTGGCAGACTAGACGACTTAAATGACTTACTTTTCAAAATATCGAACGCTTTTGTTGCTTACTTTTCAACTAATGTCAACTACTTAACTTACTTCGCAAAACAACGAAGATTTGACTTGCGCTTATTTTTCAACCAATAGAAACTTTGGTGGATTACCTTGCTTACCTTTTAAAAAGCAGTCGATAACGAGTCTTTTGTTAGCTATGGTCTGTTCATAGATATAAGAAAGTGACCAATTGCTTTTGAATGGGATACAATACATACATACATACATACAATGGGATACAATACATACAATGCAACAAGATTATTACCTAAAGTTTTTAACATCCCTCCACAAAGTTGGGCAAATTCTGTTAAACATATAGAAAAAGCAGAACAATCGTATATCCATATTGCAAATAATATAGAACAAATAATAATTAGAACAGGCGACGCCGACGATAGCGATAGTGATACTGATATATTACGTGAATAAATTTAAGTAATTTAAGTAGTTAATAAAAATAATTTGTAATTTTATTTTAGATTTAAACATAAATACATACATAAATAAATAAATATCTTTAGTATCTCTCCTAACAAAACCCCAAATAATTAAATTCTGAGCAAAGTACGGACCTGTTCGGCCATATTTCATTCTTACCGCTTGCCCGGGTTTTTCCTTAATCCGTATCAGTTAGTCACTTTCTTATATCTATGAATAGACTTTACCTTTTCAATTAATGTCAACTACTTTAAAATTAACTTTTTAAAACAACAAAGATTTCATTCGCTTTCAAAACACAAGACGGTTACTTCTCAAAGAATATGAACTTTAGTGGAATACTGGGCATGAAGTCAGTTTAGCTACTTACTATTCAACACTTTCGCTTACCTTTCAAATAGCAACAAAACTCTCGAAATCTGATTGCGATTTGTCTTTAACCAAGCAGGTGTAGTTAATATAAGGAGTAATATAAGTAAACCACGACTTACTTTTCAAACAATCGGTCACTTGCTTACCATTCAATTTTTCAATGACTACTCGTACTTACCATGTCTAATAATAAAGGCACAAGCATCCGCCCCTAGCGTGTCATATAAGGGTACTATCACCATACTGTAACAGTAAGCGGCCTGTTCTACGAGGATCCACTCTGGACAATTGATGGAGTATATTCCTATCATGGTACTTGGTCCGGGTTGGAGACCCAGGGAGACGAGGCCGGAGCCCAGGTTTCGGGCTCGCAGAAGCGCCTCGTCATACGTGAGCCACTGGAATGGTTTCTGATACGATTCGCGCCAGCCCAAGCACGGGCCGTTGTCTAAAATAAAAAGTTACGAGCAAAGGTAAGTCTCGATCAATGAAAACACGTCGAGAAACGTCGTTTCGGCGATTGCGGCGAACCGAGAACACCTGTCGGTCATTTGCAAGGACCCGTCGAAACACTGAGTAATTCAAACAGTTGCCAAAAATGCGTCAATTCTAGTATCACGAATGTTTATACAGGATGCCTACTTTATATCCGTGTAAACTCAGTAAAATTTAATCAATGTAGTGTAATGTAATCAACTGATTTGCTTTTTGAATGCGACGGGAAACCACTTCTACAGAGTGTTCGAAAATAGAGATATTTTGAACAATTGACGGGTCACTTACTAGAAACTTTGGAGCCTCTCCTGAAGCTTTCGTATAGGGTCTTGGCGTCCGCGTAGAGATAGCTTACGAATTTTCCTTCTTTCGCATCCTTGTAAAATCTGGACACTCGTATCACGTCCGGTCCCTGGAAAGACATGCCTCAGATAAGCCCGAGCACATTCGACAAGGCGCATAATCCATTCCAGCTTTTTAATCCTCTTATAGTAACATACCTTTCAAACTGCTTAATCTATTTGCTTTGAATTTAGTGTCAAATTCAAGATTTTTCAATTATCCGCCATATTTTTTGCTATAGATGAAAAGCAAGCGATTTTAGTTATTGCATACATTTAGACAACCGCACGCATTTTTTTGCGAGGAGACTTTCAAAGTGTCCCGTAGAATTTACCAGTTTTTTGAAAACGACACAAACTTGCTTGAAAGGTATTGCTTACCGTTTGACATTGTGCTTATTTCTCAAACGACTCAAATAACTTACTTTCAAGTTTATTCTAAACAACACAGAACCGTGCTCATCGATAATACCCTCATAAAGTTATGTCAGAGAGCTAACCGTTCAACATTGTGCTTACTTCTCGAACGACTCAAACTGCTTATTTTCAATTTTAATCTAGACGACGCAGAACCTTGCTCATCGATAACACCCGCGTAAAAGTTATATCAGAGTGCTAATCGTGCAACATTGTGCTTACTTCTCAAAGAACTCAAACCACTTACTTTCAAGTTTATTCTCAACGACGCAGAATCTTGATCATTGATAACATCCTCGTAAAAGTTATATCAGAGTGCTAACCGTTCAACATTGTGCTTACTTTTCAAACGAGTCAAACCAAATACTTTCAATTTTATTCTTGACGACCCAGAACCGCGCATAGCGACAACACCCACTTAAAAGTTATGTCATATTGCTTACCTTTCAAGACGATGTTTCAAAATTAGCATCTTACTCGTAGAATCTTAATGAAACGCGTTTTTGTTTTCGAAACGGCCAAAAACGGGATGAGTTCGGATGTGCTTACTTTTCAACTTACTTTCCAGTTGTAGACGTCCGACTGGTTGTTCAAATTGATGGGTATGCTGATGGGCGGCACGCTGCCGCACGAGCATCCCATTTCGTCTCACTGTTCGGGATGGCACCTCGACCTTTCGAACATATTCGCGAATCTTACTTTTTTTCTTCTCGATCGAATCACCGGACCCGTTCGGACGGGACTGGCTCGCGTTCAAATTTACGTAACGGGACAACCTTTACGACGATTTGCGCGCACCTTCGAGGCCTTTAAAACAATGTCCGCGTCAGGGAAAACTTATACGCACTTCAAAAAGCCGAGAGTTGTCGCGCCGAAGGTTAATTTATTCTGGCAGCCGATGACGGGCGATAAAAGTGCACCTCGACGTTATTTTTAACGGTGCATTTCCGGGTTTTCTAGGACGCCGTCAACCCGATCGGTGATTTTCGAAAAATTCGCCAGGAAAACTCGAAAAACCGCGCGCGGTCAGAGACTAAGTTCGGACGAAATTTTCTGCCACGCAATCTATAACGCCCCACCTCCTTGTATAAATAGACACTTAACAACGGCGGGATTCACTCTACTCCACAATAATCGAAATCGATTTATTTTTATCAACCATTTCTCGCGTCGCTGCCCTACGGTCTGAGTGACCGTCTTTTGCGATGAAAAACTCAATTTTCAATGTCTTGTTCAATGTTTAAGATGCAATTAAAGAAAATAACTTATTTTATAATGGATGGTAACTTGGAAAGTAATAATCTTTTAAGAAATAAAATGCAAGCTTCATTTCCATATAATAGTATATTATGCAACAAGTGCGGTAAACGATATTTGACTCACGAGTTTTTAATAAACGAGTGAGTTAAAAATTTTACCGAACGTGTTGCATGGTATACTTTTTCTACGACCGTAGGTTTTTGGGTACATTATCGCCAAACAAAACAACACGAATACATTTACTGACATGACCGTCAGAATTGACAAACGTCAAAATTCAAGGCGTGGGAAATATCCGAAAACATCCGATTGATCCCGAACCCGTGCGGTAAAATCCCGGACATGTCCGAAGTAGCTCATGGGAAACGAAACTGACGTGGTAAAGTGACGCTTCCCGCACGCTCGATCGGTGGGTAATTAGGTATTTTAGAGACGGGAGTAGAAAAATATAATTACCAGAGAAGGTGCTTTTTAGTTTAGGCAAATTAGCCATTCACAACAACATAACTTGAAATTGTAAAAAATTCTGTTTGTGTTTTGATTATTAAACGATATATGGCAGTAAATGGTTTCGTCTATAAAAGCTTGCTCAATTAAAATTCAAGACGTGGGAACTATCTCCGAAAACATTTGATTGCTCCCAAACCCGTGCGGTAAAATCCCGGAAATGTCCGAAGCATTCGTGGGAAACGAAACTTGCCGAGACCAACTGTACGATTTTCAAATGTCCATGTCTCATCAGTACAAACAAGACAAAATTGAAGGTTACGGCATGCTTTTTCTTGTTTATATGATTTTAAAAATTTAATCCGCTTAAATGCTCTATCTTGGGATGATTTTTCTTCCAATTACAGTCTTTTTCTTTAAATAATCTACTTAATGATCAATTGTAAAAGTTAAATAAACAACATAACGTTTTAAAATTGTGTTTATTTCGTTGTTTTTACGACATATCCAATAATACATCTCTCTCTCTCTCTCTCTCTCTCTCTCTATCCCTCTCCCCCCCTCTCTCTCCCTATCCCTCTCCCCACCCACTCTCTCTCTATCCCTCTCCCCCCTCTCTCTATCCCTCTCCCCCCCTCTCTCTCTACCCCTCTCTCTCTATCCCTCTCCCCCCTCTCTCTCTATCCCTCTCTCTCTATCCCTCTCCCCCCTCTCTCTCTATCCCTCTCTCTCTATCCCTCTCCCCCCTCCCTCTCTATCCCTCTCCCCCCTCTCTCTCTATCCCTCTCTCCCCCCTCTCTCTCTTCCCCCTCTCCCCCCTCTCTCTCTTCCCCCTCTCACTCCATCTCTCTCCCCCTCCCCCTCTCTCTTACTGCCTGTCGGTGACTTTGGTGAAGATGCCGCTAAATCAAGCAATAAACTTTACAAACAAGATCGTTTAATGCCAGCCTTTGTTCTAGAAAAAAAAAATAGAATAAAACATCTTGGGTTTCTAAAATCTTTTTTAACTCCTTATTATCTGGAAGATATTTTAAATATTAGAGCTTTAGAAACTGTAATGTCATCACCTTGTAAATCTATATTGCTTTTGTTATTTGTTCTTCTATTAAATACATTTTATTTTTATAACTTATAACAAATTGTTAATTGTTGAAAAAGACAAGTTTAATGAAAATGTTGAGGTTAAAATTTATTGCTGCAATTTTTATAGCACGATATTATAAAACATTTTGTTAACATACTTTTGGCGCGGTCATTCAGACCACAGTGCGCTGGATCGCTAGGTCCGGCCTTACTTTTCAAAAAAATTCATTCGCCTCGGCCGCTTACCTTTCAAGCCACACCTGCTTACCGACTTACTTTTCAGCGGGTCAACTAACGCGTCCACTTACTTATCAAAAATTTTCTTTATTTACCTGGTAATTATTGAATTTAGCCCCATTCCCTTACTTATTAAGAAAGGAAAGACTTTTGTTGAACTAGTTTAACTTGTTTACCAATAGAGGAACTGACTTACTTTTTAAGCAGTCACAAGAATCGGTTTTTACATTCATCATTCATTGACTTTAACATTTTTTTCCCAACAAATGGTGTTTGTTGACCTTTTCACTACTTTTCAAGCGACTTACTTTTCAACTTACTTCTCAAGACAAACATTGAAAATATACCACGTTTATTTTTGAGCACAGGAAAAGCTTTTGCTTACTATTCAAAGAAAAAAACCTTTTTGGCGCCCTCAAAACATCGAAAAGAGGGAATGCTCTTCAACCCGATTACCACTTAGCCACCTTCGCGAGGAGGGAGGGTGACAAAATGTCGACGCGACGATTGAAACGACGGTCCTATTTTTATAAGGCTGATCACGGATTATCCACTTGTCACGCGGTTGTTATAAGAGCGAATAGTAAACAGCTTGAAGTATCCCGATGAAATATTTCTAGTCAGGCGCGCGTCGAATTATTTTTGAGTTGGCGACGTCAAGTGTCCGGTTTTGTGACGGAGCCGCGATAAAAACGGAAAAATAATACTTTTTTTCGACTGTCTTAAGTAATACACGGTGTTTTGAAAAAATATATAGAGTTTGTATGTATTGTATTTTTAGATGCTTCATCACGCACTAGTTTATAATTATCTCCAGATATTAAAACTAACTCTGCTTCCTCAAATGTCATCAGACTGTCACAATGTTAATTTTTCAAGGAGATTTCAACAGACTACTGTAATACTATTTACTGGATTCCTTCTGCGTGGGATGTTTATCAATCAAACTTGCTGATGTTTCGCCAATCATCCTGTTGCCTTCATCAGAGCTTAACTGACACTAGCTCGTATTCTATCCTGTATCTGGTTATATATTGTTTGAGGGGGGCAGGACTAAACGAGGAGCATGAACATTGTCTCCGATGACTGACTCCCATATTGGTGAAAGGCAAAGACCTGAGTCCATGACCATAACTATGCTAGAATTTTGTCGGTAATTGCTGATGAGTTGGTTATGAATGCTTCCGAGATTTTCTTAGCCATTTAAACTTTACACCCTAACATGTGTTTTACCATTGGATTAGAAACCAATAATAACTCCCATTCTTATCAATAGAAAATCAGATCTAACATGGGGTCATTGTGTTTACAGAAAAGCTACGCATACATTATCTTGATTCGGGTTTTAAAGGCCGTCGTCGGTTGGAATTACTTCCTAACGTTTCGCTAGCACGAGTGGCGAGCTTCTTCAGAGGTCCTTCCATCTCCGATGTTGGACGTAGACTGATGATTTCTCCTGCGCAGGTTGTATTTATGCCGATTGATGGTGGGCGGGGGTTGTTCCGCTTCTGTTGGTCTCGGGATATCGATCGGTACTGCTCGGGCGTTCCTAAGGATCGGGTTCCAGATTTGGTTTGATTTTAAGGGTCTCCTCCTTTCTGTTGAAATTGTGTGGGTGTTTTTGTATCTCAATGGCTTCCCTGACTAGTCTGTTGTGATAGCCGTTGACCGTTGACTTACAGCTCTCAAAGTGTATCCTGTGTTCCCCGTTGCCCAGTGCGTGTTCAGCTACTGCAGACTTCTCTATCTGTCTTAGCCTGCAGCTTGCTTTATGCTCCTTAAGTCTCGTTTCAATTGATCTCTTGGTAGTTCCGATGTAGACCTTTCCGCATGAACACGGAATGCGGTAGACTCCTGCAGCTGCAAGTGAGTCCGTTAGGAAGTAATTCCAACCGACGACGGCCTTTAAACCCGAATCAAGATAATAGCTCATCAACGGGCCGCGAAAGCCTTAACCAATTTATCCTACGCATACAGGTCGTAAAATTATTTTAACCCAAGTCACTAAATCCAGAATAAAAACACCTTAGATCTGCTCTTCACTCTAATAATTTCCACATTAGAGATACTAAGCGTTCCATCACAAAATACACTTCATCACAACCTTCCAATAGCAATGAAACCGAAAGCAACCCCACACTTGCCACCGTTGTCCGTCCTTGCATTCAAAACATCATTGACCTATCAAAAATAGCTAAGAAATACAAAGTCGAAATTAGATTTACCACTCTCTTCTTCGATCCGTCAATGTTAAAATTCTGTTTGAGATAGCAGGAGTTCCATGCAGATGCGACAAAGAATACATTGGAGAGACCAGACGAAAAATAGCAACTTGGCTCAAAGAATATGAAAGAGCCTTAAGACTACGACAAAGCTCTGAAGAAGCTAACAGGATAATTGGCGAAACGTCAGCATGATCGATTCATCAGTAACCGAGGTAGGAGAAGTCCAGAAGATTTGAAAATAGTGTCATAATGTTTACTTCAAAATCTCATCCCTTTATATGATGGATATCCACGATTATTTTGGGAGGATTTTATGTTTGTCAATTAATAATAATTTATACGTTATAGTTTTCAATCAAATTAATTATTAAAATTTAAAAATATATATATATTTAATGTTAATATCATCTCAAGTATAAAAAAAATAAAAAAATACTTTTTTGCACCGAAATTATTTATTTTGTTTGACTTAAGAATACATTACATGTGCCAAAAAGAAAAATAAAAACTCGAAACATACAAAAAAATACTGGTGCGTAAACGAACCACTGGGAAAAAACATTAAATAATGTTTTGGGGCACATAAGATTGAACATATAATTTTTACATAAATATATAAAAGAAAGGTCAAATTCGACAGAAAACATCTAAAAGGAAATCAAATCAATCACTTCGCCATCAAAAAACATAAAAAATATGTCAAGCGGGGTTTTTCCAGAAAGCCTATTTTTTAATTGCTCACATGAATTAAATTCATCGGATATAGGTGTGTGAGTGTACTCAATCTGACCTTTCTTCCATCTGACAGCAGGCAATGAAGCAAGCCTGTCGTTTCCAGAAAGCATACGTATTCTTTTGAATTCTAGGGTTTCATCATCTGATGAGTCCCATTCAGGTTCAGTAGTTGATGAATTACAGGACTGTTGAAAGACAGCTGTATCATTCGGTGTATGTAACTCGAAAGTTCCAACTATATCAGACTCTTTTAGATTTATGTTATCGTTCATATCTTCTTCGTCAGTCAAGGTATCCACGTCGGGTGGAATATAGACAGCGTCAATATGTTCTGTAAATATTTTTTTACGTTATTTTTAGCATAAATTTACAAGG